TGGTGTAGCAATTTCATTGGGTTTAGAGCCGAACACTCCGGTAAATTACACCCTTTGTTCTCTCACCCCCACGAACCTCTGTACTATGATCGAACACCTTCAAATGATTTCATTATTCAATAATTCATTTGGATGTAAAGTATTTCTCGACAAATCAATCATCAGCTCTATCTATCTGTACAATTATACAGCTTATAAGTTACGGTGCCTGCTAACTCAGACTAGTTGGCACAGCAAAAGGGTCAAAATACATTCCTTTGGGCACGGCAGATCGCATTAGGGTGCCATTTGTCACACCTGCAAATTCCCCCCTCACGGCGCACCTGCGGTCTCCATCGGTCTCTGTGAAGAGAGTGGGGTGAAACGGGCGTGGAATGGTATATGTTTTTATGGCTCTGTGCCCGGCCTTCAAGCAATACCTTTCCTTACCTGGCTGGCTGTCTGGCTGGCCCGGTGACAGGTCCTCATCATAATAGGAATTAAAGGAGATCGATCAACCCGTGGGCTACCTGCCGTAACACCGCACTGAATACAATATCTATTGTATAGACTTACCAACAGTCGCTACCAGAACGCTTTCTTCGAAATATAAATGTACAAGATTGTAAGGGGGCACATTTCCGAAAAATAACACAATTTAGGGATATTTGTTTTCTGTATGAACTTAATTTGCTTAAGATAAATTTAGTTTCAAGCGGTGGGGGTTAGGGAGGGGGAACAAGGGCAAGCTGTACCCCCCCCCCCTAAATCCGCCACTATTCTCACCAGATATACAGGGGTGATTGATCCGGTTCTTGGGACCGCCTTTTTCCGACGTGCATCATGAATGTTTAAAGAGATCGTTATTTTGTGGAGACAAATCAATCATAGAAGAATGTGTCAGTGTTCGGCCTATTAAAGGATTAGCATTAGATCTGGGGTGTGAAGCAGGTATTGGCTCGGCTGGTGAATATCACACCTTAAATTATGAGTTTGAAATCAGCAACAATCCAGCAATATTATACCTGTAATCATGATTTCAATGTGTTGTGAAAATTGAATTAATTGAATTGAATTGAATGGAATTGAACCATGATTATAAAATAGGAAGATGTCGATCGTCCGATGATTCTATGTAAATGTGCAAATTGGTTATAATTATGATACAATATACAAGTTGTAGTTTGAAAAATAAATTGATTTGGATAATTACTGTCAGGTATTAAATGTTATGAAGTACAGTATAATATTTGGCCACCCTCGGTTACACCATGAGCACATGTAAGCTGGCCTTAACAAACTAATTACCAGAAATAATCATGATAATGTTGCAATAGATAATTAAACATTAAACATTCTTCAAAATATTTTAACGCCGAATTTGACAGTTTGTCACTTTCTGAGTGTTTTTAAAATTGAACTCTACAACAAAACAATCTTGTCATTTCCATTACTACTTCGTTTATTTTGTCTGCGGTTCCCACATTCATTATAACTTGTGGAGGTTGGAAATGCAATATTTCATCGCCAGAAAAACCTCAGCGATTATTGTACCTCTCAAATTCATATTATGAACGTTATTGTGAGCAATTAGTTTGGGATTTGATTGAAAGCCATGTATAGATCTACCACAAAACCACTCAATTTCCGTATAGAATGTGATATTGCGATAAAATTAGATTGCTTAGAGAAGTAATTTTATTGTGGACTAGCTCTCTACCACTCCCCCTCTCTATTTTGATTCAGCTGATGTGTTTCTCTTTCTATCTTTTCTTTTTCGAGATTAGAATAAACACGAGTTTATTTATCTTTAATTGATCAGCTTATTGCATAAGTGGATCTACTACCGACCTACAAACTACCACTAATGGCTCCACCATGGGACCACGGGAGTGAAGTTCATCCCTTGACTTGCCCACCCCCCCCCCCTCCTCCCCTCCCCCGTCAGTTTAAAACCCTAGTTCTGCCATTGCTTACCATAGCAATAACAACAGCAGTACCTGTATCATTATAATGCAATGTACCGAGGATGACTGAAAGTATTCAGATATTTAGTTTCTAGAATCATACAATTTATTTTGCCGTGCATGTTGTTTTAGTTTATTATTGATCGCATATATTATACATACATGATACAATTTTCTTAAATATGTTGATATTCAGCCCAAAATATTGGTCCCAATGAGAAAAGAAAACTACAGGGACATGAGTGTCGCTACGAAGATGGTCGAGGGGTCGATCCCCATTTAAACTTGTATCGGCTAAAATTCTGTAACTGTCACCCTGGCCACGACTTATGAATACATCCATACATTAATTTTAACAAGCGTATAGTGGATGTTATTATTCACTTAATTAAGAGATATCAGTGTTTAGCAGCAGAAAAAGAAAAAAGAGATAAAGAAGGAGGAGAGAAAAAGTAGTAGTAGTAGTAGTAGTAGTAGTAGTAGTAGTAGAAGTAGTGGAAGTAGTAGTAGTAGTAGTAGTAGTAGTAGTAGTAGTAGTAGTAGTAGTAGTAATAGAAGTAGTAATATTAAAAGTAGAAGTGGTAGCAGCAGCAGTAGTAGTAGTAGTAGTAGTAGTAGTAGTAGCAGCAGTAATAGTAGTAGTAGTAGTAGTAGTAGTAGTAGTAGTAGTAGTAGAAGTAGTAGTAGTAGTAGTAGTAGTAGTAGTAGTAGTAGTAATATTAAAAGTAGAAGTGGCAGCAGCAACAGTAGTAGTATCAGTAGTATTATATTAGTAGTAGTAGTAGCAGTAGTAGTAATAGAAGTAGTAATATTAAAAGTAGAAGTGGTAGCAGCAGCAGTAGTAGTATTAGTAGTATTATAGTAGCAGTAGTAGCAGCAGCAGTAGTAGTAGTAGTAGTAGTAGTAGTAGTAGTAGTAGTAGTAGTAGTAGTAGTAGTAGTATGAGTAGTAGTAGTAGTAGTAGTAGTAGTAGTAGTAGTAGTAGTAGTAGTAGTAGTAGTAGTAGTAGTAGTAGTAGTAGTAATAGGAGTGGGTTTTGTTGCGGTAGAAAGCAAGAAGATATACAACATAAGAATTGACGATTTGAGAGTTCGGGAAATCTAACAGTCCAACTAATTAAAAATGCATGTGACTGGAAGTTGAACTTCGTATGTTCCGAATCAAGTTCATGTTTCTAGTTGTGGTTTTTCATGACACGATTACATGCGTGAGAATGAGGTCTGTCGGACTTTCAGCGAGTACAACACCCAGCTGTGAGACGTTTCTCTGACTGGGGACAAACGTAATCCTACTCTCTTCTTGGAGACAGTTTGTTGGCATTAATGTTCTGTGAACGAGGATGGGAGATGTTTTAAGAGTTAGAAAGGTGGATGGAAGAAGGGAAGTGAAAGAGAGAAAGATAAAGGAAGGAAGAAAGAAACTTGAAGAAAGAAAGGGAAACAGAATAAATGAGAGGCAATGCCCCCCCCCCCCGCAAAAAACCTATCACTGCAGTGCAGTCAGGATGACGAACAGTGTAAAATGACTAAAAGTATCATGTTATCACTCTAGATAATGATAAATATGAACAATATTAATAACATGGACCCTTTTGGTAGCATACTCTTACAAGACCGTTCACATTGAACATAATTCATCTTCATGGGTGCATAGGGGCGAATAAGTTTTGTATAACTTTTAAGCCGACTTCCAACACAAGATTTCCAATGTATGACTGATCTGGCCAATCAGCAGACAGCAGAGGAAACTTCGCCGAGCTTTCGCCGCGTACGTCAACACGCACGCATCTGAAATGTGACATAGAACGGGGTAGAGTGGATTATTTAGCAGACGACAGTTCCAGTCGAAAGATTTCCCGGTGCAGCGGCAGCTCTCTCCTCGCAGTTCTCGATCATGCTCTAAACTCACACGACCAGAAGGCGAGGTTAACATTAATGTTCTGAGATTTTTAGCTTGTCAACATGAACTTCGCGTGAGGAAATATACTCGGAAACAATCACTTTAGCGGGACGGAAAGAGTCGTCATCGCCCAATTTTCAGAACGCATCCGTCGATGGAGGGAAAGTACTGAAACTCTGGTGTATGCATTCATGTAGAGAGCGAGAGAAAAGGCTCGACGGCTCCTGCTGTTCAGCGGCGAAGTTGACTTGGGTAGCTAGGCATATCTTGCTGGTTACTGCTGGAGCTGGCTACAGCATACTGCATTCGTTCACATTTTTGCCTTTTCACTCAAGACTGGACTGATTTCAAGGATACCTTTAGTTTCGCATTAAAAAAAGGAAAAGATGGCGGCCATAGATTCTTCTTGTTTCTTAGAGCATAAACTGAGGCAAAATTCACGTGCCATCACCGGCACCCTACTCGCCATTCTAATAATGCTTTCAGATGCCAGCGTCTCTTTTGCCACAAGGGTAAGTTTAGCCGTGTCTGTCAAAAAGTAAATACTCTAATTTAAATAAAATGAACATTTCGAATATGCACTTGTAAATTCTATGTATGGATCTTTATTAACATAAATGAAATTAATCGCTCTGTGTAAATGCAAGTTATTAATTGCCCTACATTATTTGTACTTTTTTCCCTTTGGTACTTGTTTATGTTTTTCTGTTACTCTGTCATTACCCTGTATCATTCAGTATTGTGAGAAAAAAAGAAAGCAAGTTCACAAATAAATGACGTATTTAGCCTGAGAGAGTGAGAATGGAAAACAACACAAGGCAGATGGTGAAATAAGTGCATGTGTTTTGTGTGTTTATTCTGCACTTTTCCAATAATCGAAGTAAATGGTTTGTCACTGTCCAGCTCGGTGGAGCTTTAAAAGTGAGACTCGTTAATTGGTGTGATTAACCTCACCCTAATCAGTAAGCCTGAACAAAAAAGATGGCATTATCCTCATTATTAACTCTTCACACACGGATCAATACAAACCCATCACTGGGGTCGATATCGTCATCACAAACCATTCGTCGGCGTTTACATGAACCGTCGAATCCGTCGATTTTTGGCAAATTTTTCAAATATTTTTTTTTCCATAATTGCGTTGACTGTTATGATATCTTTCGACTGACAAATTTTCAGATGCTGATTTGAGATAATTTTTGACAAAAACATGTTTATATTTTTACTAAAAACGAAACGTTGCGCGGAGCGATTGCATGAACCGTCGAATGCGGATTCGTCGGTTCATGAAACCAACCCTCCTTAAATTCTAGCAGACGATGAACCGTCGAATCTGTAGCATCGTCTGAACGGGATGTAAAAATTGGTAAGCAAACTGTGTTTCGTGTACCTAGTTGTACTTTTATGAGATTAGATGCATGAATTTAATGAAAATCCGAAGTCGCTGCTTAAATTATACCAATTTATAACACATTTAAGCAGATATTTCGAACTCAAAACTCGGATTGTCCCACCTGTTGATTTAGATGTTAGTAAATCCAGAGATTTCGATAAAATCAATTTCAATGGACAATATACTATAGGTCGAGGTCAAGACGGACGATTGTTCGTACTATGAATCTTAAATTAAACTCTAATGTGTTATCATTTCCCTTGTTTTTTTAAATATGGTTAGACTTTTGAGTATTACTGTGTTAAATTATTAAGTGTCGACGGCGGTTAAGTCTGGACTGTACAGCTGTAGCTCTAGACTACATGTAAATGTAGAGTCTAGTGTGGTGCATGCATGGTGTTGCTCATGGTTGCAGGTTGTCACTCACTACTATTCATTTTATTTTAAACTAGAGTTTAGACTAAGTTAAGTAAGAGTTTAGTCACCTTGACACTTCCGCAATTTTTTGTTCCCCCATATACGCCATACTTAAATATTGTTCACGCCATTAATATTCACGCAGTGTTATAAGACCCTCTTGCCGTCACTTTTTCTTTCCTGTTTTCCTTAGTTTTCTGTGCCGTTGAATGCACATGGGTAAACAATGTGCAAGTAATGTGAAAACTGCGGGAAGTATCCGCAGCCGATGCACAAATTATGAGCAATTTATTCGTAAATCCATCGTGAATTAGTCGAAAACATGCGTGCCACTCGGGCATTGGCACGCACCGGTCAGTATGGACACAGGTAGAATACGTATAGGATACTCATTGTTCCTGAAGTGTTCACGAAAGTCGTCCACCAAATTTGTTGTGCCAAAATTTTAAACATTTTGAAAATTCTGCCACAAATTTCAAGCTTTGTCCCGCATGGGCCTCATCCTCCAGCATATGTTCCGCAAACGCTTCCCGTTATGGCAGAAATATGGCATGAAACGATGGGCAAACCATGCACAAACCAATATCGTGCAAGTGTCAGGGTGCTCTAAGACTATGAGTTTAACTTTGAAACTAGTGACTAGATTTTGTCTAGATTTAGATCTCTACTGTTTGTGTTAGTTAATTTAGTATGCAAATAATTGTGGTACCATTCATTGTTTCAATCCCTTGCCTTTTGTTTTGTTTTGATATTATTGTAATAGAAAGATGAGTATGGGTACTACATGTCGATGTTTATTACTTGAGTACACAATTTCTGTGCGGGGACGCTAATAACTAATAGGGGCCTGGTTGGTTATGGCTCTGTCCTGATGATACTGACACACACTACAACAGCCTTAATTGGTTCTGTGATTTGTGTAGATCTACTCACCTTTTCTCTCCATACATTCACAAATTGAAGATTCTTTTTAAATCAATAAAATTTGAATTTGAATTATGAAATATCCAGCCCCACCCTCCACCCCCATGCCGCCTACGCCTATATGATGACTAGGACAGTCAGGTATTGGGGGGGGGGGGGGGGCTGAGGTGGTTTCCTTGTAAAATGTATCGTCTTAATTGTCACCAAAATAAATGTTCATAAGTTTGACTCTAAGTTGAGGGGGGGGGGGGGGGGAGGGGGAGCAAGATTTCCCATAAAGGGGGCAAATTATGATAGGATTATGGGTGTGTTATGTTTTTCCTTTCTCTTGTCCCCACTGGAGCGGGGGAAATATATTAGCTAGATTATGGGGATGTCTCTATATAATTATCAAAGATGAAAAGAAAAGACATGATACAGGGGACGCCACCGTTCCCATAATGCCTTATGGTCACAAAATCGAATCTTATTTGGCTTAAAATCTTGAAAATCCTTACTTGTATTGTATATTTACGAAAAGCTTGAATATAGTTTATAACTTAAGTCCCTATAACCCCCTCTCTGTCGCTTCCTTCCTTTGCTGAGGATTAGGGACATGTTAGATCAACCCCTTGATGGCAACGGTGCTACACCCCCCCCCCCCCCCCCCCCCCCCATGAAACACACACAGGCTATGCCATCTATGAACTACTTGGACGAGAATTGTCGATAATATGCACTTGTACCAAGGAAATACTTCAGGGTGGGTGGGTCGAATCGCGCAGCTTGGGGGGGGGGGGGGGGGGGGGGGGGGGGGGGGGAGGGGGCTAGGGCCCGGAATGATGGGTCACATATCTTATTGGGGCATGCCTTTTTTTATATTTTTTAAAAGTATGTTTTCAATTAATGTTTTCTACAAATATTCGGGCCATGTGGCGTCCCCCCCCCCCCTGCACCCACCCCTAAGCCGTGGGGTGTCCCCTATCCATTTTGCTTTCTTATTATCATTTTGTTTATTGCTTATTTGACTTTCATTTTTGTATGAATAGGGACCCTCTTCTCCTATTATGAAAAGCGACTCTCTTCTTGTATTATGAATAGCGGCCCTCAGGCTTTTCTAGTATTATGAATAGGAACCCTTTTCTCAAATTATGAAAAGCAGCCTTATGAATAGCGGTCCTTATGAATAGTGGTCCTTATGAACAGCGGACCTTATGAATAGCGGTCCTTGTGAATAGCGACGTTGAACTGATTTTTTGGTCTAGGTTGGTGATTATTAAGAATGTAAGACTACTTCAGTTTAGTTCAGGATTGGGTAGCATGGTTTGGGTTAGACAGAAATAACCATCTGGTATGGGTCATTCTTTAATAAAACAGACTTTTGCCAACATTTCCCATGTAGACGGTACTTTTATGGCTCGCACAACAGAGGTAGATTGATCGATTGCTACCGATTTTGTACCTTTTACCATTTTGTATTTTTACGTATTTCCAAAGGCAAAATTTACGGAATTCCTTTATACGAGTTGTCCAACGGTATGTTTATGAATTTAAACTGTAATCTATGACAAGACCTGGCCAGGTCAACTTCGCAAAATAATAATAAAAATTGAAACTTTTCATTTGTTTTCCAGCAATAGATAGTTGGAAGTTTCTCGCAGAAATCCTGGCATGACCTTTGGCTGTATTCTCGTGAAGAGTGCTGTGTGATCTGGTAAGTAATTCAGTTTGACCTTTTTTTCTTCTTTATGTCTTCTTTATGTCTTGTTTGTTCAACAAAAGAATAATTGTGATAAGGTAAGTACATGTATGACTGCACATTATTGTCACATACTGCCATACAATTTGGAAATTGACTAGATAGGTTCTGGCACATGTGCTGTTTTTAACATTCAAATATAGGACAGCTCCCCCTCCCACCCACCCCCCCCCCCCCCCCCCACTGTGTCAATATCTTGAAAATTACAGTGTGGTAGAATGTGCAGTGAGAATATGTTAATCGACATGACATGATGACATGATGACAGTGTGATTATTTTCTTTTTTAAGTGACAAATTCTAGTATAAGGTTCATTTGTACACCTTATTGTGTTGAGTATTATCTTATTTGATAATGAATCTCAATTGAGTTTAACATACTGGTACCTGTACAGTATATCAGATGCCATCTGTTGAACGATTCGTCACATAAATTGATTTGCTGCAGTAGTCAATTGTATTAATTCATATATTTTATGTTTTCTAAATTCATCCCAGAATACATGGTTACACTATGCAGTGAAAGGCATTCTGCAGTTGGGATTATGGTAGATTGACTGCAAAATGTGAGGAAGCAATCTATTGAATACTGAAAACCCAAAGTGACTACTACTTCTCCAGCAGCAAGGGCTATATAATCTAAAGATTTCACAGTTGGTGAGTGACAGCATTTATAAAATAACTTCAGTTTTTGGCCTGAATGTGACATTCAAGATTATTCTATTCATCTTCTTTTCACAAAATTGAATAATCCCTAACAGGTACAGCTATAGCCCACAAGTTAGACACTTGGTATCCTACACGTAAAAAAGGCCCCCAAGCTAGACCATAAGTTAAAAAGGACCGTGAGCTAGACTCAATATCTGTATTACGCAGTGTCAAGCTTGTAGGTCTATTTCACCTAGTGTCTAGCTAGTGAGCTGTATGTGTTGTGTGCCGTTTACATCATAGATTGTTGATCGTGTGGGCCATATGGATCGTGGGTGTCTAGCTCGTGGGAACACCTTCTCCCTCTCTGAAGGTTGTTGCAATTCATCTGATCATTGTACAGATCTGAGCATGTTCTCTTCTATCTTATTCCCATTTCCTTTTCTAGAAAGAGGGTTGCCATTCTTGTTTTTTGTTTTTTTCCTTTTTATCATTGTGATCAATGCCTTCTTTCTTTTTATAAGAAGGTACTGTACATGTACAAGTCAACTGTCAAGTGTTTTTTTTTTTAAACGTACTTGATAGCAGAGTGATTTACAGAGTCATTATTTAATTGTCATGATTCTCTGAAGATTTTTTTGTCTTGTCTGCATAGCTAGAGTGAGACATAGGTACCGCTTTTTTCCTACCGTGGCATCAACAATTTAAAATCACTCTCATTTCAAAAGGTTATGTCCAAATTTGATGAAAATTGCACATAGCAATAGGCCATTTTCGTAATGTAACCAAATTTAATGCATAAGTCTTTGTGAAGTGCCTCAGTACAAGTTATTTCATTCACCTTATAAGAATAATAGTATTTCAATAGTCAGAAGGCAAACTGCATATATTTAGTGTTGCTAGGTAGGTCAAGCCATAATGTTTGTCCAACCTGGCAACAACTAATGTATGCAGTTCGGATTCTGTCTATTGAAATACTATTATTCTTTTCAGGTGAATGAAATAACATGTATTGAGGCACTTCACAATGACTTATGCATTAAATTTGGTTACATTACGAAAATGGCCTATTATCAAGCATCACTTTATTATGTGGAAGAAATTTTATGAACAGAGTCAAGGTCAAAAGTAAGCTATGTTTAATATTACTTTAAGTAAGCAATTTGATGATACTTGCACCAATCATTATTAAGGATCATACATGTAGATTATGTGGAAGAATTTTCATATCCAAGGTCGTGGTCAAAGGTGAATTATGGTCACTTGTGTTATATTTTGCTTCAAAAATAACCTTTTGTTAAATTCTCATTTCAAAAGTATATGTCCAAATTTCATTAAACCTGCACCCAACAATTATGAGGAAGAATTTCATCGCCAAGATCAAAAATCAATTATTTTTTAGTGAATGAATAGTGTTGCCATCCAGTGGTTGGTCATTTAACCTGTTTTTAGTCAATTTGGCCGAATGCTACCAAATTTCTCATGAGATATCAATTGGTAGTGTTCATACTTAATAGGCAAATTGCGAGGTGCAGGCAAGACATCACATGCAGTTTGACTTGTTTTTCTATTTTATTTATGCCTATATCTTTTTATTTTATTTTCAGGTGGAGATGTCCTGAACTTGCTTTGTGCTGCAATCTCTTGTACGTACCACAAGATTCCAGGAATGTGATAACTCAACTTTACTTTCATCATAGAGGTGTTTTGGTCTAGTGAATAAGTCATCCGACTGCAGGTCACAAGGTACAGGGTTCAAGTTCTGCTGCAGCACTAATGTCCTTTGGCGAGACGTTAATCTACATTTGTCACTCTCCACCCAGGTGTTAAATGGGTACCCGGTAGGATGCAAAAGTTAATGTAGTTGGATGAGCAAGTGTGCGTTTGTAAAATGGGGACTGGGCGGAATGCTCCCCAGGGAGTGAAGAACATGCTTGTGTGCGGGCAAGCCTAAATCTGATGACTGAGTAATGATATATATATCTGTAAAGCGCTTAGACACATCGTTGTATTGATGTATCATGCGCTATATAAAAGCAGAATATTATTATTATTACACCTGTAAGAACATCAAGATTTCAAGGTTAAGAATTTCATAATTATAAAAAGCAAGGTGATGAATGAGAAATATAAAAGATTCAGCCTAATTTAATTGTCAATAAATTAATGCAAATGAATGTAAAACCTTTCATGATTCTATGGTTACACTGATGGAGCATGCTTGCATGTTGTAATTATGATTCATATCAAAGTTATTTTGATTATCTTTTGCCAATTGCCCACTTTTGTAAAATAGAATATTTCAAGCTATCACATCTGGTTAAAGCTACAATAGCTGACAGTTGGGAAAGCATGTTCAATTTGTTTTGGTGTCAATGGGTGCCGGCTTAATGTGCATATGTATAGTGTTGGGTTCATGATCATACATCATGTTGAGCCCTTACTGTGTCGAACATTACCTCTTTAAGTGGTTATTTATATTAGGTATTGAAGATCAGTACAAGTTCAAGGCAAAGTTACCATAAGCGCATTACAAATTTAGTACATCGACAAGGGGCATTTAATAACAATTAGTGAACTGGCGGCATTGTATTAGAGAGTTTTTTGAAATTGTGACACTATGTCTAAAACTTTTGATGAAGGAATAACCCACTGTAAATACAAATAATTTCACAAACATATCTTCACTGAAAATATATGTGAGAATATAGTGTTACATGGTTTTGTGAAAACCATTGTTCTTGTGCATTACCTATATGACAATATGAGGTATAGTATACCAGGTCAGCAGCTGATTGTGAAATCATGAACATTGTTACCAGTTCACTTTAATGCAGATCTTTATTTGACCTTTACTCAAATCGTTTCGGAACTCATGATAATATTATGTAGCTTGTGCTGAATTCATGATATAGCCCAAGAAAATAAGTACACTGAATGGCACATGATTTGAATTGAATTTTTTTTATTCATCAAATATGTGTAACACTCGAAAATTGTCCTGTTATTTCACCTAAATATATAGGATTATGATGTGTTTTAGATTAGGTCACACTACAATCGTCAGTGGTATCAATGCCACAGTTGTCATTACTCAAAGAGTTCTAATTTGTGATAGTTGATTATTAAATAATTGTCAAGTGTGTTTAAGATTGATGTCAAATAAATTTTGGATGTGAAAATATAATTTTGTCGTGTTTAGTTATTATTTGATAACATATACAATGTTTCAACATAATTGTAGTAATCTGCCTGTCATACTTAAGGAAAAGGGGTTACAAACTTCAGTTCAGGATTATTTCTTATACTAGAAGTAGATGCTAAATGTCAAGCATGATATCAATAATGTGTTTAGCTTATGGTTACATTTTCGTTCATATAAATCAAGGTCTTCGAAGAGAGATGGTTGGAAATGAAATTATGTGATCATGAAAATACCCAAATTACGAGGGTGTGTGAGCGAAAATATATGGAGACTGAAATTGATTCAGAAAAGTGAAAGAGAAAGAAAAATAGAAAGAGGATAAAGAAAATAATTAAGTGGTATGATCGAGAGGCCAAGCAGTATGCAATGATTCAATGAGTGGTTGAATTCAACTCCATATAAAGATGAATTATATAGAAAACGATTGGAGAAACAAGATGTGATGGAGGGGGTAGGATGGCTAATTAGACAAATTGAAACAGAAACAATATTATAAGGAACAAAATTTGAAGGGAGATCAATATTTAGGAAATGTTTATGAAGTCTTGATATTTCCTGAATTATTCATTTATTATTTAAAAGTCTCATTAAGAAAAATGAAAGTAGTAGGCCTAACCCAGATTATTCGATAGGTAAGCTCGAACAGTTCAACATTAAAAGTTCGATGACCCGCATTGGGCGCGTGTATTAAACGAGCAAGAACGGTTGCATGAACCGACGAATCCATGCGCATTCAGCGCTTTTGTGCTGCGCGTATTCACTTTCTGTTTTTATGAACCGTCGAATGCGCTCCGTTTGCCACTTTCTGTGGAAAAGCGTAGTGCGAAATTACATCATCATTTTTATTTTATCATTACTCGACGATTGTTCAAAATTATGATTTGTTTTTTATATGGTGATTGTAAGCTGGTTTCAGGCTTTCACACTGACTAAAAATTATCAAAATCAATTATCGTACATTGCGCTATAGCGATGTTGGAAAATGTCGAACTTTCAAACGCGTTTTTCTCGAAAGTAAGATTTTGAATTAAGTGGACGGATTCGACGGTTCATGTAAACGCCGACGCATTGTCCTCTAACAATTACTTCGAGCCTTTCCTTCGTGGTTCTTCCTTGAGAAAAGGGTCAGGCCTGGAAGAAAAAAGCTAGGATCTTATGAAAGCGGGACCCAACTCTGTTCTTATTTGCAGCGAGTATCCAAATAACAGGTGTGTTGTTCAAAAGGGATAAGCTGGGACATGCCGATACATTCAATAACTGCATTTTGGTTTATTTGAATTACTATTGAAAACGGAATGAATGGTCATTTTGCAGCTTGGATGCTTGAGCAAAGATAGGACAATACAACAGAAGGACGCAGGATGGTCTAATGCAGAATGTATTATGTCTTCTTCCCCATGTCCCCATTCAGTTGCAGGTTAAAATGTCGATTTATAGACCCGTTGAATCATGTTATGCATTCTTCTTGGGCTAAAGTTTCTATGACAGGTGCTTGCCGGATAAAGCAACAGTTCTGCAAATTAAATTCCAGTAAAAGAGATGCCATTCTGAATAACTTAGCATGATAATAGCAAGTGAATTAAATAGTTCGATAATGGAGAAGAAAACAAAATTCGAAAAATCAGTGCAAATATCTATTACCCTACCATGATACAAACGGGACATTTTGGGAAAATAAGTAATAACACCGACTCATAGGTATGTCAAAATGTATTATAAAGCAGTATCTCTGTATCGAATTTTGGACATGAATGTGTTCGTCATGATGTGATCGGATTATTAGAGGCAACAAAAGAGATACGAGTGATTAGATTAGATTTTGATACAGTATATACCAAACACTGCGCATCCTGCATGTGTAGGGTTTTGATTGCAGATTAATTTCTTTAGACGTTGTACTTAGTATGGTATAATGCTAATCTGCTGTAAACAGACGATTCTAATCAACTAGACACAACGGGAGTTTTCCTGGAGGAATCAAGCCTTCTTGGTATAGGATTAATGAGATGATGGATTTGAGGAATGTGGGCGGGTGCAGTTAATTAGGAATTAATCTACAACATTGTCATTGATCAGTGAATGGTTAATCGGGCGTTGCGTCAGAAATAAACTCTTTACATGAACTTTTTTAAAGAAGTCAAGAAAACAGGCAACAACATGTTTCGGATCCCTCTGGGAATGGTATCATCAGAATTTTGACAGCATTAACTTATATTCCAATATTCATTTCCCCCATAGTTTGTCTGCCTTGTAGCATGAGAGTATAATATTTGAAATGAAGCCTACAGGATAATTGATTTCTTTTCTTAAAAGACTGCCCAAAGTGTCAATAGGCACCATGTAATTATGCCATTTAAATGGGATAGATTATGATGCTGCAATACAACCTAGATTCATCAAAGTGTCCGATAATTGCACTCAATACAGAACATTTTATCGTAAACCTTTAATGGCCACGTCTTTGAAACCGTGTGGCTTCACATTCAAATGGGGATTACTTTTTCTAATGTATTATGAGCGACTCACTTCTAAAAAGGAAATGTTCCGCGTTGCCATCTGAAAACCCCCAAAGAAGAGACAAAGAATCCTTTACTCGATTGCTAATCAGAAAATTGTCCACAATTCGAAGGACATGTTTTTAATGAAGGAACTACACTCGTTTCCTTGTTCCACCATGTAAGAAATAATCGGATGAAATGATGTGATGACGTAAGAAAAGTTTCTTCTCAAATTGCCAGTGGCAACCAAAAATACTTTCATTATTTTCTTTTACTTCAGTAGCATCAGGCGCTTGAACAATGCTTCTGCTTTACTCTCCGTTTCCATAAGCCTCTCATTCTTCTTTTTATAGACTAGTTTTAGGCTTGCTGTTCATTTTCTCCTCATATCTTCTTTTTATTCAAAAGCATGGATATCTCTTTTGCATTGGAAAGGTTTCCTTATGTGTTAAAAAAAGACGTGTTTTAACACTCACTTAACCGACAGTGTTAACTTAACACATGGATTGGGTGGTAATCTGTCTTCAATGGCTTCGCTATATGATGCGAGTCTTTTCAGTAAATCCAAGCAGGTAATACCTCGTTTGTTAACTCGAAACACACTAGTGTTCTCAAAGTGTAACAGTTGTTTCGGAGCTTTTTGTTAGCGCAGCGGACTGTTCTGAACGATTTAATGTAAGTTATTTCAGTGGCGCTAATCACGCCCCCGGGCGTTTTAAGAGTATTTATCTGAATCTGTGAAAAGAAAAGGTTAACAATTACGATTTAGGCTGGATCTGAGCAGCTAGCTCGACTGAGAATCGGTTTTGTAGGTCTCCACGTCATACACGAGACCGACCCTAGTCACCCGACATGAAGCTACCAGACAGCTAGCACAATCGTATGAATTTTATGTGTGAATGCATGAAACACTGATCCCATAAAAGACCCATATATATCAGTGTTTTGTCTAGAAGAAAAAAAATACGAACGAGAAAACGACAATCATATTTGGATAATTTGCATTATATTATATAAATTGATTTAGGCCTATAAAAATGAAGCACACTTTGAGAAGTAAAAAAATTCTTTTAGTCATATTAGTCATAAATTGTATTCGAATTCTGTTATGGAGAACCTAAAGGGCAATACAGTGAGATTATATTTACCATCTATTTTAAAAGTCTCATTTATATCTCTTTTTGTATGTTTAAAATTGTTTTTAGCTCAGATATTAGCGTATGATATTGCCCCTTTACATTATGTATGAATCAAGCAGTGATTAATTTACTTGGAACTTCACTAGAATACATTGTGAAAACCATATTCTAAATTGATGTGCACATGGTGATCAAGATGATATATTAATACTGATGTTAAAGAAGTAAATTATATTAAAAGTGGGTCTAAATTCCAGACTAATCGTTTGAAAACGGGGAGAAAAATGGAAACTCTTTGGTTGAGTTTTATGGGGAACATACTTCAACCCGTGACTGCACTTTTTTGATACCTTTTGACTTCGTACACTTATTTAGCGGCGGGATTGGTGAACTGTGAAATTGAAAGGCATTGTTCAAAATAGATTTTATTGTCATCCTAATGACAGTTTAAGGTATGTTCCTCAGGGAAACTTTTGCATGCTAATCCCGGAGCAGTGATGCCCTCCAGGTAAACGCAGTGGTAATGGAAATCATTAACACAATACCAATTCAAACTTGTGCATCAACTGGAAAGAATGCACGCCTCCCAGAAAGATTACACTCATTTTTGTTGTAAAGAATACAAAGTTATCTCAGATATCGCAAGTGATTAGCATCTGATCGTAGCCAATCTTGGAGATGTTATCTCGTAAGTATAATAAGCGCGACACCCAGGTGTACACAGAGGTTGATAAAGAAACCCAAACGACATCAATTTGTAATCATGTTGAACTCCTTGTGAACGGCGGCTAGGCAATGTTGCAAACTGGAAACTTACACAATATTTTGTGCAACACCTTTACAAATAGTAATGGAGGACAAATCATGGAGTAATAAGGTTATTTTGAAGGACGACAATTGACGTTAGTGCAAAGCATCTGTGACGGAATAGATAGTGCATTTTACTTCTGCTTCTCGTTGAATATTATAGAAAATGAATTATTTGTACCCATGTACACCAAATAAAGAATATTTTGAATAGTATGTCGACATTTTGTCACAATATATTATTCCTCTTTCTTGAAATTGTGCTAATGGATCGGATACAACATTGATTGCGGAACCAACTATGTAGCGATAATAACTACTTTCATTTTTCGTTGAATTTTCAAAGTTGCAGTTCATTTGAGGAATCAATGCTTGTATCTGAAGGGGAATTGAGAAAATGAAGTAGGCATATTATATGAAATATAAGTCACAACTTTCTTACACTTCTGAAAGAGTGCAAATGAAGAGCATGAACATGTAGTTGGATCTCACTCTTATAATGCCCTGAAAACAAGTTCACTCTACGAACCTCTGAAGGAATCTTATGATTATGCCTCTTTCACTCACCTGTGACCAAAGGTTGACATGGAAATCATTCATCACAACCCTCAACATTATTTCTTAGGAATCATACCAATAATTGGGTGGAGTCACACACACGAGTTGGTATGACCCAGTCCCTGTTCAGAGAGTCAAGGGGTGCGGGAGGGGGGGGGGGGGGGGAGAATGGATATGAGTCATGTTAGGAGTTAAATTCACTCTTAAATTATTGGTATCCACCCAAAAGTAATGGCTACAACTACAACACTCTGAGAGTTGATTTAACAAAACTTGCCTGGATCCCACTCCAAAACGAGGTGATCCCCAAAGAGTGGGAAAACGAATGAGAAAATGAGGGATAGTCAAGATGGAAGAAAGAAGGATAAGAGGGGGGGGGGGGGTGGCTGTGTGAAACAAAATACTGCATATCCAGAGCTCTAGACAAAATACAGACACGTGTTTCTCTTTCAGTGTTTTCTTTTACTGCATATAAGTTGTCGACCTCATATATTTTGTTGTTGTATACCAGTACGTAGACGTCTTCTCGTTAGCCACTTGGTGATAAGGCAACTTGACGTTTAGTTATCTCGACTATCTCGCCAGGGCAATACCGGAAATATTTCATCGCGTTTTTCTAGGTCAAAGACAAAGACGAATGCCCTTCAGTTTACCCCTCTCCTGCCGCCAGTTTGACAATGAAATGTAAATAATATAAATGACTGGGATAACCTTGTATCATGGTCTGTAAGCTAATGACAACATTTCATTCGAATGTCATCAATGAATATCACCATCGATCTGTCTGATTGTGAGCTCTCGTAGCTGCATGTCAAGACCAGCAAGTTTATTTGCTGTGGCCTGCCGTGCATATACAGGGCAATGTAATATCATGGTAATATGTAATTGATATACTAAATTCATAGTCTCTTCTTAGTTTTAACATGAACCTAATGGTTTTAATCATATACATCTAGTATGATCTAGGTTAGGAATTTTTTTCACGAAGAATTTTGTGTCCCAATTGGTGTGTAATATTCGAGAACATGCAGGCCTATACCTCATCGACATTAGCATCATTTCCAGAACATACTAATTGGGTAGTTTTGTTATCGATTTGCTCGTCCGTCAAGTAATAATGTAATTTAATAATTTTGATATGATTATTATGCGCATGAAGACGAAGACAGTCGCCGCTCGGCTGGCCTAAATAACACGCTTACCATTCATACTTTGTGAACGAGTCCGAGACGAGCTAGCTGTCTACTCTGATGTCGGACTCTCGGACTCTGCGAGACAGACAACGAGGCAGGGATGTTTGGAGAACACCGAGGCCATATTAATAGGATAGCACTTCGTGATATAATACGACTATAATTGCATGTATGCCATGTGCTTCTGGGGGTAATTGTCACTTTTCAAAACAAAACAAATTGACTAGATATCAAATTCAACCCTCCCCCCTCCCCCAATACATTTAAGGTACCATGATAAAGCTAAGTTTCCTCGTTATTCTAAATACTTAAAATATTCTATTGTCTTCCAGGGAGTAATATTTAATGGTTTGTCGAAGTATTTCATGAAATGATAGAATGATCTGCGTTTGCACACATACAAAAATTACAAGTTTGAGCATAAACTGCCCAAAATTGATCACCATAGTTGTACCTCACGTAGTCGCCCAAAGAATATTTTTACCTAGTCTGCCAGTGAGTTGGAGGAGCGTGTATACGCCCTTCTCGATCAGACGTACCCCAGACATGGTAAAGGAAACAGCTAGCGTTGAACTTGAGCCTGCATGCTGGGTGGTACGACTTCATAGAAGGCTTTCTGAGGCAAATTTCCGACTCCTATTCGATCTTGGCGCAAAGCCACTGTCGCCACGTCGTTTCATTTAATGATGAGCTCTCGAAGCGATTGTCAATGCCGAATTGTGTCATGTTTACGCAGAGCCAGGGAAACAATTTGTTTGGTGAAAAGTTCAGAGAATTCAAAGAAGTGTTGCTTTCCATCTAGGATTCGATAAATGCTTCACTAGCTTCCTTACACTTAACATCTAGGGATACATTAAACTTTATCGTGATTTGTTGATTCATAACCCAAATGACGAATACTAATCCTATAGCATTTCGCGGATGCCCATTCTAAACCTAAATATTTTTCATCCGCACAAAATACGCATATAATTCAAGCAACCTAAGAGACAATATGAGGCGGTGGATAAAAGTATGAAGGAAACTAACAGGCCTACTGCATTGAAACCCTAACACATCTTGAAAACTGTTAAGGGTCTCATGACAATGCCATAATACTGTGTTCTATGTGTTAAAAGTATATTTACTGATTATGAAAGTAAAATAAGGCATTCTTTAGCTTTCGTTCGTATTCGTGGCGTATTGCGTATATAGTGAAACAAGCATATCCCCTCCCCGTTTGAAGGCTCCATCAAAACGTGTCCCCGGTCGGGAGGATGATTCGAAGCCCCCCCCCCCCCCTTCAGTCGAAAATTTGTTTGATTTACCAAATCATTCTTTCTAAGTTTATCAGATGGCAAATAGCAGAGTTACCAAAAATTGAAAACAAATTCTTACTCGAAACCTTCAAAGGTTCTTGCTATTCCTTAATAACAGATTTGTCTATTCAACTTTTAATTAGCTGTTTAGTACCACTTTATTTCTTTACCATCTGACGTCATGAAACCATTGTGCGATATTGTAGCTTTCCATGACATTTTCTAGGAAACTACCCCTCACGTATTGTCGCCCCCACCCCGCCTTTCGTTCGTCATCAGTCTCCTTCCATGCCCCTTCTCATCAAATGGTACCAATGCCCACCACCTCCATCCTTAGATTTCATGAACACCATTCCATCAAAATTGTTTCTCCATTCATGTCCCAGACAGGTCGGAACAATGTCACAATTTTCTGCGTCGATGCCCCAGAAAGGCAGCCGCCTTGATTTGAGCGCAATAATGAACCATAAATGAAGCCATTCAATAGAAAGGGTGGGCGATAATGAGAAGGACATAAAAACACAATAGAAACAGTCATTTGTAGTACCTTTGTGCTTCGGAATTACAATTATATGCACTGGGAGAACTTAATGTCTAAAATAAAAAGTTTTTTGTCACTGAAAGAGCGTTGTGTCCTGTTTTCTTTCAGGTTTTTGTCATAATATAGGATCTGTGGGATGGGAGAGTCATTTTGGAGTATTGTTATTGTTGGATATTCTCATGTTCATTTCTTAGTAATATGGCAGGGGAGAGGCCGTTATTATGATGACCGGTGAAGGTCATGGGACCGCCATCATTTTGTCCAGTCATTTTAAATTCAAGTATCATTTCGAAGACTTTGGCAACGTATGATTCCATCGATGGTCTATAAAGCCACAGTCTACCTTTCTACATAATTTGGTTTAGACTGCTATTGGTAATATACTAGAAACCTGTCTGCGTCACTGATATTTTTTCATTTTCGCAAGCATTCAACTCATTAGGTTCAATATTTTAATGATTTGTCATATGAATAGTAATAATGAATGGAATGGATAGCATCCATTTTGGCCTCTTGCCGCCGGATCCGGGATTATATTACTAGGCCTACAAGATGAAAGTTTGATTCTTCGTGCCCCTATCCTATCCTTTACCGAATGTCCACTTTGAGTGATAATCGCAAACATGGAACCACTACTAATATGCTCTTTAATTATAAGGATTGTATATAGGAACATGATTATGAAACTTCACGTTGGCAATGATCATTACAAGTGCATGGACAAGTCATTCGATATTATTTGGTGATAGCGTTGCCCGACTATCCCGTAGTGCCGACAGGGTGGCCGTGTGTTACCTTTGCATTGATGCCGATTGACAGATATAGCGCAACGAGAACCTTTTCCTCAGTCCCATATGTAGAAAACCACGGTATGACCTTCGCGGTCTTTACACATGGGAGAAAAGCGAACCGAACCGGTCAAAATAAGCCCCAAAACATGAAATTAATGTTATAGTGCTATTCATTATTAATTAATGGGTTGTGGTTCTTGGTAGAATACACCAATCAATGTCATTTTCCAGTGAAAGGCAACCCATTATGCCCATCAGACCTTGGCAACATTTGTTGTTGACAAGCCATTTGTATTTCAAGCACCGATTATGTTTACACACGTGTTTTGTTGGAAATGGAAAAGATGTAGGAAATGGAAAAGATGTAGGAAACTAGAAATATTGTCCATGTGATATTCCCCTCCCTTCCTTGTAAAAAGAACGTTCATAACTACAATCATGTATGCATGCAGTCGTTTACGTCGCGAGAGGAAAGAGGAGGGACGGGTCGACACCTTCGACACCCCTTCAATATTTTTGTCAACTCCATTATAATTATGAGAAAAAAAAGTTTTGACTTAAATTCTAAACCTTGTAGATATTATGTACAGGTGTAGGTAATTATGAAGACCCGAGATTTTTTTTCTGTTTAAAATTGTATTGTTTTGGCGTATCTTTTTTTGTTGGCAAGCTTATTTATACATTTTCTCGTCAGCATGCACTGGACACTTTGTTACGATAGTTCTGTCTCTCTTTCTCTCTCTATTTCTTTTTCTGTCTCCCTCTATTGTTTCTGCCATATTTTATAATAATGGCACGACAGCAGTTATATTGTCTAAGGTAGGCTTATATAAATCTCGGAAAGTCTCAAATTGATTTATCATACAAAGAAAACGCAAATTGAAACAGGATTTGTATATATTGATGAGGTATGTTTTGGTGTAGTCCTAAAGTGAGGGTATTCGACTTTCTATCGTATCTATGACAACAATGAGCAGCCCTTGAATGCCGAGTTCAAGAAAGTACAGTTACACTATATCAATTATCATATTCTAGCACTAATTGGGTCTGGTGGAGGGGATGACTCTGTGATGTTTGGCCAGCGTCTGCCCCTCTGTCGAGCCGCTGCACCGCGGGAGCCAAATATCGACCGACTGGCCTAGCCAGGGGCGGATCCAAAAGGGAAGGGGTACAGGGGACACGACCCCCTTTTATATTCACTAAAATTATATTACACGTATATCACGCACGTACAAGATTTTGCGTGTGCCCCATAAGTTTTTGATGATGTTTGATGATCACGCACATATAGAAGGATGGGGGAGGGGGGGGGGGGCGAAAGAGACGCCCCTGCCCCGGTTCGAAATCATGAACCCGCCACTGCTATAGACTATTTATCTACCCCTCTCTCTCACAACCTCACTATATACGCCTTGGTATATTCAATTCATGGCCACAGCGATTTATTTCTATTCTGAACCCTGCATATCGACCTTTTTTGTGACTTATTCTGCAGTAAATATTATATCGCTACATTGTGTGTGAAGACATAATTACGGTTAATGCATAGTCTACATTTATATTGGTTTGTAGGATAGGAACATATATTCTAATCGACATTTCCCTATAACGGGGCTATTACTACATTACCAAACCATTTTATTTCGCAAATAGGAATGAGATTGAAGGGAGGCTACTCGGCCAGACCAAATGCCAACATGATCTTTTCATAGTTCGTCATACCTAATGAAAATATGATATGAAATGTACAGAGCACGACACGGTGGTGATTGAATAGTACGTGGTGGAATTGTAGTCAAATCGGCTCCAATGTTCACCAAAAGGAAGATTAAAACTTGCATTGGTAGATGCATAACATGGGAACTTGGTACGGCAGCCATTCCTGTTATTTTGAATGGATTTTCTTTTTTATGTCCTTTGAATTTTTAGAAAATGAGTTAACCGTTGCATGAGAGCAACGAGAATGATAGTATCTGCAAAAATTTAAGATATGTCGCTCTCTAAATATGTTTTATCGGATATGTAAAAGGATGTGCTTTTCAGAGATAACTTGTAGGCTTAAAACAGTTAATGATGTAAATATATACATGATATAAATATAGTGCCTCTGACATAGCACCATAAAGCATTTGTTCAAAGAAAAGTGAAATAGTTTTAATAAGGTAACACAATTCAGTAGTCAATTTCAATTTACCACTTACTTTCAGTTTAAATGTCGTTCATGTATCATTTGAAAAAGAGCCCCCCCCCCCTTGTTCATCTTAAAAAGGTCCACGCTATGCAGAGTAAGATTATTGATGATGATTACACAACATGTCTACACTCAATCTGTTCCGTGATATCTACATGAGCTTGTTCGCCTTGTGCATCTGACATAGCATCACAGATTTATACGACATACAGTTATTTAGCAAAATGAATCATGCTGGTACCGTGGTGACGATTTCACTGCGAAAACCCAAATTCTTAAGTATCTTTGGTTATCCCAATGTCAATTTCGCATAGCTGAATTATGATTTATTCCTTTACCCCTTCCAGTTCCAGCTGAACCCTGAAAACACGCAGACGCAGAACCCGGAGTGTAATATGGATTGTTCGAATCAGAGACCGAAGCCTTTTTGTGGGACCGATGGAAGAACTTATTTATCGAAATGCGAAGTGAAGAAAGCAAGATGCCAAGGATGGAATGTGAGGAAAGAACACAACGGTCCCTGCGCAGTAGGTAAGTCATAAATGGATTTATCTGTTATTAATGAAATTAATATAAAATGGGAATCGATGCTCCTTCATTATGTAATTAATGAGTAAAAAGACAGAAAAAACATGTAAGCGTTGTGGCATGGATGATGGTAGATGGGCAGTTGTCTTGTGTAACAGAAAGACACTGTGTTCAAAACCAAGTCAAGAGTTATAACTGCTCTGGACTGATATTCATAAACCTTACTAAACCTAAATGTGAAATATGATCTAGACCTAAAGCCTATTTAATTGTTTGACAAAAAAGGACAACTAGCTTAATAATTGTGTAATAAATATGAACCTATGTCTTTGGTGAGGTATTACCAAGTCCTTCGGATATGACTTGAAGCAGTAGGTCTCACTCGTTGTTTACTTACAAGCGTAGCACTTTTTTTTGTTTTTTTTGTTGTTGAAATAAACCATCACTATAACATTCGTACACAAGAAGAAACAAGGAGTTCTAATCCTCTAATCTTTTCAGAACCTTGGAATGTCCTACCACGTATATTGACGCCTTTGTATACAACAATGTAGACTTTCAGATTGAAAAGGGGGAAATAAAAAACCGGCACCTCCGGTTTTCCTGTGCTTTTGCATCTTCTGTGTTATTTCACCTTCCGTCTGATAAATGTCCATTTATCTTTTTTTTTATCAGTTTGAAAATATGTGATACTTAACAAAAAAATATTGTGGACAGGTCCATGCTAGATGTTTCTTTTCCCATAAGTTACCGACCACATCGAACATTTCATTTCAGTATATCTGAGGAATAAATCTAACTGATAGCGCCACTAGAGTTTAAATAATCAAGTAATATTATAGTTTATGATCCCGATTCCATAATACAGCTAAGTAATACTTGGTAGCATGTGTATATATATATATATATATATGTATTCAAATAAGAGTAGGAATATGTGAGTTTAAAAAATATCTCTGTAAAGTTTAATTTAGTTTGGAGATTTATTACGAATGTTTCTGATATACAACAACAATTGTTTGATTGCTTTGATTATACATTAATGTAGATATGACATAAGACAGACAGACATACATACGTCAAGACATACGTCAAGACATACGTCAAGACATACGTCAAGACATACGTCAAGACATCTCAAAGCATACATATTGGAGTAAGGAGGCGATTCCTTTAATACCAATCACATTGTTGCCTAATTACAACGTGTACAGATTGTAAGCAAACCAAATAAATGGTGCTGTTAGCTCTAGACCAACACGGGCCTTTATTTGCGTGTTTACTTGAGTTACCTCCGTTCACATTTTGTTGCAGTCTTTTGTCCAAAACACAATGTATTTGAAGAGTTCTCAAGGTATTTTCTTCGCTGATACGTTGTCTGTTCTTTTGTAAACACAGCTGATCCACAAGTTTTCCCTGTCATATCTGTTAGCAAAATGTGAAAATACCTTTCACATGAGTTTCTGTAATACAATGACCGGTAACTTTGTTCAAAGGTTAACATAACGTTACGTGATATACTGATTTTGTAATTAAAAAGAAGGTCTCTGTTTTTGCTTACTAAAGTTCGTTCTTGCAAATTTATTATTGACTATACGTGTTCATTATGAAGGTCACTTTGTTGGTCCATGGTTTTACCAAAATCCATGTATTCATCGTTATGACGACCCAGAATAATATTGCGGACACTGAACTGTTGAAAATAAACTCAAAGATCATATTGTTGACTTAATATTCTATATTGTTATATTTTGCAAATGTACGATATGTACATGTACCATCCGTCGCCCAGTATTATTTTATTGTGTAATGGAATTGAAAAGGAACATAAATTGACATGATATAATTGTTTTTACATGTTGAGTCTGATCTAAGCCCTAATATGTCTATCAGCTTGGCACAGACAATACTACTGAAAGTGATGTTTTGTCGATCAGTAACGTATTGGGCAAATTATATCTTGGACTTAACCTTCACAAAATATACTCTTCATACAGTTACTGTAATTTGAAGAGTTAAATGAAGAAACATTTCCTGTGTTGTGTGTGTTTCTAAAACAATTATTTTATTGGTATTTTCCTTTTTCAGAATTAACGAAATGCCAGTTAGAGCGAGCCCAGAATCTGCAGCAACCAGACAGCTCCTCGTTGTTTGTACCACAATGTAACGAAGACGGTAGCTATGCTATGATACAATGTCATAAGTCGTTTGGATATTGCTGGTGTGTTACAGAGGAAGGTAAACCCATTGCTGGTTCCTCGGTCAGGGAAGGCAACCCCACGTGTAACAGACAAGCCGGTGAGTCATATATTAATATCATTTTTTTAGGGGCGAGGGCCGGTGGGGCGATCCATAAATATGAATATGATTTTCATAAAGTCACTGAATTTGATATAAAATGCATTGATTAGTTGTGAATTTGAAAAGTACTAATAATGACATTTTTTGAATATTATTATTTATCATTAATTTTAAATATTTTTTATCATCATTATCATTATTATTATTATTATGATTATTATAATTATTATCATCATTTTTATGATTATAATTATTATCTTCATTAATATAATACTTTATTTATTAGTAGTAGTATTATTCTTATTATTCTTTTATCATTAGTATCATTGTTATTATTGTTATTATTATTATTATTATTATTATTATTATTATTATTATTATTATTATTATCATTGTTATCGTAATCATTATTATCGTCATCATCATCATAATTATTATCATCATCATCATTGTCATAGTCATTAATAGTACAAATTGTGTTTCCAAACTAGCTCAGGAAAGGAAATGGAAAGTTAGGGAACATTTTGTTCTCGCCATTCTCATGGGTTGGTCCTGATGGGCACAACCCTCACCCCTAGATCCGCTCGGGATATATAAAGTATATTGTGGAAATTTGGGCTTGCAGTATCTATAGACTGAATATTGGCCATATACATATGTAATACCAGTAACGATTGCATAAAAGACATTTTCAATTTGAATTTCAGATTGAATTCTTATCCCTTTCCCCGTATGCAAAAGGATTTATTGAAATCATTATTCCATTTTAATTGGTCTTGAGATTATCTTAAATGCCCTAGATATATAGAATGTCCACTGTGCTCCCACTTCGCGCGTGTTTCTATAAATAAATATTAGCTTACCCCCATTATATAAATAGAAAATAATTATACGTCTGCAAATAATTGGAAGGGTACCTTCAAAATAGAAATAGAAAGTATAGTCACCATGCACAGCGTGCGATGTGCATTTTTTGTCTGGGTGATAAGTTAGCATCTGCCGAGTGTCATCACGTATTTTCATGAACATAAATTTTGAAATAATGGGGAGGAGTTTAGTAGGTCACTGTCAAATTCCAAAATAGAATTGCTGTAAGGTCTACTTTATGAAACCATAAATTTTGCATGTCGCCAGTGGTATGTGATGATGGGGGACAAGTTGATTTCCGAAAACAATGCTCTTTTTTTCTGCTTGTGTGATGAAATATATATGTGTTGCAACTCGAGTACGGTGTTATAACCTTCTAAATAACTTTGTACCGTTATAGAACAACTTATTTAATCCGCAGGAATAGCAAACCAAATGACAGTTCATTATATATTGTCGTCTTGATTAAAGAGATACTGTCCCTCTTCTGATGCTGGTTATTACATTCTAGTTGATATTGGTAGGCTTGTAGATAAGCAATTGAAATATAGAGTGGTTCAGAATTTCACAGAATAACCTGTCAAGGCTCGAGCTTCCCTAAACTATGTTACAAAACATCAAGTCTATTCCCATTATGATATTTTGTACAAAAATAGCATCATTGTGATGAGGGTACCCCCCAAAAAAATATTATAAATTAAAATTAAAAAATAAATAAATAATAAAATCGAATGGCAGACCCTGTTCTCACTTCATGGCCTTGTTATCTTGCTATTTCTCCACTACTAAATCTGCCCCAAGATGGCAGTGCCCCCCAATGCAAGCAGACCCACGCTACGCCAGTAAAAATATGACACTTCATACTTTGGTATTAATCTATAGGCGAATCTGGCACTAACTGTACCGATAAAACCATACCTAATTGATTCCTATTTCTAAAGATGACCCTTTCCTGAAGTTCATGGTCCAGGTGTTAAAGAAGATTCGAGAGAGAAGATGGTTGGGTTTCATTTCAAGATTGATCAGACTGTCGTGGTATACGGCCATTTAAACATGATTGATGAAATTCTCACTTGATAAATAGTCCACTTACGTATGTCGCAATGTCAATGTACACAACTGTAATTCAAATACCGCAGGAGACGTCTGTTTCTTATCAAGACGCTTTTCATCATCATCATCTTCAATCCAACTTCTTGTTTTTAAACCCCCGTGCGATATAATTCATATTCATTACAGGGATGTAGTTACAGTTGAAATATACTCTGATTGAAGGTTTATTGTCCTTGTAGATCATCTGAAACAGAGATATTAATATCCCACTGCTAGACAATCTGGAGTACTTCACAAAATTGAACTTATCGCGCTGTGATAAAGAATTTATACATTTTGATGTGTCCTTTTACAATTCTTATTTACAGTATTACGGACTGTATTAAGCAAGCACTGCCACTAAAATATTCTCACCAATCTTTAGAATAACACTCACAAAGTATTTTTTTCTAGGTGAAGCTACTTTGCTCGAAGCATTTCATAATATTTAGCACCTGAAATAGTGCATTATGCTTAAAAATATAATGTCTTTAGTAAGAAAAATTGTCAAAACTTCGTCTTCTGAAAAGAAAAACAACAAAAAGGATGCCGGTGATATTTGAAGAAGCTATAGATAACTTCAGAGACTAATGCGTAATACTGTTCAAGGTCGAGTCAAACAATCTTAGGTATATATAGGCATGCATACCTAATTAAACAGATTGTAGAAATCAGGAAGTACAAACGTTTTAGCTAAGTGAATTTTCTTACCCGAGAGACCGTAAGTAGCACCTTGTGATAAGGACATGTCAAACAGAGTCAATCGAGTTATCCAAATTTTGAGCGAGTATGAGTTCTCCAACATTAAACTGTCAGTTTCGACACCCATTGCTAATGTAATATTTCTGGGTTAACATTCAGTGAGGTGTATCACAGTCATGCTGTTTCTCTTTCCCTCCTTGAAACAAGTGAAACATTTTCTCGCTATGGGATACTGATTGTCAGGTCTCGAATGTTTGATATTGAACACATTCATGATTTTTTTTCTTCCTTCGCTCGCTTCGCCATACGTCCAGACCTAACTGCTACAGACTGCCTCGACTCGTAGACGAAAAAGTAAATGAAAACAATGCAGATTAGCTTGCAAAAAGGGGACCAATACACAAAACCTCTAATAGGCAAAAGTGGGGAAGGGGGGGGGGGGGGTCTGGACGCAATGGCCCCCTGAATCCGCCCAATTCTGAGCTGTATCCCAGTCAATGTTTTTGTTTTTTGTTTTTTGTTTTTTAATGAAAGAAAATTCCTCGCTATGGGATACTGATTGTCATAACCAAAATGTTTGACATTGAACGTATCCATGCAGACTTCTTTCGCTCATGACATTTACTGCCTGGATTTATTAAGAGGGGTTTCGAACCACTCAAAAAAAAGAGTGAACTTCTTACTTTCACATGCTGTCCATTGTTTCGTGCAGAGAGTCGTGAAAATAACGAAAATTATGGAGTCTCCCCCAGCCAGAAAGTAGTTGCTGCATGTTATTATTTTGATCGAAAAATGCATCAACAAGTAATGTAACAAATTCCATAAGTTTCCACTTACATGTCTGCTGTTTCACTGACGTTTTATAACGGAACTTTAAAAACCTTTTCTTTCACTCGTTTTCCAAAAGACTTTTCTTTCACTCGTTTTCCAAAAGACTTTTAGATAATCATTAAACTTCGAGAGTTCCGACATAAAAAATTGATGCCTCATGCCATTTTTTTGTATCGAGAAAGCCGTCGACAACTAATTTCACCGAGTTAATTTTTTGTCTTCAACATTCCGTTTTCATTTACAAATGTTTATGTACGCGCATGCTGTTGAATCGAGTCTGCAACGGAATTCGTTTTCTTGACACTTTAAGTAATCATTAAACTTTGGGAATTTCTACTATTCAGAAATGGTTTTTGTTTTCAAGTCATTATTTTGATCGACAAAGGCATCGATAATAAATGTCACAGGGTCAATGCTTTTCGAAATTCCATGAGTTTTCATTTACACGCAAGCTGTTTAACGGAACTATGACAAAATCTCGAGATTTTGTTGGATTTTTCACGTCCTCATTTCAATGTGATGATACAAAATATAATGTATTCTAGTTCGAGAATGTATTGGTCCACAGGGAGTCATTGCAAACATCAGATTGCCCTGTTGTATATTAGATATGAAGATGATGAACTTTATATGATTCTGTCTGCCCATGTGATCTAGGGTAGATGAGAGCCACATGGATTCCGATAATGGTGTCCTTCAAGTAATGAAGTTATCCGAGAATTTGAGGAAAGAGTCGTTGGTTTTGCGAAGATACGCGCTGCGAATACATGTTTTTTGTTCAGATTAAAACTATAACGATCGTTATATTGTTATTATTGTTATTTTTATTATCATAATTATTATCACCATCATCATCATAATCATCATTATCATCATCATTCCACCCACATAATTTAATTGTTTGAATAATTAAGTTAGCCTGAACATCTAATCCTGTATTTAGTTTTAAAGAAGTTTATAGTGATAAGGCAGATAGCAGAAACAATATACTATACGTTTGGCATTGAGGTATTCATCACTGAGGTATTACTTGAAATGTAGGCCTCAATATTATAATCTCTCTATCTCTCGCTCTCTTTCCCGAATCATCCCTAACAGATGAGCCAATTGTCGACAATCCCCCAACGTTCAAGGGAACGTCATCGTCTTCTGGAGGTGAGTTAGAAAAATCGTCTTTACTTATATTCTGATATCCCATATCTTCGTCAGCTTCAGAACATCTACACATACTTCTAATAATAATAATAATAATAATAATAATCTTTTAGTCCCCTCCAAATTTTATTAAACCGAAATGAAAATTCTATCATTCGAACAACATTTTGGGGTTGGTTTATAAGGCTACAGAGTTTAAAATTTTGCCAAGATTTCTTGCCCGTAGTTTCTTTTGAACAAAAAAGTGAAGTCTAAAATAAAGTATCAAACTACAGTTATGTTAATTCATATTTTACTCATAAATGTATGTAGTCCACCATGAATTCGAAAACAATTTTGTCATATGGACACAGAATTCGAATATGATATTTCCATTCTTGACAATCTTTCAGGTTCGCGATGCAGACAAGACAAACGTGAAGAATTCAACAAGAATCTCAAGAGAATCTTCAAAGAAGAGTACGCCCGTCTGCCTCGAGCCGACATCGCACCGATCCCCTTCTCATCCTCGAGAGCGACCCTGGAATGGGAGAAACAGGTGATCGAGTGGAAGTTCGGCTCCCTCGACGAGAACGAGGACGCGAACCTCGACAGCAAAGAGCTCAAACCGTTGCTCAGGCTCATGAAGAAGATCATCAAACCCAAGGTCTGCGCTAAAGACTTCGTGAAGATTTGCGATCTCGACGCCGATGACCGTCTGACTGAGATGGAGTGGTCATTATGTTTAGGGGTCGACAATAGTGAGTATACGACACAATCAGGTGATCTTGTACTTGACCGGCACAATCATGATATTTTTTTTTTTTGCCTTTCGTTCACTTTCCACTCACACACCCGAACCCATCCCACTCATTTTTTATGTTTTAGAAGAGACAATTATTGCATCTTGATTTGCATATGATTTTGATACTTTCAGTTAGAACATCAGTCCGAAAAACAAAATCAGAAACTCAGACGTATTAAGAGACCAACATTCACATGAACATACTCTAATGAATTTAAAGAGACCAGTATTCCCTTGTAAATTCTGAACGGAAAACTTGTTCTTGAATATACAGAAATACATCAATAAACTTTGAGCATAAATTTCTAAATTTCCCAATGGAAAGTGAATGTCTACACACAGCTGTGTTGAAACAGGCCTGTTCCTTTGCTCTTTCCCGCAGTCTTCCCCTCTTTCAGACATGTCATCGCACCTGCATTTTCCTCCTTCTTTAATTGCACTTTACCTCTGCATCCTTCTTAACCCTCCATTTCGTTGATTGACACCTGTTTTATGTTTGTCATCGGTGATTATGTGCTTAGTTGGTTGTTTGGGGGCTCGTAAAATGTAACTAATGCTATTATGTCAAGTGGGGTTGTTGAAGCAATTGAGATTGCGTGAATGGTATTGCGGTTCAGTTCGGTTTACTTGTTTTGGTAAAAGACGGTGTATTACCAGGTGTTTAGGTGTCAATGTTTAACAAGGTGCTGGAAATATAAACTAGATTCATTCGTCAAGATCTAGCAAGAAAGTCATCCCAGCTAACTAAAGTGTGAAACTTCTTACAATTCTTTGTACGGATCAGATAATTGCAGCACTTCATCACATTGCGATAAAAACTTTCAGCTGTATCTTGTGGTCCGATTGATAATGTTTGAATGTGGGCGTGTCTTGGGAGAGGGACGTGCAGCTCTACCACTCATATCTTTCATGTCAACTTCTACCACATTGAAGGGGATCGTAAATGAAAACAACACCTGCCACATGCATAGAATACGGGTTTCATATTCATATACTCACGCATCATAATGGTTGAATTATGACCAACCATCGTCTTGTGTGGCAAAAAAAAATGGGTCACACCTCAATAATCATGCAAAGATGGAAATAATGTAATGTTCAAAATATAGAAAACACCCCCACAGTACTGGAATAATTTATGGAGGAAACGATAAGTTTATCACACGTCCGATTTATCTTCTTCTTCAAACACATTCGTAAGCTCATAAAGTAGGATAATGCAAGTTGAGAGAGATCTTTATCAAAACATTTTGATGTTTCTTGAGCATTCAGTGTATATAATTTCATAGCATAAGAGAAATATGGAAGCATTGTGAAGTGATTTGTCGTTGACAGTCGTTCACACAGTCAGAATCTGCAAGTTCAGATTTGACGATTTTGGGAGGGGTGGTCTGGCTTTAAGAAGATCAAAGCTAAAGAAGTAATATTACTGGCTAGTCGTGTTTACTTGTTTTCCAGTGGCCATATCGAAAGGTAAAATCTTGTCTGTCTCTCACCGGGGGTTTCCTGTTGTAAGAACGGGCAATATAAGAGTGATTATAACACCCTTTTGTTGCCCTAAAGGGTAATCCGGAGTCATAAAAGGGGGTGGGCAAACAGTGCAGATCCCATCGGTATAGATTGCACAGGTGTCACCTGCAGGCTAGGCTAGGCTGTAAGGTACTCCTCAAACACCACCTCAATGACCCAACAAGCTACCAACAATAACGCCAACACAAGTCCACCCCAGCCCAGACGAGGGAGGGAGTGAGGGAGCATACACAGTCATCTTAATTGGATATTTTCCTATTTGATATAGTTGGTATACGTACAGGTGCGTCTACATACACTGTCCCATCCCCTTTGTATCATTATGGTACGAAGAAAGCAAAAATATGAATAAAGATTAAATTTCATTGCTGGTAATGTGTGTGTATTATGAACTTAATATATCTTAAAATTAGTTGGAAATAGAGAATAGAGAGAGAGAGGGGGGGGGGGGGGTCTTGTGTGATGTGAATATGATTGTGCAGACATACCGATATATTTTCATAAGCATGGATGGTGGAAGGGGGGCAGCCACTCCCCTTTGCTGCGGTAGTGGACTTATGTGTGTAAATTCATATCGACGAACGGGGATCGTGGTTACACTGATTATTGTTGAAAAGAATGGTGTGTGACGGTCGTCACATAATGAACAATTGATTAATGATCTTTGGAACTAACTCGTTATCATAACATATAACATTTATTGCATCCATTCCATTTTTACTGTTTTCACATTAATGCTTTCAACTAAATAACCCTGGTTTCTTTCAATGCATTTTCTGTACTAACGTATACTAACATTTTCTCTACTTTAGTGAAATGGCTTTGCGATTTTCATGTTTTCATAACAAATATTGTGACAATTATTGCTGATGTTGCTTGCTAATAATTATAGATATCATTTTAAACTAGCAACCCATTTGAAATTCCAATGCTATCTTTTTTTTAAATGGCAATATGTATGTTTGCTTTCGAAATTCGCTTTTAAATGGTGAGCAATGAAAATAAAGAGGGGATAACTGATTTTATTGATGAAAGAACTATAAAAAGAATTTATGAAGACAATGCGATTCAAAGTTATTTGATAAAGAAAAAAGGGGAAAAAAGAAGACACAGTCCCAAATGTCTTTTTATCAAACGAAAGAATTATTATTTCCACTAAAATCAGCCAACAAGAAATGATTGGGACTTAACACCGTTTTATTACGGACCTGTTAGGTCCCTGTTAATTAATAGGTCCGTCGTTCTAAGGAGATGGCGATCATGGGTTGTAGAAATTCTAATTTCTTCTTTTAATCTCTTAAAATGTACGATGATGAAATTTTCCTTCTATCACCATTCCCATTCCCAGTTCACGATGGACATTGGTCTGACTCATCAGATAATGAAAGTAAGTTTTCAAGCAAAATCAAATTTAGGTTTTTATTCTAATGTATCGTGTGTCTCTTTCACCTTTTCCTCCTGACCTTTTTCCTCTTTAGTATGTCGCTATTCAAAAAAATGTTTGAATAGCGACAACACTCATTCTTATTCAGTTTCGTAGATTTGAAAGTGAACTATAACCTTCCCTTTAACCTATATTCCTCTCTGGTTTTTTTTCAAAGCTGCTGTATTAGCTATAATATCATTGTTGATTGGAAAAACATAATATGTATATCCTCAAGCATTGATTCTTGTGTTACAATGGTTCTTTCCTTGCCTGATCTCATAGTTTGTCTGCTTGCCCGCTAATTTTACCCTCTGCTTCTCTTAATGATTGCTGGCTGTTTCTCCCGTCGGGACTTTTATACCATTATACTACTCAACTAGTTACCCACAAATATATCGCTCCTCCTTTCCAATTCACATCTTTTTCAAACAAAAACCTGTACTTTTTTCATCTCTTCTTCAATACGCTCGAATTATATCTTTTTCCCTGTGCCAAAGAAAAAAAAGAAAGAAAGAAAAAGCACCCTAAATTTTCTGACCAATACGCATTGGTCCACTTCAACTTGTATTTTTCTCACACTTTCAGTGCACACCTGTAAGGAGGGGTACATGATTACCCCTCCCCCGCTCCCTCCTTTGGTAGGTGTTACCCCTAGCTTTCTCCTATCGGGCCACGGCTGTGTGGTAGACAGGCCATGATGTGTCGGGCAAGTGCAAGACGCGTAGGGTTATCTTGTCTTAGGTTCCAACCTCCAAGGTTGTAGTACTTCTGTAATAGTTTCTTTTAAACTCTTTCTCTCACTCAATTCAGACGAGCAACCAGAGGAACCGACCGTTGACAGTGGGGGTCCGCAAGACGGTAGGTCAAGTACGAACGAACATCTTTTCTTATCTTTCTTGATTTCAACAGGTTTGTATCGCATACTGTAAGATTCGCTTTCAAGTTTCTTTAGATATCATTAGCATCAGTTAAGCTTCAAAGTCTAATTGGTAAACCCCAAAACGGAGAAAATAAGTTAAGTAAAGATGCGTTTTTAATTTATTCATTGAAATTTTGTACAAAACAAAATTAATGACGATGATGAAAAAAATCAATAGAATAAAGCAGTCTATATCAGGAATATTTAAAAAATGTCATGAATAAATATTAAGAGTAGTCCAAGCATTAATTGAGAATTATTGCTATATTATAAACACTTTTGTATTTCACCCCGCTATGATGATTGTGATAAAACGCTGGGATGCTATGTGGTGAGTTGAATGTTGCTTCAATCATACCACATTCTACAAACAAATCTTTAGTTTCATGACTGGCTTCCATAACGTCTTGGGCCTAGAACAAAATGATATTGATCAGTTGATATAGTAACTGATATCAACGCCGTCAGATATTCTCGTGTGAAACTTCGAGAAAGTCAAGGTTCCACTTCTACTTCTACTTCTAGTGGAAAATGAATCCCAAGTTCTGAAAACACAAACACAATATTTCATTTCAATAATAGTAACCTTGCTCGTATGATTATGATGATACCAGAATAAGCCTCAGTACCACGTTTTCCCCCAATAATAGAGCAGGAATTCATATTTTTTGTCGAATCTCGGTCATGAATTAAATTTTGTTATACCTATTTCTACATAATCTAGAGCTATTCACGAATACCAGAAGAATTTTTCATTGATTTCCCTCTCTTCTTTTGTATCTTCCAGCGAGTCCTCCTTTATTAGTTACAAGACAGATTCCACACGGAGACAACGCAGATTCAGACAATCAAAGTAAATATCTTTAATTTAATTTTGTTGAATCAATGTATTCAGTTATTTTCCTTCATTACACAATACCTCAGCCTTCAATCCAATTACAAATGAGCACACAAATGTTTGTGATATTGAAAATGTTTCTTTCTTTCCCTCTGGATGTTTTAAAATAATAATCTGTTAACATTTGATATGATAAGTGAATTAAACTGATATCACACATTTCTGATGTATTGACGACGACTCATCGATTACAGTTGCGTGTTTTCTATAGTGGCATTGAACTTGCATAAACAAATCAGTGAGCATTATCATCATCTCTCAGAGAATCATGGGTGGTATAGTTTGAGCCAAAGTTTGAGCCAAATATAGTAACTTAAAATCTGTCTTTATATATTTTGTTTGAACATAAATAGAAAGTAACATTCCATGAGATCGTCATTCTCTGTAATTTGGTGACTCAGCTATCATTTTTCCAAACGTATGTTTTGAATGAGATATAGACAGTAGACAGTGATGCTGTTATGCAGTAAATCGTGACTCTGATCATTTCCCCGATTAGCGCGAAACTATTTCTTCAGGAAGATTATTTTCTGTAGCATCTTCATAGCACGTGTTTTGTTTGGATCATGGGAAGGGGTTATTATCCAGTGGTATGAAGGTTGCAACTTTCAGATATTTTTGTTTTCATGGCTTCACCCTGGGAGTTCGAAGAGTGTGAATCTTATATTTCCTACACGTTTCCTTCAATGATTCCCTCGTGGCTGGGATGTGATGCCAATTTGGGATCAGTCATGACACGAAACTGGTCGTGTGGGGATAGAGACTTTACTGAGATCCACCATCAAATTGGTCAGGAAATTAACGATTGCTGGTTCAAATTTACGCCTCTCGTCTAAGCTGTCTTATGACGTTTGCAGCGCTGAGTGCTGAGTGAAGAAAGAAGAAAAGACAACATTTCGAATCAACACCCTTGCTATCGCAACTTGACGACTGAGAGTAATTGGTCTTCATTCGATTTGCGGTATAATTACTCACTTGCCATTGTTACTTGAACATGTTGGTGGGCTAAATACTGATTTGACAGCCGCCCTGTAATTTAGTCCTAAACGAAAGTCCCTCAAGAACTTTCAGATGTTGAAAACATGGTCTACAAGCTTCTCTTTTGTTATTGTTATGATCACAGAATGTGGGCATTCACGATGTATAAAAGAGAAGGAGGCGGCTAGCTCTTTAATATAAATAATTCCATTACCAGCTTTCTGAATTTGAGAAACGTTTGCTTTTGAACATGTTCCTTTTGCTTATTTTCGTTGAAAAGCAAACTTGCTATGTTGAGCAAACGTTGTGATCATATAAAATAAACTCCTGAAACCATGCATTACGCTTCAGTATTCCAGACGTACGCCTCGGAATGAAGTTTCCAAGCCCTCCTCGCGCCGTGAAACCTTAACCCCGTGATCCCCAAGGGATGCATGTACTGTAATTTGTCAGTGGGGAATAGGAGGCGTGGCAGGAGGAGAGTTAAATCCTTCCAAACAAACCCAGGTTGATTCCTTCCATCAGCGAGATCCACTAGAAGGATCAGACTGTAAATCCTCGCACCAGTGTTGGTCCTTAGCCGAGAGGAGAAGGGGTGTCTCCAGAATAGTTTCGATCAAGGGTAAAACTGAAACCTCGGAGCCATTCCTAGCAGAGGGTTAACGTGAGTTTCTTTGTCGGTCAGGTGTCGGTCTTGTCGGTGTCACAAGGGTATACAAAGACTTCAAGAATAATTGTGATTCTTCCTGCTCTGCATGATGATATCCTGTCATTGCGCTTTAGGTGGAGTGAAATGGATGTACTCCTTAAATACATTCCCAAGACTTCCCCTTTCATTAGACAATGTCAAAGATATTCATGGAATGGTATGATCTCTCATGTAATGGTAATGCGATGAAGGTTAGGGGGAATTTATGAGAGGAAAAAAATGATCGTGTGAAAGAAAGAGAAGGTACTATAGTCTATACCATAAAAATGAAAGTAGCCCTACATTTGATTTTCCTGATTAATATGGTATACATCATTGAAATAGATCGTACCTTTTATCACTGTTACTTATCCAAAAATGTTCAGTATCCATGTTAATGCGAGCGATAGATAAAATATTAATGTGATAATTGAAAATAGATGTGCAGAGTAGATTGCTATGACTGAAGGTTTCGTTATAAATTTCAAATATAGATGAAGTTAGTATAACAAGTCAAATAATGTGTGAATTGTCGACGCCTCGAACGGAAAAAAAATCCCTCGACGGCGTAAAAATCCCCCACATTTTCATCGCTCATGCAGTGTGCTACTTGGATACCCCTACTCATCAATCAAACCTCGCAAGGTTTTCAAAATTCACTTACCGGGTGCTGTTTTTGTTCCCTTACCTCGGGCAGTTCGGCATTGAAAACACCTTCCAACTTGTTATGATTTCATGAAAAGGTGAATATTTATTTTATAAACAGTTTCAGATTAGAAATGCGAATTAGCAGCGGCTTGACCTTTATTTATATTGACCTTTATTCTAGAGTTTCAAACCACATTTTCAGGGATGCGAATGTCGACCGAAATGTAGGGGTAAGAACAGTGGGTCCCTGCAGCCATTTTGAAAGTCGCAGGCTTTTAGAATTTGGGTTGAGATTGACATTATTAAAGTGCGTTCACTTATTATGATACGGGTAGTATAGGCGACTGCTGCTACCTTCTCATGAAAGTGCTGTATTTTGCTTTGTGAATGAAGGTCAAATAAAGGTGGGAACACGTTGGAACAAATACTTATTCATACAAATATACAGTATCAAACTGATGAGAATTATGCCCCAAAACTTCCTACAGTATTATTAATGCATAACGCATGATATGCTCTAAATTTTCATGATGTATATTTTGTGAAGAAAAATTGTTTGAAATTGAGGCCTTCAATTCATTTACAGAAGTAATACGGAGAAATGCAATCAAAATACATGAACATTTGTCCAATGAGTTCAAACAATCAAAATCACCACACAACAATGTAGTAATAAAATATGTTTATTCCACTTCCTCTGTGAGCCCACCGGTAGCACCAGATATAATTGAAAATGGGAATGATAACTTCTGCATCGTTGGGGTATTGCTTTCAGATGATGAATCCCCAAATCCTTTAATTAAGTTTTCGTCATTTCAGATGTACCCGTGTTGTCCTGTGAAACCGAGCGGCTACGGGCCCTGGAGGAACAGGAGAGAACGTCCGCCTCGGTGGTGTTTGTACCCCAGTGTACGATCACGGGTGACTACATGGCTGTCCAATGCCATGAACAGATGCAGTACTGCTGGTGCGTCTATGTGGACACCGGGAAACCTATTCCAGGAACGTCCGTTCGTGATTCGACCAAGGAAGACTGCAGTCCTCTAGCCACTTCCAGGGGCCCCATCACACCAAGAGTGTTCGTGGGTAAGTTTGGTTTCTCTTGGAATCTCGTTCATATTACATCGTATTTGCAAAGATCGTGTAATCAGATGCGTACAGGAGCCACAGTTTTCATAAGTTGTTTGTATTTTAATACTGATTTCAATGAGTCCTTATGGAGGAGTAGCCTATACCTGGGATTTTATTTTGATATCTGATACAAATTTACTACTCACTACCAATTACATGAGTGGAACTGTTATGACTGTTTCTTTAGTGGAGCCACAGATGAGAATCTACCTCCTAGGTTGTACACAAGTTCTACAAAATGGAACTGAGAGAGAGAGATAGAGAGAGAGAGAGAGAGAGAGAGGGGGGGGGGGTGATCTGTTATTTGGGTTTGACCGAAGGGCGGGCGGGCCTGTAGGTGCACAGCACAAACTGTAATTATCGGCCCTTGCACGCGCACACTCGTTTTATTATCCAGACGTACCCCCTTTCTCTTTAAGTTACACCTTTAGACAAGTGGAAAAGCCTTCATTGAAAAGAAATGAAGATGAGGGTAATAATTGCTGCCGTGCAGGGATGCAGCAATGTATTGCCGAAAAGCCCCCGGATCGGCAGGGGTTCGACCGTCGGGTGCTGTGGGGTGTCAAGTCGCAGGTGCAAAACACCTGTACAGTCACCGAGAAGGGGTGTATCAAGTTCCAGGATTCCTCTTACCCCCTTGAGGAATGCAATAGCAAGTAAAATTGGAGCATGAGCCTTTGTGAGGCTGGCCTACTTATGCCAGTGAAAACATCCTTATTGTGCCAAAGGAGTGTCATGTTCTAGATCCCCTTACACCATCTAACAAAGTGGGAGATGGCGAGGAGAGAAACGTTTCAAGGGTTTGGGAGTGTGAGAATTGGGTTTTTACCTCTCCAATTAGTCCGGGGATGATTGCCGAATGTGAAACGTTTATTGTTACGACCTTAGAATAGACTCCGGCAAAATGTAGACTTGGGTTTTAAAAGAGAGACCAAATACTCACCTAAATATCGATTCTAGTGCGTCACCATAGGTCTTAAAATCGAAGAGAATTGAAATTAGAACTTGGGAGCACGGTGTCGTACGGGATTAGAATAGAGAGGTAAGGAGAAGTATAGATAGAGCTGGGGAGTTTGGAAGGGAAATTGACAAGCTTGGTTGTTCTTGTTCCATTTTCAGGCGTTTGTGGAACAAACTGCAGAATAAACAGTATTTTAGAGAAATAGGTCCACACGATTCATGCTAAGACATGGTTGTGATTCTATGGGTGTGTTACATTTTGCCTCAGAATGCGGAGAAAGGCGAATAAGGTGGCTGATATAAAGCCTTCGTCTCGATGCAGTGAGAAACCTCAATCTAATCTTGGTTAGATGTTGACCTCATCTACGATTGACCTATTTATTTTGATATTTTATTCACATTTCCTGACAAACGATTACTGAAATAAACCTTTTATCGCTTATAATAGATGAAAATTATCCCAAACTTAAAATAAAGTGTCGGTTTGTTAGGGAGAACAAGAAGACGCAATTACTGATATCCAAACAATTCCCGTGGAGAGCAATAGAGAGCTTGCTTCGGGCCAGTACTTCTGAACATGTGTCTGCATTTAACTTGTGGTTACACCTCCCGCTTTCATGAAGGGATGGGAGAGAAATAGAGAGATCAGGAAGATAGAAAGAGAGGAGGGAGAGAGAGAGAGAGAGAGAGAATTAGAAAGAGTCACTAGAGGGAGAGCAAAATGAATAAGAGAGTGAACGTTTATGAGGAGTGGTGACGAGAGAACAAGCAGACCTCTAATTAGAAGGGAAATAGGCATTATACTTGTAGTAAATGTTTAAATCATTTTTTTGTCACTACTGCTGTGTGAATATAACATTTTGGTTTATCGTCATTACCATTATTACCCCGTAACTTTGATTTGATTGAAACGAACAGTGTAGACTAATTTCGAACAGTTCTTGAGTATTCTAATGACTTGATTACATGAAGATGGTTATACAAGCATTCTACGTAGAAGAATAACAAACAAAACAAACAGTCTTAAGGAAGATCTCATGTGCATATTCCTAATATTTTTTCAGTAATTCTTCTTTGCAAGTAATTCAACAATTTCTAAGTGTATTTTAATCAGTAATAAGCTTTGCTACAAGTACGCTATGTCATTAAAGTGGATATTCTGGCATAAAATAATCCGGTAGTTTTGTTACATACCGGGCAATGGTTTAACATGTCATGTTATCCACGTCTTAAGTACGGATGTAAGATTGTCCACTTTATTACTGTGTAACAGTCAGCTTCGACTCGGTTACCAAGGTATTCCTGAACCATTTTGTGGTTTTGGAAAACATGAACTGATAAACTACCCCACCGATTATACACGACACATCGTGACAGTTTCTAGCAATATACAAGGAACACAACCATTATGACAGGAAAGTCAAACAGTAATACAGAACAGAATAAGAAGAAATAAGTCATTCTCATAAACATTCCGTATTCCAAAGGCGTGTCTGTAGACTATGCTCAAACATGGCGTGTAAATTGACTTGATAGTACAGCACAGTACAGTTGACCTTAGCTTTACAGACAAGCTGGAAGTTTGCTTTGTGATGAAAATCTGTTTAATATCTCAGAAAAAATGATTTCCTCAATGAGCTCGTCACAAGCACGCTCCACTACTTGACCTTGAAATTGAACTTTATTTGTCAGGGAAATGCATCCTCGACCAATTATGATTTAATAACTTTCAATCAGGTAGCATCTAATAACTTGGATGCGGATCCTTGTCGAACGTGTGAAGACGTTCTAATCAATGTAATGAATAGAGCAGTAGGGTGGGTGGCTTGGTGATGATAAAGTAGAAGAACGTGAAATACTATAAAAAAAAATCTCGAACGAAAATTGATTAATAAATGTTATGGAGATGCAATTCACATCACAAGATTATTTTATTATGCAAGATGCAGAGATTTCAGAGATGCAGGTCACTTTCAATATGAAGTATGGAAAATGTTCTTTATCGTTAGTGTAAACGTTGAATGGAAAGTCTTCGAATTCCGAGTGTTTTAAGATCACAGTTGGTCGGAGAGAGGATCTCGTCCAAATAATCTTGCACCTTACACCGCTGGGTCGGAAGTGCCGATCGAAGGGCGTTTAACTGTTGACGAAAAAAACCAAAGAAGACTACAATCTGGGTCTATCCCGGGTCTATCCCCATTTTCTCAGCGCTTCTCTGGTCGATTCGCACCATGTCCACTTTCGATATGTGATCCAAGAAAAATATAATCCCTCTCCTTCTTCTCTCTACCCCGTCGATAGAACCAAGTCCACCGCAGACTTGGCCCACCGAGGGCAAGAGGGCACTCACCCCCATTGTGGTGTATCTACAAGAAATACAACAGCAATGACAAAGAAGCAAAAACGGGACCGCCTGTTGTCTGACAAATTACAATTTTTGTCTGTCCACAGAATAAACCTTCCAAGGTCAGACGGCCTTTGTGCTCGGAGTGGCAGGTGTGAATGAGCAAACTGTCAGAGACTGTCCGTCTCAACTAATCGACGTTGTCCATTTATAGTTCTTGTGTATCTTCTTCGGAAGAGAAAAAAAGATCGGTATCTTCATTTGCTGTCTTATTTTCTCAAACATCAGAGGTTATACAAGGGAGGTGCGTCGGTACACAGTTCAAACCCACTCTCATCAGCTCCCATATACAAGATTCCAAGCATTCATAAAACTTCAATTGACTCAGGTGCAGCCCTGCCAATAATAACATCAATCAGCGCAATATCAAAATAGATTGTGTCAATCAGTTTGACACTAATAGTTTCATGAAGGTAGGTCGGGCAGCGTTTGCTGAATATTCATTGGCCTGTCCATGTGATGACGAGTGCCCTTGGTCACCAATGACCACTGAGTATTGGGCATCATTGAGGTTTTTCTAATTGCGGGGGGGGGGGACGTTCTCTTATCGATTGGAACTGTAAGTTGATCAAACGGTCAGCTCCAGGATTTAACCGACCCTGTATACTAAAGAGGTCTGCTCGCTATTTATAAGGACCGCTATTCATTTAGTCAAGTTATGGATAGCGGTCCTTATGAATGGCGGTCCCTATGAATAGCGAGCTAAATTGTCTATGGTTTGCTCGCTATTTATAAGGGCCGCTATTCATTTTGTCAGGTTATGGACAGCGGTCCTTATGAATAATAGTACTTATGAATAGCTGTCCTTATGGATAGCGAGCTTGACCCATACTAAATGCGTTGCGCCTTTCGGATGATTACGTTCAGGCGTGTATTATGCATACTTATATGAGAATATTATATTAATAGTGTTAATTAAAATCTCATTCGCATTTTCTCATATCACCTAGTAGGCATAATTTGTTTCAAATTTCAGTGGACTCGTTCACTTGCCACGATTGGCGGAATAAAGAGGCGCATTATCTCTGATAAATATCATAGCATTTAAAATACATGTCGGTTGTGGTGGGGGCGCGCCCCGTATTTTTTTCTCAAAAGTTGTCGATACGCAACTTGCCAAGGTATCGGGTTACGTCTCTGTCAAGTATTATTTGATTTTTAAATAATAACATCCACGACGGGCGGATTAACAAAATGTCCTATGATAGTACATAGATGCACGGGGGATGGTCCGCGATGGGTAATAATGTCAAGGCTTACGCAAAGCGTGTAATGAAGTCGGACATGTTTCTCACATGTCGAAGATGAGTACTGGTGGATGATAATGACAGGCGTGGGCTAATAAACCTTTTCTTGATGTGTTCCTGTCTAGCACGTACGGTGAAATTGTTCCCTCGAGAAAGAGCGAAAGAAAAAATAGGTAACCAAATGTCGACATAGATTCAACTGAAATGGATTTTTATTCGATAAAAGCGCGAAATAATGTATGATGGGAAAGCATAATTTAATACGAGCGAGAACGTGGGTTGAAGAAAATGCAGGGATTTTGATATTTCTCTGTGTGAGATAGAAAAGTGAAAAATGATGAATTAAGTGGGATGGTATAAAAAGAGAAAAATCAGAAAGAAATGATGAAAAGGAGATGGAGATAATATGCTGGAAGGGAAGGAGGAAAGAGGTGCATTGATGTCACCTTTTGCATAACATAAGATGCTTTGAAAATCGTCGCCTAAATTCTGGACATGGGGGGTTAAATTTGAAGTGTTAAAGATCAGTTATTTTATTCATTATGTGTAATTGTTAATATCTTTTAGTGTTAAACAGAAGCCAATTTTACTTTTGCAAATTGAATTTGAAATAATATGACGTTGACAAATTTCTTTTGGCCTACTAAACTTGCCCTAAATACGATAGAAAATATTTGCGAAATAGCCACCTCCCGTGCTCTCCCCTTTTTTTTACAAGGAGCGAACAATTTGATTATGGTTCTATTTCAAGGGTGTATTTATAAGCTTGCGTCACCTTTGAACTCAGTGGTACAAAGTGATCTGTAATATATGATTTTATGGAATTTCATAGGTATACTTGTAACAGAAACCCCCAAGTAAGCGCTTTCCAATCGACCGGGTCACACTATCACGCAGTTAGGTTTACCCAGAGCCTAGCATGTGGCCATATTATCTTTGACGTTTTTCTTCCCTTTTGCTCGGGGCAATGTTTGGATAATTTTGGTTTCATACATGTATGATAACATGACACAGGAAACAGTTTCCAGAGTGTCAGCTGCCACAGAATTAGTTTTTTATTGCTTTCTGGTTTGCCCTAATCGTTTTTTGCCCCTCACCGCTTCTGATGTTCGTGAGGTGTTCCAACTGTTCTTTTAAGATGTTCGTTTACCCCATATCCTCTTCTTCTTCGTTTATATTCTTGATGTACTTCATTCCTTCTCTTTTGTTATCCTTTTTCATTCAGCTTTTTTCCATAAATGTTTGACTTGATTCCTTTCTACAATATTTTTGTTCTCTAAGTTTGTTTTAATTACGTCACCCCTTTTTCGTATTTTATATTCTGTTTGGTTTGAAATGCTATTTATTTTTATTTTATTCCACGTATATACTTCCTGGTAAAATGAAGCTCCATAATAAACTGCTAGTTATGACGACAGTTCTTTATGGAGCCCCCACCCCCTCCTTCCCCCGACTGAACAATTCAAATCACCATCTTTACATCTTCTTTCTTGTAGATTGTCCGGATGACAAAAAGAAGAGATTTCTGATTAAACTGATTGAAAAGCTCTATGCAGAAATGACAGTTACAGATGCGCTTCTAATAGAAACAACTACGTAAGTTCATTTCTTAATTCTCCCCTCTCCATCTCTTTTTGTGTACCTGTATATAAATATATACATATCTTCTTTTCTTTGCCATTAATAAAAAATCAATTCCAGATGTGATACATTTACATTATGAAACACAATTACACCTACTTATGATGACAAATTAAAACGGCCATTATGTTCATAAGAGCAATACTTCACCAAGTCTCTATTTAAAACTGAAAAAAAACAACACTTGTAACTTTCCGTCTTATTTGCAAATATAGTTATATGATATGACTATGATTTTTTGGTAAAGAAAAGAGACAGGTGCATCATATTTGTCATGCTGTTCTGTATATCATGATGGAAAAGCATGAATGGATCTGGGAGCTTTGAGGCCTTTATTGACTTTAAAAATTTGTCATAAGTTATAACCAATAGCGTACACTCACGATGGTAAGTTCTGTACTGTAAAATAATACAAGACAGTGAAAGCACATGATGATCGTGAGGCGGTCGTATGCTGAACATAATCGAATTTCGTAAAGAATTCTCTCTGAATTTCAGGCTAATATAGGGTCATGGCCCAATATAATGTATGATTGTCATAATGATCAGAATTATTGGTTGAAAATAATTTTTAGATAAATAGTCTTTGAGTTAAGCACAGTTTGTCTTTGCTTCAATCAACTTCACATTTTTAAAGCACATGTTATGAGCGATGTTCAATTTGGTGCTACCGAAAATATATCTAGAGATAAGAAATATTACAGGTAAAGGTACAGAATGTGACGAAATTTGTGTTTGAGATCTCCTATCCTGTTCATTGTTTAAGTATCTAATAATAACATATATCATGTCCCTTTTGCAATTTTAAGCTTTGAATTGAACCCCCCCCCCCAAAAAAAAAAGAAGAAGAAAAAAGAAGATGAAGAAGATATATGTGTATATATAAAATACTACTACTACTACTAAATTGATGAATAAATAGATAAATAAAAAATGAATTAAAAAAATATGTTTTTTTAGATGAAATTAACATCAAACATCAAATTAAAATCCAGAGAGGGCCATTATCATTTGTACCAATTAAGCAATAACTTACGCTCCAATAACGAGTCATTTTATTAAATCAATAAATCAATTATGCCAATAACTGTCATAATTATCACCAATTTTTAAAATAGTAGTCGTCTTTATTATGAAATCACAGGCAAGCCGCAGAGGATCTTAGTCCCAACCATAAAGACGAATCGATAGTTTGGAAGTTTGGGCAGCTGGATAGAAATGGTAACAACTACCTGGAAGCCAAGGAAACGGCGACATTCGCAACCGAAATAGATCTGATTAAATCGAGCAAGAAATGTCGGAATAACTTCTTAGACTTTTGTGATGCTAATCAAGATTCGAGACTAGCACTCAAAGAGTGGCTACACTGTTTCGATATTACACCACGTGAGTTTCATTTTGAAACGAATATTGTAGAAGGAAAAGAAAAAAAATCAATAACCAAAATGTGTCGATCTATAAAGTGTATACCATTTTCTGTTAAGCTCTTTCATGTATTTGATGAGCTTTTTATGCGAGCAGCAATTTATCCAAATCAAATGTGCATTGGGCAAATAAATGAGGTAAAGTGGAAAATGAAATAAACACTCATATTATTCTTTAAGCACTATTTCCTCTTTGTTTAAAAAACAGTGTAATTTCGTGGTGATGTGTTACTTATATGGGTCATATAACAACTTATAAATTTAAACAAAAAAGCGATTTGTACTTAGGTTTATCTCGGCATTTAGCAGAGCGACAATACAAGCTGATTAATAGTTTTAAAAACGTACATTTTCATCGGTGCAACCCGAACAATATAATGCAACACAATATAAATGGTAATGGAAGTGCTGTTGGAATTTCATCTAAAATTATTATGATTGCAATCGCCTTAAGCCCGTATTTTTCCCCATGAACTATATATGGATGTTGATTTATTGAGAAATCATCAACATCTTTAAACTACATAGAACTCTAGGCAATGTTGAGATGTTTCTTAATTTGGTTGAAATGAAGGAGCTTGATGATTTTCAACTCATTTTACTCGTTTATTTCTTTCTTTTAGCGGTTGCAACTGAAGCACCTCCAAGAAGAGGGCGAAATCCATTTAGTAAGTATAGTCTGATCTAAATCTGTCAATTATTAATCATGCCAAGTCAAAGTTCAATTGATAAAATCCCGTTATTAGGAAAATAACTTCAGTCCACGTTTAAACCCAAACGAAATGGGTAGAGTTACTCCACTGATTTATGAAGAGCCAAGTGTTGAAGAAGAACAAATTATGTCACTGCGTAATCAAGTTTTTCATTTTCATTTCATGTAGTCATTACAAGAAATCAATTATTTGTTCAGAATGAAGAGGTTGTCTGACGCTCAGCACTTAATAAATCAGTTGCCGAAGTTGAACTAGGTTTTTAACACCATCCTCCTTTATAAATACGAGCCGAAGTTTACAAGGCTCTATAGATCACTCCGTCTTTCCACAGTCGTTATATGTTGATTATGACGATTAAAGACATACTGAATCGTTTTTGTCCTAAACCTCGTTTCATCATCGTTGGACCCGTGCGCATACCATTCCATATGGTTCTTGTCGCTACGGTATGTCACTCGATCTATCATTGGTATTATGATGACACGGAATATCACATTTCCACATATGTCTGAAATATTCCTTACAAGCTAAGAAAAATTCTTGGAATGGATGACCGTGGGTTCAAGGGCAAGTCAATGAACTTCAAAGATAGAGAGAGAGGGGGGGGGGGTAGGAAAGAGACGTATTATGAAATGTGAGTGGCAAATTTAGATTAATGTCTCTCTTAAAAAGTACAGTGGCAGGGATTGATACTTCATTTTCAATTATCATTAAGCATCGCGTATTAATTTATTTAATGCCCCCTCCCCCATTTACATGCTCCCAGGGATCATAAAGACGATCATTTATAGCGTTTACATTTTATAAGATCTTTTCGAGTCAAACAAAATGGCACATCCATCTTTAATAAAAAGCAAATTGTTAAGTGATTTTTTTTTAAATTGCATCATCAACATAAATATCTAGATTAGTTTCATTAATTCTAATCAAACGAGTTATCTCAACTCACAACACACGTGAACATAAAATGAGATGAATCATGGATTACATTTTACCCTATACAACCCATAATTATTATGTTCCCTCATCCTATCATTAGTAATATTCCATTTCATATGAAAATGAAATGTTGTAACAACCTTTTTCCTCACTGATGTACGCAAACATTCTTGAAATACTTTCATGTTACTTTTTTTTCTTCATCTTCCCCCAGTTGACAGACTGACTTGATGGCCGAGCGCGGGTTGATTCCAGTCTACACAATGTACGTCATCTTCAGCCAATGAAATGCCCGGCATGTGAAACAGCTCTGTCCAATGTTTCCTATTTAAAACAAAGCAAAACTAAAACAAACTTTATGCTATGATGTCATATCAGAAAATAGAGACAATTTGGTATCCGAGGATTCGACTTCTGAATTAAAATGTTGTGACTTGTGCAGCGTGATGCATGCTGACGAAAACTTCAGATCGAGCGTCGAGATTTGAATTAAAGGCCGACCCGGTCGTGTAGACATTCTCTTCTTGTGCGAGTGCTCCATTTTAGAGTATGATCTGTTTCTCATCTCTGAATGGACTTGCACTATTGTTTATGTTTGTATGTATTTGACATAAATCAGATGAAAAGGGAGGAGTTGTTTTGTGACCAATTGTAAATCGGAGAATGAACTCCAAGTGTGGAAGAAACTGATTCATCTTTTTAACCTTGACAAGAGAGTCAGTGGATAGAAATTTCCTCCCGTCAGTCAGTCGCTTCAAAGCAATATTATCATGATGGAAATTGATCATGGAGAGAGAAAAAATAGGTAGGGAGAGGTCGCGATGAAAGCTATTTGGCACTGTAGATCTTTCTTCTACTCGAAGGAACCAAATAGAAGAAAACTTGAAAAGAAATTATTGATCGTAATATGCAGAGTGGATCATTCGTGGAAGTACACAAGCGTTGGATTCGAACAAAGCATGCAGGATCGTCCGCGAGGAGGATGGTCTTCAAAAAACTGTTAATTTGATAATACCGCTGATGAAATGATGTTGCCGCCTACTTCGGCAGATGCCAAGGATTATTTAATGGCATCGCCATACTTGAGTCCTCTCTCCGCTGCTCCTATGTGACTCATCACATCCGATGCTGGCATCTTTGACGGGATCGCTTGGGCATCAATCATCTCGGAGATGGGCTTGTCTGCATGCCACTGACTTTTTCACATTGGAGGCGGGGGAGAAAAAAAAATCCATGTTTAAAAAGGGAGGTACTCCCTTTTAGAATCGAAACTTTCTGCTCTTATTCTGTGAATATGCTGGATTATATGCGCCAGTGTTTACTTCGATTTTAAAATTATTACGTGCTCCTTACCAATGTATGATTTTCAGAACATTATCATTTAATTTATCTTATTCTAAAATTATTAATTTTAGTCGATTGCACATTGTCACATTTTATTTCGATATTTTATCAACCTTCTTTCCTCTCAGATTCTTTTCTGACTTTCTGATTTCTTTTACATGTTTTTCCTTCTCTTTTGATTCTGAAGTAATATCAAATTGCTATCTTATTATCAGCTCCTTCCCTCTCTCTCTAGCTCTTATTCTTTTTCTCGTTGATATTTCCCTTCTATCTTTCCCTCCCTTCCCATACATCCGTCTATCTGTTCCTCTGCGATGATATATGAAGATATCTCGTTGTCATGACGTCGTAGCCTAGCGAGCTACAAGCTAAATTTGCTTCTTTCTCCCAGTGACCATGAGCGAATTCTATCGCAGCAATGAACCAGAATGAAAAGGGTCAAATTTTATGTAGCATGAATTTCCTGTGCTGCTGCACGGGGGAAACCCGTTTTGGTTTTAATCATTTTTTATTCCCTGTTCGACCAAATGAAATTATTCTTTAAAGTTGCATCTTTGAAGTCTTACAGAGATTATTATAAAGGAGCAATAGTTTTCGTGTTTTTTCAAAGATGTTCCTGTGAATGCTTTCTTTGATCGAGATTTTTTTACAAACCAAAACATTAAAAAAAAAAAAAATTTCTTTGGGTTGTTCCCAGTGTAGTCGATGAGCAAATTGACTGACATTTGTGAGAAATAGGCTTGCGAACATCATTACAAAGTGTCACAGAAGCAGAAAAGATTATAAGAAATAATGATGAATTATAGAAGGTCATGGATATTTTTCAAAACAAACATAAGGGGGAAGGAATTTAATCCATTTTTGGTATGTACTAGTAGAAATAGCATTTATGAATATTTTTTTGTTTTTAATTCTTTCGTTTCACTTTAAATAGAAAATCTTCTGAAACTGGCATCATAATGCTAATTTTCGTTTGACGAGGATTTTCGATTGGATTTAGGAAGATTCCCAACACTAGTTAGTAAGAAATCAGGGTCATGACCTCACCCGATATCATGCCTTGCCTTTTGAATGAAATGGAAATATTTTATTTGCATGATGATGTACAATTTGTAACCCAAAGAATGAACGTTTGTAACTTAATGCCATTAGCAGTATGATATGAAGGGCGATTGCCTTTGCAGATGTTCTGATGTGTGCGGTAATTTTGCTTTGATCTCGTCACACTAATTGACTTTGACGAAGAACTTACACATCATGTTTTAATTCGTGCACAAGTTTTCTGTATTTTCGTGAGTTTCAACTGGATTTTTCTTGACTTTGACTAATGTTTTCGTCAGAAATATGCATCATTATGTTTTGAATCTGCTCGATAAATTACCCCTTTTTTGCTAGGGATAATACAGATCGTTATGTGTAATGATGGATGAAATGTTTAGAGCAAACTTTCTTTGGAATTTCATGCTATTTCGATCAAAATGATTCGGCTTAATAATCTCACTTATTCCTCGATGTAATTTGTAAGTCCAGTTGAAGAAAAAAAATGCCAGGATGGTTGCACATTTGCGCGAGATTTTTTCTTTCTTACTAAAATAGAGTTGGAGATTTATCGTTAGGGAAATTGGAATAGAAGTAATATAATTGTATGAGAATGGCCACGAACTAGTGCGCAGCAACGTTCATGCTTTCGAATGATGACGATTTTCAACAGCAATATATTATTCTTGTAAATAGTGCCCACAAATGTTCGACCTTATTATTCATGTTATTGTGAACATATTGTGCTTTGAATCTTGTAAGCTTGTTTTGAAACTATTGTGGAAAATTATCATGAACTAAATGCAGCAGCTATGTGTTAGCCGGCTGTATGGATTAGGTGCATTTCAAAATACTTGCTATGTCTTTACAAAGACCAATGTTCTGCCAATCTCTTCCGTTGTATTGCTCTGAGATGCACGACTGCAATTTTGATTAGCATTAGGACAATTGGAAAAACATTTTGACAAGGTCATAATTTTTAAGTGTACATAATTTGCATGTCAAATTTCTCCCCTTATATAGAGGCAACATTCTTTCAAAAGTACTTACGTAGGTTTCCAGACCAAAATGCAGTTTTGTACAAATGTGTTGTCTTAATTTAAAGAGAAGATGCGGATTGAAGGACCAAATACTTTGGAAATTAAAAAATGGAATGGATTACAAAGATGGGGCACAGTATCTTTTAAAATGATTTGAATATCAGATGTGGTTCTGGAAGATTTTTTTGAGGGGGCAGGGCTGTCGGTGTTGTTGCTTTCATTTTATACATATGCTTCGCTCAGATTAATTTGTAATCGAGAAAGAGAAACCCAACAAGATTGACAAATATCTTCCAAGGTATTTTGGGGTTGTAAAGGCGGCAATATATGTTTAAATTCGAACAGTTTCTCATGTAGTGTGAATACAGTACATGCTCTATACAGTATATGCTATACATCAAAATACCATCTTTTACTATATAAGAGGGTTGATCAGGATTAATGTGTGACAATAATGCGTAATCATGGAAATTGATACTAGCTATATTTCATAGAACACTTAATTTCCATGTAATGACATTTAAAAACGATGTCATTTTCGAATTGAAATGTGAATCCTATCAATGATCTTCTCCAAAGTCCACAAATAATTTTTATCAGGATAGAGAATTATGAGGTAAAATACTTGTGACTGTTCGCACAAGTTTTCCACTTGCGGTTCGTGAATAGAGCCGTCTTAATTCATATTTTGTACAACATATACGAGGTATAACGTTGAAGGAAGTCAACATTTACCTTTAGTAAATGCAAGAATACTATTTAAAAAAAAATCTGAATGCGTGTACCTCGCATGTGATATTTCTCATTCAAGGACTCCCGGTTAAAAATTGTGCTCTGGAACGTTTGATGCCATGCACAATGATAATTGTGTTCTGCCGACTTTTGATACTCGATTTATGGCTCGATCTTTCAAAATGTAAAAATCCAATTATTAAAAGCATAATTTTAAGAATAGCATTCAAATAATAATCTAAATGAATATGACATCGTTTTACTATACAATGTAAAAACCTCATGCTTGACTCTATACAACTTTCCACTTATTATTGACACATAATTCTTTGAATTTAGGTTATTTTATGATATCTATTTGACTAATTTACCAGATCACCACCCCCTATAATAACTAACCCCCCCCCTGGACAATTATCAATTAGGGGGTGGTTGTCCTAGGGTAGTTAGATTGGGGTAATTGTCTGGGGGGGGGGGGGGGAGTAGTTAACTGGAGGATGGTTGTCCAGGGGTAGGTGTCCTAGAACCCTAGTTTTTTTTAAAGCTTGTGCTTGTATTCATCTTTTAAATTAATATATTTAGCTCACTATTGATCTAAGTCATCTTCACCCTTCTGAATTACTGTAATGAGCATTAGAATACATTTTTACTGTTTATAATGTACATATAACAAAGTATTTGCATTTGTCCATTAACCATATGCGACAGAGTAGAAGTGTGAATTAATTTTGCCAAGAGTTTTAATAAATTGTTTGTTACTACTGCAATGTTGAGTATTGTGACGTCATTTTTGTTTTCGTTGTACAATATACCACTCGCATTAATCAATGTTAGGATTTGGGTTTACTTCCTCAAAAATTAGAATTTGGACATTGGTATCATTGAAAAGCCTTTTTATTCCCCTTTACAATGATTCTTCATGATAATGTAATTATGGAATGAATATGGGGCCCAGCAACATTTTGACATTGTCAAAAGTAATTTTTTTTCTTTATTTGTTTGGAAGATGGAATGATGTTGACAATTACATGTACATTATTTTGCAACATTTCGCCTTTGACTTGGCCCCATATTCAGGTGTACTGCACATTCCATGATAACATTATCATTACACATAGGGCATCATTCTAAATGGGAATTAACAGGCTTTTCAATGATACCAACCTCAAGTAGGATAAAGTAGTAACAAAAGAGATGTCAATGCTGAAACTTGGAATTGCAGAACTTTTTGTATCTACTGATTTACTGATGGATAGGTTTTTGGTTAGGGTTAGGTTGTCAATGACAAACTTGTTAAAGTGACAAATTAATAAAAAAATCTTTACAAAAAGACAGCATATAAAATGAATAGGAAAGAAGTAAACAAACAAATCATAATAACAGAAAAATTAGCAAGTGTTTTATGTTGATGAATTTTTAATACTCTTATATACATGTATGATACAGAATTACATAATGATGTTTAGCACAATATTACAAAGACATTTCTTTGAGCTTCACCAAAATATAAAGTAAGAGCTTCCAAAATAACTATTTTTCTGAAACATTCTACATGTATTTGTGATTTTCTGATACTCCATTTTTGGTCAAACATTTGCTCCAGGGTTAAGTATAGGGTTGCTAATATTGGGGTAGGTTTAATATCAGGTCCAGGGTTGAAGCTGGGTTAATCAGTTAGTTATGTAAATTACCACGGAACAGTTGTTGCAGGATCACATGTCGTTATATCCACCGTTTCCTCTAAAATTCAATTAAAAAAAAAATGATTTAAAAGTGGCCGTCTGAAGCTCTTTCTTTCTTTACAACAAAACAATATAAGCTTTAAGTAAACAATTATCATAAATAATTCCCTCTGGTACTTTTAAGCTTATTGTTATCTGCTACTTCCCATATCCTTATCTTATATTCCCTACATTGCACATGAGGACCATCTTTTATATTTTCTCAGCAGGAAAAATGGTCAAGATATTCATGTATATCATGTATAAAGTTACAAACCGCACAATTGATTGGGATGCCACATTGCCACTACTATAAAATGCACTCTTGGTTTACATTACAAAAATATATATTTATCATTTTCCAGGAATACACTCGATCTCAATCTCTAAAATATTGAATTATAATTTTCAAAAAATGTTGATATGAAACTCTTATATTTTAAAGGAAACTTTTGATAAAAAAGAATTATAAAGTGCCAGAAAGTAATTATGATACATGATTCTAAAATCTTCTGACCCAATGTGATTAAAAGCACCACACCTAATAGCATAATTATTTTAATTTTAAAATGTCAACATTTTATTTAGGACAGTACAGTGAAAACATAGGGAAAAACCCTAATACCTGTCATTAAGTAAAATAGTAAAAATATGACCAATAGAGTCGAAAAAAACGTTATTCCAATATTGTCAAATAACATGCTCAAAAAGTAAAATGCATATCATGTTTCTCCTTCAAGTTGTTTGGCAAGCTTCATTTGGTTTGCGTTGTGCCTCTCTCTCAGCAACTCCATCTGTTTCTTAGGTCCATTCTTCCTGCAAAAGAAACATATGAATAACAGTCTCATTTTTTACAAAATAACACTACAAATATTTTGATATCATGCAAAATTAATAAAAGGAATTAAAACAAATATTTCCATTCTGTGTTAATACTCCAGTCACACCAATGAGATCAACACCAGAACAACAGCAGGCCGATCAAACAATTACATTTCCCCCAGTGGCCAAGAATCAGTTGGTTTGGAGTCTGTAAAGGGTCAATTCGGCGGTGTGACTGAGGTATTACAATACAATGCATTACTAAAACAATCACTCATTCTAAGTAAACATCCCTTTGAATTTCTTTCTTCAAATTAATTTAATACTAGTTTTCTACCACTACCACCAATATGAGAGAAATTTATAATTCAGTATTAGGTATCTAATGATGTGGGACTTCATATGATCAGGATCATGCAACCTTGAGCATCGTCCATGGGCACTATTCAGTACCCAAAATTATTATCAATATTATCAATCAATATTCAATAGGATTTAAAGGATCTCATCCTCATCTCTTTGGAATGATCCGCCTCATTCATCATTTTATATCCAATCACTGGGACTTATGTTTCGATCCATCATTTTTTCATCACGAAAACTATCCAGTATCATTATCATCATCACCACCACCAACATCATCATTATTGCTATCATCATGATTACCACATCTATTGTCACTATCATCATCATCATAACTACCATCATCGTTATCATCATTATGACCATTACAAACATCATCATCATCACCATAACTACCATTATCATCATCACCACCATCACAACTACCATCATCATCATCATTGTCACCATAACTACCACCATCATCATAAATATAACTACCATCTCCATTATCACCATAACTAACATCATCATTATCACCATAACCCCCATCATCATCATTATTACCATAACTACAATCATCGTCATTACCATCACCATCGTCATTGTCATCACCATCACCATCATATCATCATCATCACCACCATCACCATCATAACTACCACCATCATCACCATCAGAAAACATAAATATTCTGATGTTACCTTGCTCTCTCTTTGGTTTGGTTATACAGTTCTGCAATCTTTTTATCCTTTGCATCTAGTCTCTGTGTTGCATATTCACTGCTATGTCTGGAAAGAAAAATACATAATAGAATAACAAACAAAGTCTACCGGTAAATATTTGTTGCAGAAATCAATCTAAATGAATAAATGAATAACTGATATGATGTAAGAATTTCTCTCATTTCACAAATTCTGAATCTCACCAAATATATATATATATATATATACTGATAAGATTAACTTTTCATTTAACAATAGCAAACTTATAATCAGGGATGGAATGGGTAGGCGTTGTACATTAACTTTGAATCATGCTATAGCCTCGGCAAAACCATACAAAAACAAGCTCTAAACATTAGGAACAGAAACTAGGCAGAGGCTGTAAGACGTGCTACCCTAGCCCAATGACTCACTGAGAATCTATGACGCAGGACAGACAGAAAATAAACAAACTGCCATCTGTTGGACAGTGATTTATCCATCAACTACTGGGCTTAAGGGACGTACATTATTATCAGCTGGGGATTGAGTTTGGGACACACTGTTGATAATAAATATCCCCAAACAGCATGAGAGGTAATAAATGTGATTGTCCTAATCTAAACTTGCAATCTCCATCTCCATCTCCTAGTAAATGTGACTTCAAAGGCCATTTTTGTATTCAAAATGATTCAAAACACTTTAATCAAACAAGAGCCAGTATGAATTTTTTTGTTTAATACGACTTAGGTACAAAAGGTTTTAAGCTTTTATTTTTCCTTCATCATATAATTTTTTCAAATTGCAAGTCCAAGATGTATAGTCATTCACTGTCCCATTTTGTTAAAAAAAAAAATGCACGTACACAGGAAAATTATAAAAAATTAATATTGTTTCATTTCCCTCATTATTTCTTCTGATCCAAGCTTTAATGAGCATGTCAACTTGATAGATTTATTTGTATACTAAAACGTCTGATGTTAGCAATGCAAGGGACAAAACACCTTAGATTAACCCTTCTGTAGAACTATATACATTTTCTTTTGAAAATCACAGTACAATAGAAAGTACAATACAGTACAATACTACATTATCTATTGTCATTTAAAGCCTGTCTGCACTAGTTTGGCCAGGGGATAAGACCTCCCTGCAAGGTCACTGACAAGTGGTTATCTCATCAAATCAGCTCTCAATTAACATAAGAAAAAGGGGATCATGGGGGACCAACGGGCACCGATTAGGCATTGTTTCCTATATAGAGGGCGCAAGTAGCTATAAGTAGTGCAGTGGGGATTTTAAGTTTCAGTGGATGACACTGTGTAGTGGGCTGTAAAGAAATAATATCCCAGTTAAAAGAAAATTCCCTGGTACTCAACTAGCTATAACCTGCATATTATACATGTATAACCATCGTAACCGACACACCATAGAGTTCATCATGGATGTAGGATTCAACCCATCCATACAGGACCAATAATGCTACAAGTGTGACCAGAAACATCATTTTAGTAGCCAAGTAAGAAAAAAAACAAAGTTGTTGGGAACAGCTGAATGAATTTTAATAAGCATCAGTCAGACCTCACCAATAATAAATTATAACTACAACTATAAGGATAAATCATTCCCAAATCGCTCATCCTCCTGTTTTAAGTTGAAAAGGCAATGAGAATCCTTGTTGTAGGTCAGATTTTCAATGGTTAAATCATGAGCCTCCCTCAACAATTTTCATCATGATTGCTAAGCATGCGATTTTCTTAGGACACATCTCAACAATAATATCCAGGCACTAATACTTTTACTCCTTCTATGAGATGTCACTTCCGAATAAGTCATGTGGGTTGTGTTCAATGCACCATCATGTTTAATTGGCAGAGCCCCATCGATTTAATCACTCAGGTGTAATCACTTTTATCTTAATTTGTATTAAAATAACAATAATAATAATAATTGGATTTATATAGCATTAGGATACAAGGCACTGTCTCTTAGACTATCAACAATTTAAGAGGAGTTGTACAGGTATGTTTTCAGTTGTTTTTTAAAGAAATCTAGTAATGTTTCTTAAGCACGAGGGGAGTTTGTTCCAGAGACGTGGGGCTAAGGACTAAAAATGATTAAGAGAATATGATGTTCGTTGATAAGTTACACATGTACATATTTCATCATTCTCGTTATTGCCGAGGTCTGTACTGAAGAGAAACTGTTATCCTGCATAATGAACCTCTTATAATGTACTGAACTTACTTGAAGACAAAGAAATGAAAGACAGCACCGGTAAAGATGAATGCGACACACCCATACACCACATAGGTGTTTTTAACTCTCCTGAATCCCTTGATTCCATAGTAGTTCTCATTCACCTTCTCTTCACCACCTTCCCTGAAGATGTGCGTTCTTGGAAACCTGGTCAAAGATTATCAACAAAAGATACAAATATGGTTTGAAGAAGTCATTTCAACTAGAGTTAGGAGGCCATCAAGATGACAAGTGAAATACAAATGTAAATGATATAAAATTACTTTGGAAATTACGCCAGTCAGGGAGAACCCCATCGCTATGAGAGTGGTCATTTAAATCACACAGGGCAAGATTCTTTCCATTAACAAGTTGGATATTTTGGGGGAAAGTGCTTACTGTTGATTGTTCTAAAGGTTCTGACCTAAACTGAAGAGAGAGCCTTGATTTTATCGTTCTCATCATGAGCGGACGTGTTTTGTGAGCTCTCTCTTTCGCTTTAAGTAATGTCGCCTGAAAACCGTCACCACTGCAATGCAACACAGTATTATCTGTCATCCATTTGCAATAGATAACTTTGGACATTATTTTAAATCTGTTTTCAATCTGAATCTACATCAGTAATACTGGTAATCTGATATCATACGTCAACTTATATAGCTGACACCATGGCAAACTACAGTCGGATAAACTAGCTACCTCTATAAGCACCAAACTGAACAATGCTTTGGAAAATGCTGACACTATTGATAAACTGGTGAGTGCTATCAGGAAATCCTGGATTTATGAAGTAACACCCATTATAACGATAAGCGTTGCCGAAACATTGAATACTACGTTTGAATTCAAATTTCATGAACGAGATGTCCGCATTGCCGCTCTTGAAAGCAAACTTAGATCTATTCGCCTTCAAAATGAAGAGGCAGAACAATATTCACAAAGAAACTGTCTAATATTTCAAGGAATGACAGAAGCTGAAAATAAAACATACAGATGAAACTATCGTCAAGCTCTGCAAAGAGAAAATGAAAATTGAGATTGAATGTAAGGACCTAGACAGAAGTCATAGACTTGGTCATATGAAAGATGCCATGATAAAGTATACCGTGCCCGAACACTTCTCCGCAAATGGGAAGAAACTCCCGCGTTCATTCACCAAAGTCTCACCATGCATCGAAGTGACTTATATTGGAAAGTAAACACTGACTTCAAAGATCATGTAAAAGTGGTCTGGACACAAGATGGCCGCATCATTGCCAAGCTGAAAAAGAACGACAAACAGGTCATTCCCGCAAACAAAGACGACCTCCAGAAACTAAGAGATAAGCTGAATGAATGAGGTGTTTAATAATAATGAGACATTAGTCCACTTAATCAGCCTGTGTTGTATGGAGAACAACCGATTGTGCCCCGCTATTTATGTCCACAGGCATTTTGATGACCCATGAGCTACTTTCAAAAGTTTTTGTGATTCGTCCAATCCTCCGATCACCGATCCGAGTCAACTCATTCTTCTTCCGATAAATGAATACCGGTAATGAGCCCGGATCATTGACCAATCAACGTCGCGTTATTCCGATCCTCTTAGTTTGAATCATCTGAAAGTCAATGCCATCATCTTGTTAACATGATAACCCTTTAATTTATTAAGAAAAAAAAATACTGCTACTTTCAAACCCTGATTTAATAAATGTCATACCAATCTGATTCTGTATGTCCACCAAATGGGTTGTCCGGTGAGACATGATCCATGTTATGAACTCTGATCTCCTTGATGTGTGGTCGGGTAAGACTTAGATCGTAATCTCTCCTGGTGGTAGATTTACTCAGGATTCCATACGCCTCATTCAGCTGCACAAACAGGTCATGTTGGTCTGGGTTCTGGGGGTTTGCATCAGGATGGAGCTGTATGGGCAAGGTTAAGGGAATGAAATAAAAGATGAACAACATTCTTTAACCTACTTCTTTGAATCGTGATCCAACATTTGCTCTAGTTTTATTTCATCAACAATCTAGGATTAGGTAGGACTACAATTTGGGTTGTATGTCAGAGATTGAAGAGGAAAATTTCAATAGAATTTAACCACAGATTTAACCTGGATGATGAGTCCTGCATCCCTTTTGTAAAAGATAAAAAAGCATCACACACATTTGGTATGAATCAGGATAGATACTCGCAAACATTAGGTGTGAAAGTGACAGTGAAACATTACTGTTATACATGTGTGTGCCATGTAATTTTCATGCGAGTCTTGTAAAGTACAGCTAAAATGCTATTGCAGCTTTATTGTAAGTTTAGCTTATTGTCTTTCACAATGGCTGACTGTAGAAACTAAAGCATTATGATCAAATACAAGTTAGTTTACAACGCCATTGTATTTAATTTGAAATCTAGGCCAACCCTTCCTGGTCCTAACATTCTGATAAAATTTATTTTGCAAGCAAGCAAATATTTTAGCCCTGCAACACTTCAATTCAAATTTTGAAAGAGGGAGAGAGAGATTTAAAAACTGGAACCTTCAGATTTCAGTAGGCATACTTACAACTTTTGATAATTTGAAGTACGCTGCTTTTAATTCTAAATTGGTTGCATCTTTCTGCACTCCCAAGGTCTCATAATAGTTTGGTTGTGCCTGACTCCACATCCTGGAAATGAACAAAGAAATTGATTGTTCAATAAAACCATAGAATTTCACAAAAACTCTCACCCAAACAACTTCATGTAACGTAATCAAACTTAACCATTTGGAGGGTTTGCAATTTTATATATTCTTGAGCAAAGTCTAAGAGAGTGAGGAATTCGTTTGAAATTACTGAAAATGGCAATTGAAATCTATAAACCCACAATAGCAAACATGATTATGGGTACAAGTTTGAAACTCTGCATCAAACATCAATGTTACATACATGCTATGTTCCTACTGTACACTTAGGTGTGTGTTGTGTACATTGTAATTTCCCTGTTGTTTACCTAGTTGAACCACTACACAATAGAGGAATTTTTTTTTTTTTTTTTTTTTTTTTACTCACTATTGATTCTACGCTTCTCCTGTGAGGAAACCTTGGTACATACATGTAAAAAATGAAATGCACAGTAATAAACATATCAAAACAAGAGAGTGCACCGTCTGACCAGCAAAATTCTATTCAATATGAAAACGAAAATGCACAAACCTTGCTCCAGTTGTTATGCCTCTAACATGGTTCAGACTTTGTAGAACAAGTCTATGCTGACATCTTGAACACACCATGAAGGCATTGGTGAATGGCATCCTGATTCTCTCATTAGCTCAAGGTGGTGAATTCCTGCAAAGACAGAAGAGATAGGAATGCTATATTGACCTTAATGATAAATTATCATTTTCGTCATATTTAAGGTGCAAACTTGCAAGTTGTACTGAAATTTTTTGGTTGTATGTGTGTACTTATGCTTAGTGTGCGTCAGTTATGTGTGAAGTGCGTCACCTGTATAAAGCATGACATGTCAGTGTGTTTGGTACGATTTTGTATGGTCAACAGACAACACCATTGTGCTCTCTGCTCAAGTGGGCCCTCTCTCTCTAAACTCTCCGAAAATAAAAGTACCCCAGTACTCTTCAGCAACAGCGATAGAACAAACCTCTCGGAAAGAGAACTACAATTCCCAGCAAATCATCAATTTCTTGGCGTCACGTTTGACAAAAAACTGACATGGAATGCCCATATTCAAGATATTAGAAACAAATGCAGAAAAAAAAATAATATCCTGAAAAGCGTCGCTGGTACAAGTTGGGGAAATCACACAAAAACACTACTTATGCTCTATTGATCTCTAATCAGATCACTGTTAGACAACTTAGACTATGGATGCGAAGCATATGAGTCGCCAAGCGAAAGCTCAAAAAAAGTTTTAAACTTGATGCAATACCTGTCCTTACATATATGCGCAGGTGCTCTACACGGTACAGCCCTTCAGGTGGAAATGAAAGAACCCCCTCTAGAGTTTAGGAAAATGCTGAATGAAAAGTACCCATCCATCTTTCCCCGTGTGATAAACCACCTGGCATTAAAACCAAACATCCAATCATGTTGGCAATTTGAAAAGCTAAAGAATAAAAAAGTAAGACAACCTTTTGGATTGAGAATAAAAAAATGTAATAATGATTAAGTCAATTATGAAAAAAGTAATATTATTTGTCTGCGGTACGTTTTTATAGCAGGCAAATGTTGTTTGTATCGTTAATGAATGCATACTTATGTTGGGTCCGAGGCCGTGCCCCGATGGAATGTAATTTGCATAGGCAGCTCGTACAGGTGTGCGAGCTAATTCTGCCACAGAGACCAGGGTGTGGCATCAATTAGTGTGTAATTGAATCATTCCAGCTTGAACTTTCGACGAGACAACTTTTATTTACAATACAAGTGCATTGTGTCATGTTATGTTACAACATGACTGCGTTTGAATAAGGTTTTCCAAAGTTTTTATGCTCGTTGAGTTTTACCTCTGGTTTTTTATCCTGGACCATGAATGGTCCGGTTTCCTGTGAAGGAAACGAGAAGAAATGTTTGTTAAACATTCATATTGAATAAACGGCCGGCTCTCAGTAGTCGTTGTCAGGCTTTCCCACAATAATTGAAGTGTATTATTGTGTTATTTGTTGGTATTGGGAGTCAAGACTGGAGGGATGACAGACGAAATAATATGTGAAGTTATAGGACAGACTACCACTTCCTACCCCCTCCTGGCACAACTACATTGCCCCAATATCCATTGAATTGACTGAATCAATAACAAGAATGATAACCTACATCAAATGAGACTAAGAAGTATCAAACTCATCAAATCAAAATGGAATAACAGCCTTCATATAAGTCACAGATGGTTAAAAAAATCCCCATCAGGCACAGCTGCTGCATCCTTTTTTTGTTCCACATTTCTCAATAAGGCAAGCTAAGCATCTCACAAACCATACCTTCAGCAATTAGCAATCAAGCAGAATTAGCAACAATTGCCCTATTTTGGATAGAACAACTACACCTGCACACAGGGGTAGTCATATTCACAGATTCCCTTAGCGCACTCCTCTCCATGCAATCTATGAAAGGAGATAACTATATAAACGACATCAAGTATATACACAAGACTAGTATACAAAGGCATTCAAGTTCATCTTGAATGAATCCCCTCTCTTACTGCGAAATACTGGGAAACAAAATAGCTGAGCTTCTTGCAAAATGAGCCCTAACTGAAGAGATACAAATAAATAACAAATTATGTTTATCTGATCTCCTACATCATTCATGGACAAACTCTGGAGCATGCAGATTAGGCTTGAGTCGGTACGGTCGATCACACCGGGACCCGACCGTTGCCGTCGGGTCCCGGTTTCGTTTTTTGAGAACCGGCGCTCCGAAAAAAATAATGAAATATGTAAGAAATTGCAGTTTTGCACACCACTAAAATCAATCCACCCTAAAACTTAAGTATTTAATTGTTACCAATCGTATTCTAGCTCATCCAGAATCAATCCGAACTGCTGATAGAAATATGGGTTGCAAAGCAGTTCGCCCCATGGGGTTGTTGTTGCCAGCTAGCTGCTAGCTAGCTTCTGTACTGGCCGGGTCTCTCGGCAGAATTAATAAATCAGGTTGAAAGAAACATTAATGTTTGAATAATAAAACGACTTTCTAAAAAGTACATCTTTACAACATACCGATCGAATAATTTTTAAAAGACAAAATATATATTTTTTCTTTGATTTTGAACACCGCATGCTTCTTTTAAAAGCTGAAAATGACTTGGTAATCACAAGAAGTTTCGATACGGATAGCTGTTGCAATGCAAGTTCAGACTAGTCTCGGAAAAATGCGCAGTGCTCCTTGTTAGCTATAATGCGTGCCAGAACGAACCCAAACAAAGACGTGATCGTAACGAGAAAAAAATCATTAAAAACTACGAGAGCACAATTGGAAAGACAACTACTCAAAATTATCGTAAGCAGATACATAACTTGGAGGAAGAATACAATAGTTGTCCAAGAAAAGCCACATTAATAGTGATATTTAATGAGTTACTATAGATACAATCATTATCGGAAGGGCCTGCTGCATTATATCTAAACGTGTTTAAATTGAACACGAGGCAAATACCGCCCTCTACGGTAAAAAGCAGTATAACAAAGGATTCGAGTATTTGCAGCAGGCCCCTTGCGATAAAAATGTACCCAGTTACTCCTCGATTATCACAATTTCTGTGGCATTTCTTGGGCGATTATTGAATTCTTTGTCCAAGTTATGTATCTGATTATGGTAATTTTGAGCAGTATATCTTTCCAATTGTGCTCTCGTAGTTTTTAATGATTTTTTTCTCGTTACGATCACGTCTTTGTTTGGGTTCGTTCTGGCACGCATTACAGATAACGAGGAGCACTGCGCATTTTTCCGAGACTAGTCTGAACTTGCCTTGCAACAGCTATTCGTATCGAAACTTCTTGTGATTACCAAGTAATTTTCAGCTTTTAAAAAAAAAACATGCGATGTTTAAAATAAGAGATAAATATTTATTTTTGTCTTTAAAATATTATATGATCGGTATATTGTACAGAAGAATTTTTTAGAAAGCCGTTTTATTATTCTAACATTCATATTTTTTGACCAGATTTAATCAACCTGCATAAATCAAAATGGCGGCTCGATTGTAGTCTTTATATTTTTGCTCGAGTTTTTTTTACTTTTAGAGGCACGATAATGGCACTAAACATCGCCAATCATGGATGAATATAATGTCAAATGGAAGAATATACCAATCTGTGCCGAGGTATGCATGTGTTGATTTATTTGACTGATAAAAATGTCACTTTTAAGGGACATACTGATGATATGCGCTTTTTATAGAGGCAAGTGACAAATCCTGCGAGCTGATTTCGGGACACCGGGTCCCGACCGGTGCAAGGCCGTCGGGACCCGGTTTATGAAAATCCCGACATGACTCAGGCCTAATGCAGATACAGCGAAATATCTTGTAATCTATCTGCACAAGAAGCTGAGTTGGAACTACCACATCGACCAAGTAACAAGGAAGGCTAACTCCACCTGAGCCTTCCTCCAGAGGAACATCAGATCATGCCCACGAAAAGTCAAAGTACTCTGCTACCTCACCCTACTTAGACCAGTCATAGAATATGGAATCATCATCTGGGATCCCTTTATCCAAGCCAATACCAGGAAGCTAGAGTCGAGATGATCCAGAGAAGATATGCACGTTTTGTTTGCAAGCAATGACCATCGCAGAACAAGCAGTGTCACAGCCATGCTCAACCAACTACGATGGCCATCTCTGCAAGAAAGGAGAGCCCAGGCGAAGGTAGCGATGTTCTGTATCAAGAACTCGCTGATATCCATCCCCCAGACAGTTCTGACTCCATCACTACCTGCTCCCTGCCAATGCTTAGTGCATAAAGTTCTTTGGAAGATGCAATCACAAATTACACTCATAATCTAAGACACTAAGTCCATATCTGATCATTCACTCAGGCAGTCTTTTCAGCATCATACTAAGAATGCACATTGTACGATAATCTCACAATTTTAATTAACTCATTTATTGTCAAGTAAGTAAGTTATGATCTTGTTGTGTTGGTTGTTAAATTGTCATCTTTTCTGAAATTTTAAATAGATCTAGAGGCCGGAGGCTGGAGGAGGCCCAAGGGTTAAGGGTAGGGAGGCCAATGCCCGGGCGTAAGGCTTCTACACCTACGATTTGTGCGCTCGTCGCCCACTTCAAAAAATTAGCAAAGGGAAAAAAATGATGTAAAAATAAAAATTGAAGAAAATATGAAAAGAAAATACAATTATACATTTCACAACATACCTATAATCACGGATCTGTAACAGTCTTTCACCATTTGTTGACAATCTTGCAGATTTTGACGTTTTTTAATCCAATAACTGTGGTTGCAGACGACCTTGACGCACTCGCACCACCGACTAAGAAAATCCTAGAGGGCGTAGAGGTTTGCTCACTAAAAACCTTCTCATTGGCAGAAGGTAGACCCTAAAAATATGGGATCCGTTTTGAGTAAAGAACTTTTGATAGAGATCAACATTTCAGATGTTCACAATTGCCACTTCTAACAACTAGAAAATATAAAGAAAAAAGATTATATCTTTTTAAATACAGATTTTTACAAACTGAACATTCGAAAGTAGATAGAGTACGATGTTTCTGTCAATCTTGCGTTGGTTTAAGCCCTATAGCTACATCCATCTCAAAATGAGAAGGAAAACAGTGAACAGTGACGTCATTGTTCGCGCCAAAAATAAAGGGTATTGCGACATAATCTGAGCTCCGGTCAGATCGTGCGCAAAGCGTAGTCTTATTTATAGACCCTAGTACCTTATTCTCACACCACTAGATACGAGTGTCGTGCAGTAATGTATGAGAAGTGTTAAAAAAGATATTTCAGTAAAAAAAAAAGTCTACGTGAGCAGTCTATACTCCAATTGAGAATTGAAATGAAAGCCATGATTTGAAGGTGTGTGTTGTATGATACATGGTTAGTGAGTGTGTATGTTACGTATAGCGAAAGGGAGAGAGAGAGAGAGAGAGTGAGAGAAATATTAGTACACGTACGTTGCATGCATGGATGTGCGCTATGATTGTGTTCGCTGCAAGATGGATTTTAATTGGACCTCGTAACTTCTCGATCGTTGATAATAAGGAATACTCATGAGGAAATCAAATTATTGGAATACACATCTAAGGTAAATATCAATGAATTATATATATTTCTTTCCTTTTTTGAACCATCGTCTTCGGCTCGTAGTAGTAGAAGATGTAATCGTTCGCACATTGATGGCTGGACTTCAGCCTGCATCGGGGCTTGCCTGTGTCGGTGGAGGGATCAACTAAGAAGAAGAAGGTGTGTACGTGTGCGACCGATTCAAGGCTAGCCGCTGTTAAGTGATTGCACTTTCGCGCGAAGTTTTAAACTTCATCATGAACTTTGTCCCTCGGGCCTGTCTAATTATGAACGTAACTTTGCGACATGAAATATAATTGTTTCAAGGCTCTTACGTACGGAAAGGCGTGGAAGGAAATGGCTACAAACCAGCTGGATATCTCCTATTTGATGGAACCTATGGAGTCGGCAGATGGGTGGATTTTCTTAGTGAAAGTAAATGCTTTCTTTTAATCTTAGTTTTAGTATAAACAAATTAGTAATTAAAAAGTTAGATTTGGGCACTGGCCTCCCTATGAAGGGCAAGGCTCAGCTTTCATTCATTGATGGATTGAGTAAATAAGTACACACTTTGTCTTTCTGATTTTATTTAATTGAATGATCGATTTTTTTTTAAATAAGGGATGGGGTGGGGTCGGATAACTGTCCACCTAGTCATCTATCTCTCGCATCGCATCTAATGTCTGTGTGACTGTGGCAGACGAAGTAAGCCGAAACTCACTTACACGTCTTACCACAGATGGGACTAAAACAAGTAGAATAACATTGAAATGGACATCACTAAAAACAGAGACCGGTTTATCCTCTTAATCAAATAACCGATTTTTAACAAAGCCGATATATAATAGCGGAAATTTGATAGCTTACCTAGTGATATGGTTCTGTAAAACGTTTCCTTTCCATTGGCGAGGGCTTTCTTTGAATTTCTCGATATTAGTTTTACGATTTTGTTGTTGTGTAACTTCACATTTTTTTTTGTCGCGCCGTAGATGGCGCTCCAGATTATGGATCGTCGTCGTCTGCTAGAAACCCCAAACTATCACACTAGATATATAGTTGTCTTTTTAATCATAATTTGTTTGTTTCTCATCTTTAACAAAAACTACATTAAAAACAAAAAGTTTAAAGGAACAAGTAACAAAGAAAAAAAGAGAATACTAGTGAATAGGCGATGTGTCTGGAAACGGTAGCTCCCGTACGATATGAAAAGTATCATATTATTTTCAATTTCGTGGGGGGGGGGGGGGGGAGGAGGGGTGCAAAAGGAACTCCTATAGAACTCCGATAGAACTTGTCTTAATCTCACTAACGACGTGCATGCTCCTGCAGCTCCTCATAAAATAAGTGAAGATGGTCAATGAGTCTGTTTTTTGTAATGTTCTGTTTGTTGTTGTCGCTATACCGCTAAGAAAGTAACGCGATTTTCAAAATATAAATAGCTCTTTAACGAAATTAATATTTGATTGCACCTCAATCAAAATGACGGTACTCAAGATTACACCTAGCTAAGTTTTAACTGAATTGCAGTGCAAAAATGATATAAACATTTATTTTTCTTCACATCCAAAGCGTTTGGGGGCAGAAAAGATTAGTTAAAGGGCACGTTGGTGCTTTCTATTTTCAGAGGAGTGTTACACCCTGGAGCCGATGAAAATTGGTATCATATTTAATTTATTTATTTAATTGTTTATTCATTTATTACATCCAAAGCGTTTGGGGGCAAAAAAGATTAGTTAAAGGGCACGTTGGTGCTTTCTATTTTCAGGGGAGTGTTACACCCGAGAGCCGATAGAAATTTGTATCACATTTAATTTATTTATTTAATTGTTTACTCATTTATTACAGCCGGGAACGGGGTGAAATCGACCGGACTTTTGGTACTTCTTGAGAGGCTATGTGGGCTAGATCATTCACCATAAATAGTTAAAGGAGGTGAGTCAGGTGACACATGGCCTCAATGTTGACCACTATTGACCCCTCTCTCTCTCTCTCTCTCTCTCTCTCTCTCTCTCTCTCTCCCTCTCTCCCCTCCCTCTCTTTCTCTCTCTCTCTCTCCCTCCCTCTTTCCCTCCCTCTTTCCCTCTCCCCTCCCCTCCCCTCCCTCCCCTTTCCCTCCTATATCTGCACATTGCAAAATAGGGTATTACACATATTGCATGCCCTCAAATTACTCACTCTATAGAGTAATGACAAACACAAAAACATGACGGTAATGACAAACAATGACGGTAATGACGGTAATGATGGTAATGACGGTAATGACGGTAATGACGGTAATGACAAACACAAAAACATTTCATTTATAATAATTATAAATGAAATGTTTTTGTGTTTGTCATTACCGTCTTTAAAACTAAGTGCCTACATGTTTTGTAATTAAAAAGATATCTTACTGTCAACAGAGAAGTGAAACTTTAGGGTTTTTCACAATGTAAATAAAAAAGCATAATTACTTACAATTGGCTTTTCAAAAAGAGAACATAGATGGATTAGCTAGAGCCGCTAGACCATGCACACCTAGCTTCATTCTTGCTGAACACCGGCACCGCCTTAACATGCGGGCTGCTGCAAGTGCACTCCTTTCCCTCTCTTCAAATTTATCTGCGAGGGTTTGCTTGCTACAGCAGATACCCTAAATGACTGTGGCTTATTACACACCCAAATGAAGTATGTCTAAACAAAAACTTGCAATCCCATGCACCTGATAAATACCTGCATGCCTAACCGTCTACTAAAGTTTAGGCAGAGCACCTGTTCTACATAGCTTGTGTTGGCTCCCCTATAGTAGGTAACAAAAGAGTTGGGCAATGTGAAATTGCCTCGATTTGATTAAGAATTCATAATACTCTCTCCCTCATACTCTCTCCCTCATACCCTCTCTCTCCCTCCCTCTCTCTCTCTCCTCGCACCTCTTAAATACCCCCTCAATGCGAAGACTGTCATACCCTGCCCCCCTCACTCTTCCTACTTTCTCATTTCTTTTCAATCTCTGCAATTTCTATACTTCTTTCCGAAGATACACATTGTAGGCTTCTATCTCTCTCTCTCTCTCTCTCTCTCTCTCTCTCTGTATTTACATCTCTTCTACTTTCCATCCCTCTCGGTCTCATTCTTTCTTTCTTCCCCCTTTTTCTCTTCTCTCTGTCCTTCTCTCTCTCTCTTTCTCTTTCCCTTCCTCTCTCTCTGCCTCTCTGTCTCTCTTGCTATCCCTCACCCTCCGTACTGGTAATCCCACTGTCCTCTACATTAAAAAGTAAAAAAGTAACCGACACTAAGACATCATGGTCTTACAATTATGAAAGATCCTCAAACACTTATGAAAAGACCACAATGCTATATTGAAAGTGTTTGAAATATGATACAAACAACAACAAAAAGTTAATAACTTCATCGATGACATAGAAACACATATTTATTTTAAAGGAATTACATTCTCAATAAAACATTTAAGTATGGAAGATTCAAGGACTTGTCAGGCTAGCATAATATCAGTTATTAGAAAATGACAATACAAAGTTTAAGACCTACTGTTAGAAATATATAAAAAGAATACAAATACCCTGATAATAGGCATGCATGACACTGTCCAAGCATGCAATAACATACATTTCGTACGTGAAATTAAATAGTCACATTTAGTGAGTGATCTACACATGACCAAGTTATGTTCTAAAACACGCTTCTAATTTGAATACTGATGATTTGATTTAACTTTTATGATTCTGTAACATAAATTCATGCTTAGCAAGGGGTTAGTTACCCAATGTTTATTCCAATAGAAAAAAGACATAAAACACATTTCAGGAAAGAAAAATCATAGTTATCACACACAGATGGACAAAGCACATTAGAGAAAAGTAAGGTGATACAATGTTATTGCGAGTATGACCTGGCTGGCTATTCATGCCGGTCTGTCGTTTCGTTCAGCGCCAGAACTATCTTGGTTCACATCACTCGATGTTGGGGATGAATTACCAGGATGCTGAATCTTGATTGACGAGTTGATTTCATCTTCGGTTACTTGCCGAGTGACGGTGGAACTATCTGGCCATTTCACCTCAATGGTCACTGGGACACTTGAAGGGCCGAATCCAAAGTGCGCCACTGGCTCCATCTGGCAGAGGTATCCGGAGCCGCCGTCGATGACTCTGAGTTGGGAGTTGCCATCCTGCGTCACGACGTTGACCAACGCGCCACGAGCTGGAGCATTGTGTTGCGTCAGCGGCATGACTCGTAGCCATCGATGATTGGCTCCACGTCTGGAGCGGAATACGCTGAGTGGTTCACTGGCCGATTCACCGTGGGATAAGATGAGCTCGAGCTTGCCGTCACCATCAAGATCGGTCACAGCTCCACCTGCGGATGAATAATTAAGAGTTGTTTAGAGTTAGTATTAAGGTCAGTTGACCATGAGACGCATGAGGCGCCATTTCGCTGTTGTGCAGAAAACAGTCAGGAGTGGCGTCGTCTTTGACATGCCTTGTGTGAGAGATAAGATAGGAAGGATCACTTGCAAGCAAAGTCAGTAAGACCCGTCGCACTCGACGCGTCATTTCGCTGACGTATAAAACTGCGTCAGGACTGGCGATGTCGTTGTTGTGAGAGAGAGATAATATACAAAGGGTGATTGCGCATTGAACAATGTAAACATTGCGTTGAGTTACTGGCGCGTCTACTAACTCACCGAAACAGGCTCTTTTAGCGCTTGTAATAGCGCAATCGAAATGAGTCCTCGTGTGCGACGGGGTTTACTTTCTTGAAAACATGCCGGGCCGATAATGATCGACGACGCCGGGGTAAAATATTTATGAAAGAACAGGAAAATGTTTAGTTTGCTAGGCCTGTGTGTGAGCGACAACAATTGTCCTTGAACAATCATGATAGTCATTTTGAAGAACATGGAAGGAATAAATGGACAAAACAGACGGGACTAGTGAAGGAAGCTACCTTGCACAATATATATTTACCTGTACCATAACCATTTACTTCTGCGGCATCACCGAGCTCTGTCTCCTCTTCGATGGCAACGTTCCAATCGCTCGTCGGCCTTATCTTAAACATCCTGTTAGGAGCGGAGCCATGGTAGGCGATGTTGTTAAAGAACACCTCCAGGACACCATCGTTGTCAAAGTCAGCTGCAATCACTGTCCTGATAGGTGAAGGTTCCTCAAACGGAGGACTAGCAACATTCTGAAGAAAATGAAATGATGTCATGTCATCAAATAAGAATGTCACATTACCAAGTCACAATAGATCTTGCCAAACAGTAAAGCCACACTTACTTTCCGAGTACAATTACTGATGGATATTTTGATTCATCAAAAATTAAAATCAAGAGTAATCCCATTACATAAAAGAGAGAAGGGTCGCAAGCGACTGTGAAATGTGGCATGAATAACAGAAAGAGAGGTCATCTAGAGATGGAGGAGGAGCACGAATAATAAAAGGACCAACCTGAAATATTCGTCTATTCCCTTTGGTTTTCTGTAAGTAGAGACGATGATGACCATTCCAGTTACCATATACAATATCTAATTTACCGTCCCCATTGAAGTCTGCAAGGGCAACACCTCTACCGTTTTCACCTGCGTCAGAAATCCCTGCAACAAATTGGGGTAAATGTCAAGAGAACTCAGATTATAATGACATGGATTTAAACGTTTTGTGATCAGAAGTAATTACATTAGTCAATGAGCAAAGGCCATCGATCGGCGAGAGAAAAAAAGATAAGTTCTACAACCTATAATCTCTAACAAAAAAAAGTAACAGTTGCCGTCTTTTAACCGATGTCTTTTTTATCAAGGTCACCCATAATTATGATAATATTTCATAATTATTTTCTAAATAAGAGAGGCGGACATAATTGGGTCACATCAAACGTGATTACTGAATAGAGGTTAATGTGTTAAGATGATGCAAATATAATACCATATCACTATCATTTTGTTAGTGGATTTATGCTAAATTTATTCACAGTATTGTTACCAAAAAAAATGATTTTGTGACGTACTTGCCGAGGCTGCAACCTCATCAAAATTGCCGCGTCCGTCGTTCTTGTAGAGAAAGTTTGGCCCACCCTCGTTGTCACAAAATATATCCGATCTTCCCTCGTCGTTCAAAATGGGTCCTACTGCTACACCTCTGCCACCTTCGAGATATAAATATTACAGAGATTAATAAAAACGTGAAAGATGATTTTTGTAAAGCGCCATTAAAGTTAAGCATTCATTTCGCTTGGAGGCCCTCAGTAATAAAGTTTCAAAAAATTTAACGTCGAAATAGTGAGGGAAATTATAAAAAAGAACGTCTCTCTTAACGGCAATCGACGGTTATTCTTCTTTTGGTATCGCAGTGGATAATCTTAACAACATCTTTGTTATAATGCTTACATTTATATATTGAACCTTACAAACTATTGTATTAAAAAACAAATAGGGATATAGGCTACTAAATGGCCTAAAATCGGAGCCCATTAATACAATGAAAGTTATTAAGAAGTCACAACGAAAAAAAAAAGTATAAGCCCATATATATAACAAGAGGCAGTGTAAGTCATACATGACATGACAAACATACCCGAGTTTATAACTGGGAGAATACAAGGTGTTTCCAAAAGAGAACCAACAAATAACTCACCAGTGAATCCCTCAACGCCTACTTCTCTAGCAACGTTCCTAATCTTGATGATACCAGCGCTGACGTTACTCTGTGTCTCATCCATCTCTACCATAGCACAGGGTCCAACGGGAGGAGATACCCATCGATTGGCATAGTTAGAGAGATAGATTGAGTAGCGGCCCGTTCCTTTTCGGTCAATACACGCCACGGAGCGACCTGTTTCGAAAAATGAAACATTTAAAATCTTATCATCTCATGTTCATTATTATTTATTACTGCATTCTACGAATTTTAGGAATACAACTTTGGTTGAGAATAACGTATAATATTATATTAAGCGTCATTTATAATAATCACCGGTGTCACGGCTGTGTTTGTACCGTTTGTAACGTTTGTGTGTTTGAGTATATTATTCTACTCTCGAGATGGAGTACAAAATACGAAAGAGAAGAATAAGGTCTTGGTAAAAAGCTCTCTTGTAAAATAACATTTTCCAAACTCAGTGGGACAGCATCTTCTTAAATCTCTGAGGTACAAGCAAAGCTCACATAGTGGACAATATTCGACATGATCCTTCAATTTAAAGTATAAAAAACTAGCTTTGAATACATATCTGATGATCAGGTATGACTACGTTCTTCACCTGCGTACTGGTTGATAACGTTTGAGTTGATCCTGTCCGACAAAACGTCTTCATATCGGCCATTCCTCCACTTAAAGAGCTTATCCGTGTACTGCTTTCGACCACTGTAAGCATTGTTCGTGTTCAAGAAATAGATTTCTTCCCGCCCATCTCCGTCGACATCACATGCGCAGACACCTATTGCGCTCCCCCTTGGGTCACGAAGTTGGTAGTAGGGTGAGGCGGTGTCATTGATGGCCAGGTTCTCCAGCTGTCCGGTTTCATGGTTGTACTTCAGGACTAAGTTGGAGCCATTAAACCTGCAAGAGAACGACATTTGGAATGAGATGATGCGGGCACGTAGTGCGGACACTCAAAAGTACAAAAATATATGCCGGTACTTCTGTGAGGTAAACTCGGGGGTAAAATACGAACCTCATCGGAACTAGCAGACGAGGCGTCTTTAGCTGACGTAGGGTGTTGAGCCATGTGAGAGAGAATGCCCAATAATAACTGGCACACGCGCCGAGTACTCTTTCTATATGAGTAATGAAGAAATCAAAATGACGTGTGCAATTTGCATACCCGTGTCGGTAAAATAAACGAGATGTAATATTGCAAATGATAATTATTTGATTATTATAGGTATTTGCAAATTCACTGCAAAATGATTAATTAATATTTTACATCAATCGGCTGATATTCTGTTTATTAACAACATACCCAGCAACAATGATTTCCAGTTCACCGTCGTTGTCAACATCCGTCACGGCGACGCCATAATTCTTCTGAATTGGATTCGAATCAGCAGCGAATCCCCCAGTCATCGACTCAAACCATGGACCTGATGACGATGAGGAAGCTGCGGCATAGTCCGGTTCATGGTATTCGGGATGATGATGATATTGATGGTGATGACCGCCGTAGTAGTGGTTCTGTACTCCTCGATACGGCATTGTCCCCTCCTGTGATGGATTTGATTGAGCGGTTGCCATGGCTCCGGAAGATGATGAGGAGTGGATGGCAGATTTGAGGAGGACTACAGAGACCAAGCCTGCCACATAGCGAAGGGATGGGCGAAGGTTAGCCAGCATGATGGTGGTGAATATAAACAACTGCAAGTGGAGACTGGATGATCCAATCAAAATAAAGTGTAATGATCGTCATGACCATAATAGTCGGTTAATCTTAGTGATTTTCAAACGACAAGGCCTAATGCCTTTGCTAGAATCTTCAATATAATTATCGTATGGAAAGCTAATCCCTAAGACGACTTCACCCCATTAAACGAACAATATTCCAATAGGTGTTTTTCCAAGGGAAAATTGGAGTTTAATAACAGTGAATAATGGGGTATGGATGATGTCACCATGGGCATAAATTAAACTTACGCCCCACCCCACCCAACCCTGCCCGGTCGAACCAATCAGTTACAATATTTAAAGATAAAGTTAAGTTCTGGGCATGCAATTGCATTGTGAAAGAAACGGTGAGGAATCGATCAGAAAACGTTGATCATGAATGCATAGCGGTATTGGTGTGTACTGCAAGGTTCTGGAATCATCAAAATGATAAGAAATATTTGGTCCAGTCTTGTTAAAGTAAAAGCACTGTACACGGAAAGATGTAAATGGGACTACTCAAACATGTGGCATAAGAATTGGGCCTCATTTTAAAGCTGTCACTGTCTTGTCATATTTAGAATATGAAGGCATTTGAAGAGCTATCCTTTTCAGGTAACATTTTCTTTCTCATGTTCTTCTACACTTGCATAACAACATAGGGCTCACAATTAAGTTTTTACCTCTCGATCCCCGGAACTCAATATTCTCTTTAAACCAAATAGATTCATTCCCACTGTAAATTCAGAAATAAAATGATTCACTTAGCCGGGGACAGGTAGCTGTGATCAATAGCTTTGAGAGCGATGGAGCATTGCGAGCGGTATATTTTCTTTACAATCGTGCCCTTCACGCAGCAACCGGGCGTTAGTTTTTTTCTGGATTTAGTTAGAGTTTCTTTCGAATGTTGTTGTGTTTTTGTGTGCACTCAACCAACTTATATTGAGGAAGAAAAAGAAGTACTACATCATTCCAGTAGCGAACTAAACGGATCACGCTAGGCGCGTACGCCGGGGGGGGGGGGGTGGATTGTGTTTTAGGGGATACCCCCCCCCCCTCCCCTCAATTATTTTTTTTTTTTTTTGCTCAAGGTGCTGAGTTTAAAAAAAAATTGAAAGCCCCTTCACCTTCCCCCAATCCCACTGAGCGAAATATCGATGGCGGGATTAAATTTCGGGAAAAAAAATTATGCTCACTACCCCCCTCCCCCCCCCCCCCCCCCCCCCCCCCCCCCCCCCTGAGCGAAATATCGTTAGCTCGATTTTCAATTTTCAAACACCCTCCTTAAAAAACTCCTGCGTACGCCACTGGTTCACGCAATATTTTGGCTTGAGGCCCGGTCGATTGATCAAAATTTTATAGTATGAACTGAGGTACGATAAATAGTAAAAGTTTAGTGTATAAATATTTAACGCAGTCCAGAAATAACTTCCAACTTTTCAGTAGGTTTTTAAGCCAATAATATTTAGCGGCTGATATAATTCACCGTAAAATGCATCAAAATATCTGAATTCTAAAGAGAAGAGGCATATGAAAATGATTCCTGATAAACTGTCCTACCCTTTTCTCTCTCTTTCTATTTACCACTTTTGCCGATCCCAGTACCGCCCGGTAGGCCTATACGTGCCCCCTTCACCCCCTTTTTTAGTCACGACGCTGAATATACTTTCATTGGGACGGGGGCATTAATGCCATGCAGTCCTGTTATCTAGTGATACTGATAGTAGAATTCAGATGAAAATAACAATACTTCCGTTTATATTTCATATCATCCATCTTATGAAGAAAAAAAAAATCTACTTCATACATATTACACGAAAGCACTCAAACATATTATATAGGCGTGAAGAAAATGGTCGCACTTATATATATCACTATTCCTCTGAAAGAAACCTACACAGGATACGGTAATATACATGTACATCAATCATTCACACAATTTCAGTTCATATCAGCAATCTAATTTCTATGCGAGCTAATACAGGAACATGACAAACATATGGAATAGTATTTTTCATGTTTTAAAGTAACAATTTCATGGTCAATAATATGCTCACCTCAAAAAGCTAAACTCAGAAAGAAATATAGGGATTCCAACACTAACACTAACACTACAAAAACATGGCAATATTTTCCAACGCTTACCTCTGAACTTAGGAAAGAGTCCACAAAGCACAACCATCTGATGTGCTATATTGGCTATATACTGGTCGTTATAATTATGACTGGTCAAGACTCCGGCTGGTCAATTTGTGTGCAGTGCAGTAGCAATGGACAATACTGAAGGAACCTGGTTATAAAATCGAAGTTTCATAACAATAAAGACTGGTGTATACCTAACCACTGTCTTGGTGTATTCGAGCGCCACAGCATCCGCTGATTATTAACAAAGGATGGGTACCAGTCTTTCAGCTAAAGATGCACATGCGGTATTCATAACATGTTAAATCACTTTGTTTACTACATGTATGTCGTCTGCTTGACTTGCCTTGGCCAGGTCGTTTCCTTGCATTGTTGTTGTTTATTTGTTGGATTTGATCTCCTTAACCGAAGGGTGACTAAATTACAAATGCATGTTGACTTTTGTAGATCTGTAATACATCACATATCTTTTTACTTTTTGATCAATGTACATTTAGTGCCACTCTTTTTCATGTATATTATTTTTTCTATTACTTTTGTTGAAATTGTTGTTGTTCTTCTTCTTCCAGTATAGTACAGTCCGCCGTTGGCGTATTATCGTACCTTGTTCTACCTGCTAAGCTCCACCCCTAAACAAATACATTGGTATGTCCCTTCCCATCAACTAATCACCTGTTCACAATAGCATTGCATGTTTTCATATATAATAGCCATTAAAACCCTTCTTTTCATGGTGTTGCTCTGGGGATTTTCGTGTAAAGTCAATAGGTCTCGACCTTTTTCTTTTGTATACGAGCCTTTTTCAGCATCCCCCCCTTTTCAGCAAAAGTCCGGTGTGTAAAGTCAATTAGGCTCGATTTTGTTACGAAAAGGACATTTTGGCAACACGCATGCGGTCATTTTGAAACCTGAGTGGGGGGCCGGGCTGAGGAACTGTATATTTTGTAAGCGGACAATCGCAACGACTCAGCCAGCCGAAAAGTCGCTCAGTGGGGGGGGGGGGGGGGGGGGGGGGGGGGGGGGGGGGGGGGGGGGGGGGGGGTAAGCGGACACTTTTTTTTTGGAGTCCAAAAAAAATCGCAACGACTCAGCCAGCCAAAAGTCGCTCAGTGGGGGGGGGGGGGGGGGGGGGGGGGGTAAGCGGAAACTTTTTTTTTTTCGGTCCCAAAAAAAATCGCAACGACTCAACCGACCGCTGAATAAGCGGGGGGGGGGGGGGGGGGGGGGGGGGGGGGGGGTAAGAGGACACTTTTTTTTTTTTTTTGGTCTCGAAATTTGAAGATTTGACATTTTGCTCCGTTGGGGGGGGGGGGTATGGTCACCTTTCTTAGGTCAGCCATGGGGATAGTTTTTTTAATAATTAAAATAAAAAGAAATAAAAAAAATCCAAAGGGGGGGGGGTTTTAGTGATTTTTTAGGGGGTTTACACACATAAAAATACCAAAGGGGGGGGGTTTAACCCCCAAACACCCCCCTGCGTACGCGCCTGCACTGGCGTACTGGTGGGGGGCTTGTATGTTACATCGGGGGGGGGGGGTAGGATTTTTACGCCACGTGTTCGTGTAGTCCCATATAACTCTTTCTGTGTTCAGTGTTTGTAACTTTACCAAGACTTGGCCAAATTTCTTATCATTTTGATGATTCCAGAACCTTGCAATACACACAAATTCTTATATGCTAGATGATCAACCTTTTCTGGTCGATTCCACACCGTTTCTTTCACAATGCAATCGCATGACCAGAACTCAACTTCATCTTTAAGAGTAATAGTTTAATGAAACGTCAGAGTTCCGCGCTTCGCGCGAGATGGGCGAAAATAAATTCAGACAAGGATTAAGAGTCGGAACTGGTACAATGAATCGTCTTCTTTCTCTAATAATTTAATGAAGTGTCAAAGCTTCCGCGCTTCGCGCGAAAGGGGATGGGGGGGGGGGGGGGGGAGAAACTAAATTCAGACAAGAAAACGATACAACGAATCGCCTTCTTTCTCTAATAATTTAATGAAACTTGAAAGCTTCCGCGCTTCACGCGGGATGGGCGAAAATGAATTCAGACAAGGATTAAGAGTAAAGGTTTAATGAAACGTCAGAGTTTCCGCGCTTCACGCGAGATAGGCGAAAAATGGATTCAGACAAGGATTAAGAGTAATGATTTAATGAAACGTGAAAGCTTCCGCGCTTCGCGCAGGATGGGCGAAAATGAATTCAGACAAGGATTAAGAGTAAAGGTTTAATGAAACGTCAGAGTTTCCGCGCTTCACGCGAGATAGGCGAAAAATGGATTCAGACAAGGATTAAGAGTAATGATTAATGAAACGTGAAAGCTTCCGCGCTTCGCGCAGGATGGGCGAAAATGAATTCAGACAAGGATTAAGAGTGATAATTTATTGAAACGTCAAAACTGCCGCGCTTCGGGCGGGAGGGGGGGGGGGGGAGGGGAACTGGATCCAAACAAGAATTAAGAGTCGAGAACGGTACAACGGATCGTCTTCTTTCTCTAATAATTTAATGAAGTGTCGAAGTTTCCGCGCTTTGCGCGGGAGGGGGGGAGACTGAAAAATAACTTAGTTCCTGGCCCCGGGTTTATAGGGTTAAATTTGTAGACATTTGGACATTGGCATTAATCAAGTGACGCCCCTGATAACGACACAGTTTATACACTCGAGAAAATGTTTGCAAGTAGGCCTACTACTGATGAAGTACCGGACCACCGTCTTTGTGCATTGTGCGGCATCAAAGCATATACAACGTCTCAAGACGTGACAGATCGCTTTTCTCTAACTTCTAACCAATCAGAAGGCCTCGATTTTTTCCAGGAAGTGCCGGTGGACATGATGCGCCAAATGTGTTTCTCAAATTGCAAAAGATCCCTACTCTTGGAAGGGGTAGGAGAAAGCAATTTTACGTCATATTACTCCAGAAAGTGCCTGAAAATGCGTCTAATTTGGTTCTAAAATAAATGCTTCTCACTCTGGGAAGGGGCCAGAACCCCCTCCCAGACCCACCCCGCTTGGACGCTTCATCGTTTTACATTTATTTTAAGTCCCACTGCACTACTTATAGCTACTTGCGCCCTCTATATAGCAGACAATGCCTAATCGGTGACCATTGGTCCCCCATGATCCCTTTTTCTTATTTGATGAGATAACCGCCTGTCAGTGACCATGAAGGTAGGTCTAATCCCTCCTGGCCAAACTAGTGCGGTGGGGCTTTAAGAAAAAGGTAAGAAATTCCTGGATCCGCCACTGATGCCCATACCCTTGAGCTTCGGGGGCTCCGCCCCTTGGCCCCTAGACCCCACTTTGCGAAACGTTTAGCGGGGCCTGCATGTTAGAGTGGGGTGCTGCAATTTTTTTGTCAACCCCCCCCAAAAAAAAAAAAACGTTTTTGCTCATTACGCCACTGCCTTGTGATATAGAGACACACGGCCAATATACATAATTCACAAGGTCAACTATATACAGAGCGAGATCGTAGGCCTACTTGGTAAATCGGGCATGTTCTCTTTACAACCTTCCAAAATCAATTATGGAATCGATAATCGTAAAGATGAAAGACCAAAATGGTATTTCATATTCCAACTCCACTGTACTCAAGGATACTGTTCATTGTCTAATGCTGAACAAAACTCGGCACAGCTGTTCATAATTTTTATTGCACCTTATAGACCATAAATTAAAACATCATACTTCTGTATTTCTGTTTGATGATGTGTCATTTCCAGTTTCATTGATCATTCAAAATACGTATGCACGAGTGTAATCTTGTGTTTTAGGCAGTTCATGCAAGTTCCTTTTTTCGGTGTGTAATGAATGTTTTTGACCAGCATAATACACCGTGATTTTGTAATTAGAGGACACGCCAGTCAAAGTTTTCAGCCTCACACAGTGGAAAACAAATTTGGAGAGTAATTATCAAAGTTTACGAACTGCAGGTGAGATATCTTTTCCTTTTCGTATGTATCAATGTTTTGATGTCATATATATTTTATATTACATGCATACTATATAGAGGTATTATCTAGATACAGGATTTTACAGCGCCTTGATGTGAGGATACACTTAGATTCTATTTCCATTTAAAAGTTGATCACTTGATACAATAATGTCAAAGTGCCTTGACTATTTCCTATTCTCATAAATATAATTTTTTTATTTGAGGGTGTTTGTAGTGGACTTGTTATGTGCAAATTTACAATGATGATGAATATCTGATATCTTGTCTTAAGCGTATAAATTACTGTTTTTCGGAATATAAATGATGAGCTATGCCTACCAATAATATTTGTCGACAATGGAGTTGGTAAGCGTATGACTTACATATCTGTTTATTATCTTGTGTCTTTTTCACAACCTCTTTTCTTTTTTGTCACAATCTCTCTTCTCTAGGAACCAAGATGGCAAGTGTAGGCTCAGAGGAATCCCAAGGATTGGACTGCTCCATATGCCACGATCTCCCAGAAGATCCCAAACTACTTGCCTGTGGACACACATTTTGTAAGAAGTGCTTGGCTCTCGTCTTTCAGTCTCAAATGAAAGAAACTGAGCTATCTTGCCCAAATTGCTCCAAGATTAGTCCCATCACTGACGGCGATGTTTCTACGTTAAACACCAACACCGAACTTGAGACGAAATTGAAAGCCATGGAGAGCGCGGAGAAGCACTGTTCTGTATGTGAAGAGGGAGAGGAGTCACCGGCTGCGGCCTACTGCCAAACCTGCAACGATCATCTTTGTGAAGATTGTCTGGATGTTCACAGAAAGTGGAAGAAAAACGCGAAACACGAAGTGGTGAATATAGATGATATCAAGACCGGCGGGGTGAAGGTGAAGCAGTCTTGTCCCAAGCATCCTGCCAATGAACGGGAGTGCATCTGTACATCCTGCAAAGTAGCCATCTGCCTTAGGTGCCGTATGGAAGACCACTCTGGGCCCGACCACAACGTTGAAGAAGTGCCAGAGTTCTTAATGAGGATCAAATCCGACATCGGAACCCTTCTGGAGAAAACCCGACAGAAGATGGCGATCGTCGAGAACCATGTGAAGATAGTGGATGAAGAAAATGTGAAGGTTGATGAAATCCTTGATCAAAGGATAGTGAGCATTAACGAAATGTTCGAGGAGAGTCTAACAGCGCTGCTGGAGAAAAAGACAAAGCTAATAGAGATGTGCCAAGGACATAGAGAAGTTCTAATGGCTGAACTACAACACGCAAGAGAAAGCGATGTTCAATTGATTGACGGCTACAAGAGCGCTTCTGAATTAGTCAGCAACGGAGCCATGGTTCTGCTTGAGGGTCAAGCTCTGAGTGTCCACAACAATATCAGTGCCGACTTGCAGAAACTGTTGAAACATCGTGAACCGAGTAACGAGCAAGCGACGAACATCACTAAAAGGGCAGAGAACGTTGAGTTCAGACTTTATCGTGATAAGCTTGGCCTCGGTGAAGTAATCTTGAACAACTGGACGATGAAGAAGATAAACGAGTATGCTCTGTCTGGATCAGATGTGTACGATCTTGTGCCAGTACTTGATGGCAAGATGGCAGTTGGGTACCTGGGCGGAGGTGTCGAGCTCTTCACGGTAGACGGACCACAGGAAATGGTGCGTACTCCAAGCAAGATGATGTACAGGCCTTCCACACAGGATGGAAGAAGGTCCTCAAAGACTGTGCTCCACGACGAAAATGTTGGGCATGTAGCCGTCTTGTCTGATGGCCGGTACGTGGTGCAGAACGAGAAGCACATCATCTCACTCTACACACGCGAATGGAAGAAGGAAGACGTCAAGTTTGAGACGCTGCAGGGAGACGGTTTTGGAGGCATGGGTGTGGACGTGGAGGATCGCATCTACGTGGGTTACTGGTCAGCCAAGAAGATTCTGGTGTTCAGTCCAGAGGGCGGTGCACCTATCAGCGAGGTTCCTTGTCACGACTTTGATCCCACAGAGATTTGTCCCATGCGTCACAGCAAGATGCTAGTCGTCCGTGATCTTCTCACAGTACGGGTGATTGACCAAAAGGGCACGGTGAAACACGAGGTCGACAGACGTTTCATCTCTGGACGGATGGCTGTTCTACGAGATGACAACATTCTGATCGGTTGGGTGAAGGAAAAAGGCGTGCTGTGTGTTGATATGTACAGTCACCATCTCAAGTATGTGACCACGGTCCTCTCCGACTTTCCCTTCAAAGGAGAGTTTCGAATGATGAGAGAATTCTCCACCGGAGAGATTGCTATTTGCGACAACGAAAAATTCTACTTGTTTCTGAAGACAAAGTAACAATCTTGCTAGGTTCGTGAATTTTGTCCTACTTCTCCTGCCACGTTAGTGTCTAATTTGGAATAACGAAGATTGTGATAATGTTATCTATTGTCTTCATGCCTCTAATCAATTCGAAATTTTAATCAATAGATTTCCGTTCTTAGTTTGATTTTATGAAGCAAATGCACAATCGTTTGCTTTTGTAATTTGTAGTCGGGGAAGATGACGAAGTCTAGTATTATATTCGTGCACAGAAAACGAAATATAACTGTACAATATTGTAGCTCACTTAGTATAGATAGTAATTTGATATATCAAGTATATTGTGTAAAAACAGAAGGAATTTACGCAAGAGCTGTGAAATCGATACAACCATTCTGTGCGAATTGACAGATGTACATGTATATTATTAAAATACATGTATTGCGATTTTTCAATGGCCTTTCACGTTTATACTAGATATGGTACAGCTATGAACAGAACGTATTATTTGGCGATATAGATAATCGTTGCGTGTGGAATTTCTTGCATATCTTTTTGCAACGTACAGTCAAGAATTTATACGACTCTTTGCTTGAACTTATTTTTGTCCCATTTTTTATGGTTCGTAGTAGCATATAAGCCTATTTTGGCGATACTTCTTGCAATACAATACAATTAGTCTTGCACAATACATAGGACGTTAATGAAATGAATTAAGAACATTTACTTCTCGGCAATTTTTTACAAATGAAATACATTGTATAGTGTTAATTAGTCTAGAGTAATGAAGTTGATTTGAATGGGTGTTTCTTCCAAATTCATATAAGCACAAGTATCTTTGTTAGGCTTATCCAAAAGAATGAAGTGATGCATGCAAAGTTGGATAGCAGCAAAACTAAATAAATATTCTTGAGCCTTCTGTTATTTTGTAGTCTAAATCGTCAACAGATACATTGAAATTGGAATAATTTTACTTCATTGTGCATCAAAACAGTTTTCAATTATTTTTTTCTTTCTGCACAAATACAAGTTTTTTAAAGGGTGAAGGAATAATAGACATCATTTTGATGTTACAGGATTTTACATTCGACTTCAAATCTTCACACATTGAGGTGTGCAATCAAAATCCATGTCTCTCACATTATTTTCACCTTTTGGCAATGGGCTACATAAATCTAGCAATTTCATATATATTCTCAAATAGGTCACATGCTATTGAACTTCGATTGCAGTACATGCATATGCCCTATAATTTTCAAACAGTACTTTCAGCTTTCAAGAGCTCAGATGTTATAGGGTCAATATCTTCATCAGAAAATTGGTGATCATATGCGATAGGTCACCACAATGCTTCATTTCTTGCACACCTTCATAAGTAGGTTTCCACCTATGATGCTGTTCATGTGTATTTTGTGGAGTCTAGTAAGTTATTTTGATTGTGGTAATGAACTAAATGTAAACTGTACACCTTTTCACTCTATTCTGAAGATATACAGTCCACAGAAGGTGTAACCACCAATACAAAGAATCCCATTTAGATCTGAAAAGAACTGCCCACAATTAAATTTCAAATCAATGAATGGATGAACTCTAATCATATGTACTGCATTATAGTCTAACTGGTGAATTAAGCTGCAGGAAATTGAATTATTCAGTTATTGCAATGTCTTCTTTTTTAAGGGAAATATGTGAAAAGATTTTGTAATGACTTCACTGGAGCACATCAATAAAAAATTCAAGAAAGTAATGATGTGATTGTATAATGTTAACCTTTATTTTTCATCAAACAAAAATACATCTTTCTCATACAGTATTCTTTTATTGGATTACATCCCCATATTAAAACACATAAGGTTAAGGAACAAAACAGCGAAATATAATATACGAAATCAGAAATAATACATTGTGACGTGCTTGAAAACAAATGAATGAAGATTTAAATAATTTATACTCAATTCACATCGTCATAGATAACAAAATTTAACATCAGCGAATAAGAGAAAGTACCTTTTCATTGCTGACAGTGATTAGTAACGAACAAAAAAAAAAACACTTATTCAAATCCCTCTTACCAATTTACCTTTTTTCATATCTATGCAACGACAGGACAATTGATTTGAAATGTTTGTTATTTTCATTTCTCTCTTGTTTAATGAGTTTTAATGAGAAACTACGTCATTTACCAGGTACTACATCATTAACCAGGAACATTCAGGCGGAAAGTATAACATGCACATTATAATCCCATTAACACAAAGATGTTTTCAACATTCCTTGATGGAGAATATTCCTCAAAATAATGATATCATTCAGATTTGGCAGTTTTTATTTCTACTTGCACTTGCCAAATTTCAATTTCCTATACAAGATACATAAAAGGCACATCTTAGAAAACTTATCTTTCTTCTAGGCATCGTTTTATCCTCTCTCAGCATTTAACCAAAGGTAGATTTAATTAATTGCATCTCATGATGTCTGATGATAAAATCTCAATTTGGCTCCCCCCTCCCCCTAGTGGAGACATGAAGTACTTAATGACAAACTCATGTACAACGTTTAATCAACCTCAGGAAGAGGAAAACATCAATTTCAGTTAAACGTAAAACAAGCAATATTCTAGAAATAACAAATTTAATCACAATTAACCAGGAACACACATATTCTTTAATACTTTAATAAAAATGTAATCATATTCTTGAAAACTCACAGCCTCTAATTCTCAACCTTTCTCTATAAATTTCATGTACAATCTTCTCATTTTATTACCATTGTTTTCAAGCGTAAATGAAACATTCTTTATACAGAACTCCAAAATAATCTATCACATTATTTTCCTATACAAAACATTACTTTCATAGACAATTATTGTCCCAAATACACAATAAAAGATAGCTTCAAGCACCTACTGTACTTGATTGAGAACTGTTCTGTATCACACACTGAAAGCTGTACATTTGACATTACATTGTCAGGCTGGCTTACAAGTCTTTCCCAATAACCATGATTTTCACAGACACTAGAATGATGATGATTTTGACCCTGGTGTTTACGGGAATGTTAACATTTACATTCAGTTGCCAGCACCTTATTGGATAAAAACCATTCAAATTTATTACCAATTTTCCTACTTTCCAAACCTCACATGTACTAAACTTTGTTGTGTATTGATTCAATATATTATTTAAAGGGCAATATCGTGGCTGTGCCTACATAGAGCCATTTGAATTTTATCACTATGGAACAGCTATTTCATGCTGCAGTCTTTAATCGTTACTACTTCACAGTGTTAAAAACTTTATGAAGAATCATGGTAGCACACCTGCAACTTAAAAAAGGAGAACAAATAATAATGTACACATCACAGACATTGCATACAGTGAGGTACAACACGATAAATCAACATTTCATTCCTGTTCAAAACAGACTTACAAATGAGAATACAATGCCAAATCAACGGCTAATCTTCATGACTGCTTAATTTCCTTGATTGACAAGTGAACAAGGATGGACACACTTAGAAGAGGCCAAAGATGGTTTCAGTCTCGGTGTCGATGTCAATGTCGTAGAAGCAAGGTCTGGTGGATAACCCAGGCATGGTACTCATCTGTAGAACAGAAATGAGATAAATCATGGACCATCAATTAAATGATTTTTTTACTTCATTCATTCTCTTAAGCCTGCTGGTGTATGGATTTAACTTAAGTAACAATTACTTCTCATAAACTGTACATATAACACGAAGTTATGTTTCTAAAATACAACATTGAGTAAAATGATGAAATATCTATATCACAGTGAAATTAAAAACAATTTGAATAACCCACGGTCTCTTGGGACTAACATGCTCAGTTTAATCTTATTTGCATTGTTGCACTGTATTCATACCTACTTTAAATTTAAAACTGGTTTGCAAAAAAAATTACCGGGTATGAACATTAATTTTGGCAACAAGAGGAAGAATCTATGAAGTATTATATGACAAGTGAATGAGTCTTATTTTAATGGAACACTCCTCATCACATTGCAAACAATCACAAATCTGTAATCATCATTGCTAAATGACAAATAATATGGATAAAAGGAATACTTTTGGGGGTCCTATAAGTGGGAAAATGAATAAAGTTGATACAAATTCTCTGAACATTTATTGCATACTCGTTAAGTTCATTTGATGTTACAAGCAGATAAGCCACTTTATACATTCTTTTGGGAGAAGGTTTAAGAGTCTGAAGATCAGGGTCATGCCACTTACCGTTCCAACAAGCGGGTAGAGGAATCCTGCCCCTACACTGGCTCTGACATCCCTGATTGGCAGAGTGAACCCAGTGGGCGTGCCCTTCAGTTTCGGGTCATGTGACAAGGAAAGATGCGTCTTAGCCATGCAGATGGGTAGATCGTTGAAGCCCTGGCTACGGTAGAGGTTGATCTTCTTCTGTGCATCCTCAGAGAGTTCAATGCCGTCGGCTCCATAGATCTTTTTGGCAATGGCGGAGATCTTGTCTTCAACTGGAGTCTAGGAAGGTGAACAATGGATTTGATATCATAATCAGTGATGTTCAAATACACAACAGGGGAAATTAAACAGCAATAACAGGCTTTCTAAACAAATGAATTTTATACACGATTATCTAAAATGTTAAATGAAGCTGCTCATTACAATGGCTAGTACTGTTGCTCCTACAATCACTTACTTCTGCTGTTACTCTTTACTTATTACACATCCCTTACTCCATGTATTACTGCGGCTACCACCACCACAACAACTATCCCTAATACTACAGAATTGTGTGGCAGCTTCACTCACATCTAGTTCATAGAGGAACTTGAAGTCACTTGGCTGGTAGCAGGCCCTCTCTACAGCCTTAGCCAGGTCCACTGCACCTTTTCCTCCGAGAGCCCAGTGGTTTGAGACCACAGCATCAAAGGCTCCACATTCCTTGGACAACTGCTGTAGAAGGGCTAGCTCGTTGGGTGTGTCCGTTCTGAAAAGAGAACAAAAGATGATGCCATCAGAGTGTTTACATACAATGTTGCACAACAAATACAAGGTCTACTTGCATGCACATTTACCTGAGTTAAGATGTATTCAATTATTTTTCAGTAGCTCTTTGAAAATTGCTGATACATTCAGCTTATCAACAACTCTCTAGTATACCAGAGTTTAACCATTGCTGGGCACCCATGTTTACTACTATTCATGAGACCATCCCTTTTCGCTATTTATTTTGATAAGAACTGTCAGATATTATTAACATGAACAACTCCTTTACTCATTTGAAATTTTCATAGGCAAGACAAGCTCTTCTTCAGAATAGATTTACACAGCAATTGAGGCTCATGACTCTAAAAAGGTGAATAATGATGAAGATAACATTGATCAAAGGGCATATTCTACAAGCACACACAAAATACAAGAATAGTAGTTCTTGGTTGCATATGGCCAAATGAAAGAAAGGGATAGATGCTTACACAAACTGGTTGATTGCAACGACGCAGGGGACACCAAAGTGGGCTGTGTTTTCAATCTGCTTCCTAAGGTTACAGAATCCCTTCTCTAGGAGTTCTAGATTCTCCTCATTGTATTCAGCAGCAAGAGGCTTTCCAGCTGTCACCTGTGCAAAAAACCATCAAGAAATTCATTCATTACATGGTGTATTAGGGTTAAATAGGCTATATACAGGAGAAAGTGGCATTATTGGCTGTGATTCGTGTACAACCCGCAATAAAATCATTCCTACCATGCTCCTTATCCTCAGGCAGTGTTAACTTTAGAAGCTCTTTGGGGGCTTCTTCCTCTTTGGAGTGAACATTTTCTCAGATCTTAATCACTCTCCACTTTATAAATACAGATATCTTTCTGCTGCATTGGGAATGTGGCACAATATGCAATATTTTCAAAACATAGTGGACAGTATCATCCTAAATCAAAACTACATAATCGTCATTCCTAATGAGCAAAAAGGAAAGAAAGAAAAACAGAAAGAACTTACATTAGGTCCGCCTCCATGCATCTTGAGTGCTCTGACAGTGGCTACGATCACAGCGGCATTGGGAGTCAGACCAGAGTAACGAGTCTTGATGTCAAAGAACTTCTCCATTCCGATGTCTGATCCAAAACCAGCCTCAGTGACTAAAAAAATAAAAAGATTTCACGAATAACGATAATACCAGTCAGTTAATTTTACATATTATCTTGAATTAAATTTTCCCTTTCCTTCACTGATCACCAAATTGGGTTAAACTGATTAACTAGCGAGAACCCTGCAGTACAGAAAGGCTATTTATTGTTCACTACGAAAGGGATTTCTCTCTATTAGTGTCCAGCGATGAATCACAGAGGAATTATTTCACCTAAAGAACCGGCCTTCGATTACTGCTGAATAGGGAACTAAGATTTGAAGAGGGGACAGAAACCTTTTAAAGTTAGTATGGTAAATTCTTGTGGATTGAGAGCCTCTCAGACAAATGCCTCGCTGAATAGCATCACTGAATAGCAACTAGCATACCACCAGAGCAACAACAGAAAGACACAAAACATGTCTAGCCTGATGTTATCATGGTAACATGAAGCCGAGATCAGCCTCGTCATCGCATCATCACAGAGGTTTACTCTCATTTCATACAACTTCTCGAAAATAATTCCTTAGGAAATTTCAAAAATGAAACAGTGAAATCATGAGATACATACCTACAAATCCATGTTCTCCAACAAGTTTGAGAGCAATTTTATCAGCCAGGATTGAAGAGTTACCGTGGGCAATGTTGGCAAATGGACCAGCATGCACAAATACTGGATTTCCCTGTAGAGAAATAAATTTCATTTGTCAAATCAATGGGTACATCAAACAAGTGCAGCCTATTAAAAGGAGCACTTACGAATGAACACTTTGTGTATGTTAACCTCATCATATATACATCATTGGAGATATATTATATTATATATATCATGTGACTAGTACTTTGATTTTTCTCAATCATTAGTATAGTTTCCAAACAAAATGCAAGAAATGGGATCCACCTAATCATATGGTTTTAATGCTTGAATGTGATTAGATACACATATAATCATGATGTAACTGTTCATCTATTGATACAAAAAATTAAACAAAATCATTTAAGAAAATACTGCATATAGTATCAATCTGAACCTTCTGAAAAGAAGCATTACCTCAAGTGTCTGCATGAGGTTCGGTTTAATAGCATCCTTCATGAGAACAGCCAGAGCACCTCCCACACCAACATCATCAGCAGTCACTGGTTCTCCCTGCTTGTTGCTAGCAACGACGATCTTACTCAGACGCTCCCTCATGTCCTTCAGGTCGGTGGTGAGGGCCAGGATGGCCATGATCTCACTGGCCACGGCGATGTCGAACTGAGTCTCACGGGTGAAGCCCTTCTCTGTGGGTGACTGACCAATGGTGATCTTACGCAGGTAGCGGTCATTGGTGTCCAAGACTGCGGGAAGATGGTGATAGAGAAGAGGCGGGTAGGAAGTTATACCAATATACAACAATGACTAATGCTTCAAAAATCAAATGCATAATAGTTTCTCAACAACAATAGAACCAGCCTTTGAGTTTTTATTTTATATTTTAAAATGTTAATGGCACTGGAAGATCAGAATTGTTTCTTGGTTTCATTGGTAATGATTACTGTAAAAGAGACATGGTTTGGACAAAATTGAAAAATAAAAATAAAGAGGATAAGTTTATAATCTGTTAAAGCAAATTGAAGGCACAAGATCTTATTTTAAACTTTTTATTCCATAGCATGAAAACCAGGGTAGATGGATGCTCATAAACCTCTCAGACAAATGCCTCGAATCTAGCATCATAGAAATACAGCCATCACACCACAAGGATAACAACAGAAAGACAAAAAACATGTCTAGCCTGATGTTACCATAGTAACATGAAGCTAACGTCAGACTCGTCATCGAATCATCACAGAGGTTCGGTGAAAAAATAACAACAACCATTTCAAAATGTCTAATGCAATTTTTTTTTGCCAAACAGTAGATTATCAAACATGTACTCATTAGCCTCCCATTTGTTACAGACACTCAAGACTCAGCTTCAGAATATGTCATCGTTTGGTGAGAAACCACCGAAGGGAAACACAAAAAGTGGCCTTTGTAGACAGGTGGTCTTTGTAGACAGGTTCCTTTAAGTACATGATTCAACAAGAAACCATTTTCAAGGAAATAACAATTGTGGCCTTTGTAGACAGGTGGTCACTACAGCAGGTTTGACTGTACCTATAATATAGCCATTTGTAGAAGAAGGAAGTATGAAGATAGCACAAAGAATACACCAAGTGTACTTATCTTGTTCAAAGGAGAGCAAACGGAACACAAGTATACATTTCTCCTTCTGTCTAAGTTGATAATGGCAATGATAAAGAAACTGGAATGTTTTCAGCAAACTAGATCTCACCTCTCTGCCATGTGATGGTAGATGGGTCGATGTCAAGGCGAGCAAATCTGTGTATCTCATCTTCTGTCAGATCATCTGGGTTGGTCTTGTCGATGCCAAGACGCTGTCAGGATAAATAAAAGTCCACAGTCAATGAAATTCACATTTATGGGGTGTATCAAGGAGGGCACTTTGACAGATATGCCAAATGAGATGCTTGTTTTGATTTTGATTTCAAAATATCATCAAAGAGCACATGGAGATTTGATAAGGGCTCTTTGACCCTTGGGGTAAAATCAACACCAACCCACTTAATAATCTCACGGTTGAAAAGATACACTACAATACTCCTGCAGTTTGTGGTTATTGACATTCATTACATCCATTACATTCATATATACACATTATGAAGTACATTCTTTCACTAAATTATTGTGCTTTAGGTTCAAGAAGGCTGAACAAAATGCAGGATAATAATAACGTGCAAATACTCAACTCCGCGAATTGAAAATCAGATTTGTATCGCAGAGAAAATATTTTGTCCATCTCTATATATTCTAGTATTCAACTCACCTGAAGCCTGCCTATCTGGATGTTTGAAAATTCTCGGACACCCTTCTTGCTTGGCACTAGCCTGCCATAGAGGGCGCTATCTGTCTGAGTTGATTCATGAAAGATCCTAGCATCAATGGCTGCAGCGAGCAAGTTGTTCGAGGCTGTGATTGCATGGATGTCTCCGGTAAGGTGAAGATTGAACTGGAAATCAAGAATTAGTACATTTGAATGCCAATACAGTTCTAATCACAAATGAATCTTATCATACTTCTGCCACCAAGAATGAGTAGCATATTGTCATGCTAAAGAAAACTGTAAAAATAGTGTTAACTGTTCTAATTGTCTTTTACAAGACTCCTTAATAGGATTTCCAATGCAAGCCTACAACAAAGTAGAGGCATGTGGAATATAATTCTTGTAAAACAAGTGTGCATGCAATGTTTGCAATTTTGCACATGGTTCGGATTCGCGAAAGTTTGAAGTTTCAGAATCAGAATCGCAATTGACAAAACACTAAATCTTTCCAATTCATATGAGTTTCTAGTTTTACAGTATGCTGAAACTATCAAAATATTTGCTTCAAACATACAAAAACAAGTTACATGTATACATAGAATATGAAGTGAATGTTTCCTCAATACAAATAACACTCCTATCCATTTACCTCTTCCATAGGAATGACCTGGGCGTAACCACCACCTGCTGCTCCGCCCTTGATACCAAAGGTGGGTCCTTGGGATGGCTGTCTCACGCAGGCAAACACATTCTTTTTGAGATGCGAGCCCATCGCCTGGACCAGACCGATAGTGGTGGTGCTCTTGCCTTCACCTAGAGGAGTTGGTGTGATTCTGGAACATACAGGGGATAGATCAGTTTGAGAGGGATTAGAGACCGGTTTGTGGGGTCTTATGGACCTTGGGTGGGGCTATCTTTATAGAGTCCTAAAAGTTAAATTCCAACAAAAACAGCCGTATTCTTTCTTCAACTGGTATGTATCTTTTCCTTGGCAACCTGTGTAAACTAAATGAATGTTCTTTGAAGTATGATGAAAATTTTTAACAATTTATACAAAGGAGAACTCAAAGAAGCTTGATAGGATGAAAAAAGGTGTAACTGTCATTTAACACTGAGTTTATCTTCCGTAAAGAAGAAACATGAAACATGAACCGGTAGAAATATGGCCTTTGAACCAATTTAGATTCACTCATATCAATTCAGGGAGCTAATACTATATCCTGTAACAATACACATCAGATAAGACACAAACTCTGCAGTAGAAGACCCATACTCACCCTCCAACGACGACGTACTTCCCTGGAGCCCTGTCTTTCAGCCGATCTAGAACAGATAGAGAGATCTTGGCCTTGGTCTTGCCATAGTAGTCTATCTCACTGGGTAGGAGCTGTAGTTCCTGGGCTAGCTCTGATACCTCCTTGGGTTTCTGGGCCCTGGAGACGTCGATGTCGGTAGGGACGGGTTGCTTGAGATGAAGGGGTAGGTATCTCATCTTCCATTGGTCACCCTGGGAGGGAGGGAGGAAAGGAGGATTGTTAAAATGACAGCCCATCGTGCATCAGTCACAAGCCCATTCAGTGCCACAAATTTTTTGAATAACAAATGCCATACATGAACTTTCAAAAGCAGAACTGTGACCTTAAATTGGAAATGGTATATTTTCATTGGAAATAAACTTTACATGAAGGAACCTGTTATTGTTTTAGGTAGAAAAATGAAATGATCTCCAGCCCCCCCCCCCCCCCCACCCCCGCCGTAAAAAAAAAAAAAAAATCTTGGGAGGTGCGTATATTTGTACATAATTGGAGGTCCAAAGGGAAATTCTTACTACATGTACCATTCATTAGCCCTGCATTAGTAAACTTGTATAATGGAAAGACAAAAAATATTACTATTTCCATAAAAATAAAAAATAGCTATAATTATATACCTTACTTAAGTAATCCAGCAATCTGATTGGTCGAAATTGCATTCATAAACTTTAACTGTTCCCGAAAATTCCCGGTAACCATGGTTAAAAAACGGTTCAAAATCCCAATAACCATGGTTATTGGGAAAATAGGTCAGTCTCCATGGTTACCCCATAGGTTTACATGTTAAAAATGGTCTGAGCGATCGAGGATACTGTACGTGTGCGAAGAATTGGTTGGTAATTTCAATACAATTGAATCTCGATCGATCTTACTGACAATTTTATCTTGCATTGTTGACATGAAGACGAAAATAAACTTCCAAAAACAAAAAACAACATCTGCCGATAGATCTTGATCTAAGTTCGTGCCAATCTGCATTGCAAAAGTAAAAGAAGGGCCCGTTTAATGGAGCAGCGGCGAAGCATCGACCACGCGAAGCCGTTTTCAATTCATTTTAATGTATATATTAAAGAAAACTACTGTGCATGGTGACAGAGCGCGCTGGCCGAGAGGTTTAATGCGCCGACTTAAGTTACATCACCTTTGATACGCAAGGGTTCGAATCCCATCTTCGACAAAAGTTTTTTTTTTTTCCTTGTTTTTTTTTTTGGCATATAAAAGTATTAATGACTGCTTTAATATTCGAGAAATAGTTGTTTTTATACGCTCTCGGGAAGGTTACAATTGGGCTATTCCCCTCGGCACGCCTCGGGTAATAGCACAATTCTAACCTTCCCTTGAGCGTATAAAAACAACTATTTCTCTCAAAGCAGTCATTAATACTATACTAACTCACCAGAGTTCCTTCGACGGTCTTCTTGGCACTCTCCACCGTGTTGCCCATCAGCATGGCTACAGTCATGGGTCCTACGCCACCAGGGACAGGGGTGATAGCTCCTGCTACCTCCCTCACTCCTTCATAGTCTACATCACCTACCATCTTCCTACCTTGCTTGGCAAATGGATCTGTGAGGAAATATAGAGATGAGTAAATTTAGGAAAGGATTTTTTTTTTTTTTTTTTTGGGGGGGGGGGAGGCATCAATAAGGAAAATGATGTGGGACAACTTCACAACTTTTTGTTTGTATGTACTTGAATCGCACCTTTTCTGAAATATTGTATCAACAATCATTATTGTAAATCTCATTAATTTCATACTTGCACATGTGCACTTCAGAAAAAAATTACAATTACAGCAGGCAATTTTTTTTGTTAATGCTGAGAGAGGTGTTAATGCCATTATTAGTTTGTTGGATAGAGAATGAATGCTATGATCTACATGTGCAAAATGGAGAAATTGCGAAAAGTGTATATGATGGATATTCATAGACATCTCAAGGATGGATGGTAACAAATGAAAAGTCTACATATAAAAGTAAATTCTGGACTTCTAAATCTTTCTTTTACATTTATTACATGTAGATAGATAGTGCTAAGATCCAAGTATAAACAAATAGAGGAATTGAGAAAAATGTGTTTGTCTGATGCCCTACTGATGAGTATATAAACTTTGACAAACAGAGGATGGGTTCATGTATAAAGTGAATGCTATAATTATGTGAATCTAAAATATGGAGTACAAGTATGAAATCTTTCTCAACTCTGAGCTTATATTTGTTTTAGAATATCTGTCAAATAGGTACATTTTGGGTTTAAAACAATAATCTTTGAGGCACTGGTATCATTGGAGGGCTGCAGGCATGGATTTACTAGATACATGTAGATAAAACGCGAAAGGCCACTGAATAGGCTACCAATTAGGTGTAGCTACTGTACAGTATCATCTAAAGGATGGTAACTATGGTCAATGTTTAAGGCATTGAGGACATATGGATTTAAACTGGTAATAGGATTCCTTAGTCTACATGTCATAATTTGTTTTCATTTAAAGTACTGCAAAGATACAGGTAAGCCTTTGACCTTCAATGATTTTCAAGGTCAAATACATGATAGGTATATGTGGTGAGGATATATGAAAGACATGGCCATATGTGCAATAAAGAGACATGCAAAGATCACACCATGTCTACAAACAAATATAATTGGACAATCACTATAATATCTGACAATAAATAAACACTATTATCACTCTATCAGTATCCACTTCAACACAAAGGAGCAGTGATAAACAGCAATACATCTCATAAGTCATTTCATTCATCTTCCGAACATGTTTTACAGTCACCAAAAATTATTCCCTATTAAAAAAAATATGAAAGGTTGACTATTTCTAAGGTTGTACGAAGCAAGACAAAGCAAAATGTTTTGATATTCAATTCAGAATCCCCAGATTAAATAATACCATTGTCCGACACTGTTTGACTTTACGAGGCACCAGTCAATAAACAGCACTGCACAACCCAGTTACAGATTTAAGTAGAGGTGTTTAACACACAAGAATCGTGCTCCACCATTTATCACCCATCTTTGCACTTCGTTGTATTCACAAATCCAATGCACATCTTTGACATTTTCCAAAGATCTTTTCCCCTAATAAATTTATATGCAAACAAAAAAATTCATTGAGTACAATATAAAAAATGGTCTATAGCTGTGTTTTAGTATTTTATGAGAATACTTTGGCATTGAAACTTTGTTCTTTGCTAGGTCTGCTGGTAGCTTATTGTTTGCTTTGATGACAATGAGTTGACACACTTGAATATAATAACAATATATTTTTACTTATAAAGATTATAGAACTACGGAAGTAGTATTTTTAATTGTTTTATGAAGCACTACTTCATATACCTAATGGGATGCATTTATTTGAGTTGAGCCACAAAAAGTCAGAACATTTCTATGAAACTACTTAAATCACTTTTTTGTTTTCAAATCATATTATTTATGTGTCATTAACAATGCTCTTATATAATAATTCATGAATGTGTATCAAGGAGATACTGTAAGAACTAAGAACACATAATTTCAATTAAAAAAGCAGTGCTGAATGCTTCAATCTTCACAATCCATTATAGAAATAGAAGTACATTAGGTAAATATAGCCATTTTACCAACAAAGCACACACATAAACACATACACAATTCCAATATGCAACCATGCACAGGCTATTTTTAGGCAACAGGTACAGGTACAAGCAGTGTTGTGTATTGTAGGCGACTGACTGGTCAGGTTTGTTAATAAAGCCAATCTTCTCCCAAATGTCAGATGGGCCCGGCCCCCCCACTCAGGTTTCAAAATGACCGCATGCGTGTTGCCAAAATGTCCTTTTCATAACAAAAGAAAAAGGTCGAGCCGTATTGACTTTACACACCGGACTTTTGCTGAAAAGGGGGGGGGGGGTGCGGAAAAAGGCTCGTATACAAAAGAAAAAGGTCGAGCCGTATTGACTTTACACACCGGACTTTTGCTGAAAAGGGGGGGTCGGTTGGAACACGCATATGCGTACCCTAAATAACACTGAGTGGGGGGGCCGGGCAGATGGGACAGCCTATTCCATTAGTAGAGGGATTTCAAAGATCAAGAGATGAGAGGATGATAAAGAGGAATTGATGAATGCTGGCATTTCAAAAGATCGAGTGCACAGCGCAGGAGGATTAAATTATGGATGCAAGAGTGAGATCTCAGACTTTATAAATGCGATACCGAGATGGGATTTTGTGAGTTGGCAAGAAGATGGTTTCAATTCAAGCGTTACAGATTGGAGCATGAACTATGGATGAAGAGATTATAAACCTTCTCTTTTATTATGATTTGACATGTTGGTAAATAAATAATTTACTAAAATACTGGATGAAATGGGTGATTGAAACTGAACAACAAAATAATTGTCATTTTCAGATGATTTCAGCATAGTACTGCATCATAGTTCTAAGCATTTTTTTTAATGAGATTTTTCTTTTGATTGGTGTTAACATTTTTATCAATCAAGTCAGATTTATATCCCAAATATAATATGCATGAAATGGTTGGGTGATCTATGTACAGTATGACCTTTATACCTTTAAACTAGCACAAATGTATAAGATCACAACTACACATAACACCTTCCACTTTTCCATCACACATTTTTTTTTTAAACTTAATTTTAGCATGTATGAATGTCAAGCTTGTATGCATCAGTTTTTCTGGATTGTTACTTATCATCATATTCACTTGCAAATAAAAAACAGGGCAGGCTTTGCTGCTATTAGACAACCAAGTACAGTACAATACAAAATCATATTACACAGCTTTGTTTAATTTGATTTATCAGTTTGCAATGACTGTGGAATTTTAACAAAACTATATGAATTCATCACTAGTCAAACTAGCTACTAGTAGCTAGACAGTACATTCTACATGTAAATAATATACCTGTGCTTTAAAACTAAATGTAGACCCAGGCTCATATGATATCACCTACAGTACAGTAGATGCTATTAAATGCGGTGAATTTCAATTAAATTTGATATAGTATTTGACAAGAAACAAAATATGAGGGTATGAAGGACATTTGCTTGTGTAAATAATTCAAACACAAAAGGGTATTTCGTTCTTATGTACATAAAATCCTGAAGCAATAGGCATACATATATTAAAGGTAGCTTCTACCTAGTCTCCTACCAATGGAAACTTTCAAAATACCACTTTTTTTAAAGCTACATTGTACATGTGTACATATTTGCATGTGATGCATGGGCAATTATTTTTCAATATCACTTCTATATGACGAGATAAAAGAAAGGAACAAAATGACATACCAGATTCAAAGTTTCTCTTCACTTTGATTTCTTGCTTATCTGATAAGCACGCTAGAAATCAAACCCAAAATTAAAATTATTTTTCATTCTACTAATATACCCCCTCCCCCTTTTTTTTTAAAGCAAAGGATGCATGAACATCGTAAAATACAAATCCACGTTATCTCTACTATACGTAGCCCTCTACATTAGACCCTCCCCCTCTTTAATAAAGTCAAATCATGCTTGTGCTATCCAATCATCCAAAGAATATGCATGGGATGAAACAGGCATGATGTGCTACCATACACAATACAAAATGATAATTGCACAAGATAAACGGCGAAATTCAACATTGATGGTAGTGTACAGAATGGATACATGCAAGAAAAAGAGTGTAGTGTAACTAACAGATGTCAGTATTACATAATTACTCTTTTCTGTAATCAGTATTTTCAAGGGAAAATGTTCCTCATTAAATAGACAAACACACAATGCACAAACAATGCAATATTTGGAGAAGCAGTGAGCAAAGCACCTATGAACCAAGCAGCCTTAATGCCTAGCCCCACCGAAACGATAACAATAATTATATTCATAATACCAGGTAAGCCCTGCTATTTTAAGTATTTTTTTTATAGGGGTTGGGGTAAAAAAGGAAGCGGATGAAGTATCCGCTGTTAATCTCTTAAACTGCTGTAAAAGATATCAAGGAGATTCAGCCAAATAAACGTTCAAAATTTGACTTCTTTCTTTATTTTCTGAATGTATTCCATGTACGACCTTAGTTAAAATAATTTCAAAATCATTGACATCTGCTATTTTAAGTGAAATTAGTTCCTAAATTTGAAAACAAGACCCGCTGATGAATAACTGACACACCACAAAAGTCACAAGTACCTGCAATCAGAATTTTAGTTCAAATTATTGTTATCGATTAGGTGGGATTTGGCCTTAAGTGTGATATAGACGAAGGTTATAATGATAAAATCCGGCTCTCTTACCATCGTCATCATCATTTAATTCAGAGGTGGCATCTGTGTTATGTAATAGTGAACAAACAAAGTGGATTCTAATAAATGTTTCTGCATGAATCAATGAAGTCTGTATTCTATAGAAATGACCATGGCCGAGTCTATTCATAAATGGATTCAGTCTCTCACTTATTACACAACATACAGAGATAAAGCAAGATGCAATGTCTCCCTAACCACATCATTACTAAAAAGATGACTGATGACATTTAAGGAATCATTTTTTGTTCAACATAGAAAATCCATATATCATAGATATGTGGTCAGAGAGACAGAAATTGTCTGCAAAGAAACAGCCGTAATGAGTTAGTTTCTCACACAATGTTATTGGATCTAACAATCTAATGCAAAGAAAACATACAAAATAAAGATTGTGTATTTTACTGATTAGCCAGATTTTGCGCATACCGCATGCAAGTACAGTAGTCTAACATCGGTTGACATAAAACAGTGTATTTTGTTCTTTGATTCTTCTGGCTCTGTGTGTGTTTTGTCTAATATCTTGGTATTTCTCTCACAGGAAAACTTGGAACTGTAATGCAAGGAGGTTGTCAGTACTTGCCCACTTGGGCCATTATTTGGGATACGGTGCAAATTACTGGCTCAACTATAAGTTCTACTTGCCTAACGTAAAGAACAGATACAGCCTAATCCCAATGTGTATGTAACATTAGAAAATGATCAACTTTTAGAAGAAAAAAATTTGAGACCATGTTTGATAATGTAATCAGAGCAGTTGGCAATAATCTGGCAATAAAGGCAAATCTGGATATATCCCTTCAGAAACACACATGATATGAAAATTGAACTGTTCTTACAAATTAATTGGGGTTAATTAACTACAAGGAGTATAGCGTGGAGTGCATGGCATGACAACATCAGCTGCTGCTACTGCAGGATAATTTAAATGTTGATAATTCCTAACACTCCATCAATTGTGCTAATAATGCTGAAATCAATAAGTGAAGCGAAACTTTATGCAGATATAGATTAAAAACTGTGTTTCACTGATTAGCATGATTAGCTGCATACTGTCAAGGTGACCTTGGTAGTGGAATAACTCATGGAGGACGACAACCCCCCCCCCCCCCCCCCCCAATCAACAATAAAAATTGCATTGACAAGATCACTTTGCTTGGCATTTGATTCGGACATCTATGCCACCAGGTACAGTATTTCAACAATTGCTAACACTTTAAAACTGCACTCTCAATTTTAAGTCTTAACTTATGCTTCAATATCTCATTGCTAATTTACTACAACATATACATTGTATATCCCATGGAAATAAATTTTACAGTGAGGGTACCTACATTGTATTTATTTCATGAGACTAAACAGTACAATCTTTTAGTATGTTCAATGTTTAACATTCAAATTCCTGGGCAGGATTTGCTACTAATGGTACGGAAAAGGTGGATATGCAAGTGGTCAGTACTATAAATGAGTTTAATTACACCCAAGTATACTATAATAACAATTAAAGATAGACACTAGGATCCCAAATCTATTTTTATTAGAGTGAAGTTATTTGAAACCAAAATGGGTGCAGGAATATAATCGGTAATAAAATGTACAGAAGGACATTTCAGAGCATTAGCCTGTGCAATTGATCTTGAAAAAATGATAATTATGATCATTGCTTAATGTTTTTCTTACAGTACCAACACCATCAGCCATTGGTTACACAAAGAAACTTCACAATTTTGAGTAATATAAATGGAGAAAAGACTTGTGTCATGCAAGATCCGGTGCATTAAATTGCTCTTAAATATGTGACTTACATTGCTAAATACTGTCTGTTAGTATGTAAAAGGAACACTAAAATTGTTAGCTTTGTAATTAATGGTACTTGAAGTAATTTTGCAGCTACATGTAAGCAAAGGGCAAACTACAAACAATTATGTCTTTAAATCCTTCACATAATACTAAGATAAAGGACACTCCACTCAACTAAGATGGCTTGTCTTTATTTCTCATTTATAAACCTTTTATGTTGTTAAAATAATGTAATGTGTGAGTTGGGAATATCTCTATCTTCAATAAAAAAAAAATGTACTCAGGGGTGATAGTGAGCACTAAAAAAAAAATAGGTTTTTTGTTTTCCCCTCAACCACGCCCCCCTTGAGTAAAAAAAAAAAAGGCGATTCGCGGGGAAAAAACGGCATCTAACAACATTCCCCCCTTTCGAGTAAGAAAATTGGGAGAAAAAAATAGGGCAAAATAGGGAAGAATAGAGAAAATAAGGGGGGAATCAGGAAAATCAGGATAAAAAAGGGAAGAAAAAAAAAATCTGGTAAAAAAAAAAAAAAAAAAAAAAAAAAAAAGATTTTTTTTTTTTTTTTTTTTTTTAAATCGGGAAGAAAAAAAAAATCGGGAAAAAATCGGGAAAAATAAAAAAAAATCGGGAAACCGATTTAAATCGGGTTTTTATCAGGCCTGTGTACTTCAATGAGAAAACAGTATTTGAACTGTGATTTATTTATGTGCATTCTAATATTGTGTCATAAAATGCAAAATAAATATTTGCAAAATCATGAACATTGATTCAAATAAACGGTCGTAATTGTCAAGATAACACAAAATAATCAACCTTGCATTTTTACAAGTGAGTATTTTATACAAAACCTGGGCAATGTCAATATCTATATTATTGCTTTATCATCAAATTCACTAGAGCAGCTAGCGATGATGGGGATATATTTTCCAAATGCAAGATGATTTATAAGTTAAGCAACACAAGATATGATTAGCACTTACCCTCAATAAAGTTGATTCCACAGTCAATGACTACTGCACCAGGCTTAATCCATTCCTTCTGGACAAACTTGGGCTGACGTATACCAACCACGATCACATCAGATTCACGGATCTGATTGTCCAACAGCAAGAGAAATATAGCATTGTTTGAGGATTTAGATCATGATTGACCTCTGAATAATTTCTTTTTTAATGCAGCACTGCCACTTATCAAACTATATTTTAATATGATGAAAGGAAAATAAAAAGATTCAATTTTTGCAGAAACCATGAATTTTTCCACTTCAGGATGTACGATCACTCCTAGTGTTTCAGTAATCATTTAAATACTGATATTTTACTCACATATATTAAGAATGACAGAGACACAGACATATTTGTATGTTTTTTGCAAGAATAAATACTAGCAAATGCATTGCCAGTTCATTTTTATCTGCTGATAAATTCATGACCCTACAACAATTCATAACATTTGCAAATACATTGGCTAATTCGCTGCAGTTGATCATAAGCAGAAAATATAAATTATAAAAGAAGAGAAAAGAAGAGAAAAGGAGACCAAGACTTGACTTTCAGCTTCACTTACAATCTCATCAATGTTCTTAGTCCTGGAGTGGCACATGGTGACTGTTGCATTGGAGGCCCTCAGAAGGTCCGACATTGGAGCACCAACTATCTTGCTTCTTCCAAGAACAGCAACCCTTTTGCCTTCAACCTCCACACCTGACAAAGAACAAGATAATAAGCCTCATTTTACTCTGCGTTTTGTATTACCAACACTTTGTATTTTATTTTCAGTATGTAATATACTGTGCATGAAGAGGATAAACTAAACAAGTCTGCCGAGTTGAGGGAGGCATCTCAATCTATGGCATTATAATAGACATAACAGGATATTAATATAAATCACTATCAGAAAGAAGATTTAGGCCCTCGTAAAACGATATGTTCCAGTTGAAGAAAACTAGACTTCTCTGGAATAATCTTAAGACTTGCATATATACATGTGTGTTAAAATACACCCATGTATCCCCCTCATGAAAAAACATACACTTGCATTTAAAATCTGTTGTACTAACACTATCGTAAACAATATTTGATCAGACTATCCCTCTGGTTTCCGAGGAACCCTGCAAAAATGTCAGCCCTTACGAGGACATGACAAACATTGACATGTTCCTTCTTGGTATTAGAGAGATGTAAGAAGCTCATTTACCTGATCTCTTGAGTAGCTCCAGACATCCCTTAGGTGTACATGGTAGAAAGCATTGACCAAGCTCACCACGGGCTAACTTCCCTGCATTGTGATCCGTCAACCTGTCAGAAGACAAAGACCAGTCAATCATTCACTCCATTCGCATTATCAATGAAATCAATATCACAATGTGATACTTCCTCCTTTCTCAAATGATGTTTTAATATTTTGCATGAGATATTAATTAAAAACTCTTAATTAACAAACATCACTAACTAGTACACATTTTGCATTCCAACGAGTCTTTTCATGCCACAACATTTCATTAAGCTATCTTAATAATACCATTCTACAAGATCAAGTCTGATATCTATGCACATACTTGTACATATAACCTTCCCTTTTTAATTTTTTTTTAACCGGTAAGTTCCCTTCACTATCAATCTTACCCATCCACGTCTTTGTTTGGAGCTACAGCGTTGAGTAGAGCATCTTCATCTATGGGTTCGTTGGTCTCAGGAGGCATCTGAACCAGGATACCATGGATGCGTGGATCCTTGTTCAAATCTTGAATCTTATTTACCACCTTAATTTTGGAAGAAGAAATTAAAATACATGAACTATTATAGTAACTGTTGAATGGGAGCCATATTTCTAAGCCACCATTAAGGATGGCAGTAAGGTTTTTTTCAAAAAGCAAAATAAACAACAAAGTAATCGAACAAATGAGCAAAAGCAATGAACGACAAAAAACATTGAAATCAATTTGAGTAGGTTTACAGTCACAGTAAAACAGATTTTATTATGAAAATATATTATGCATGTCCATGACAGAAAATGAATGCATCCATCAAATAAGGTTTCAGTATGATGACATACCTTGAGAATAATTTGGTTTAAAAAAAATTCCCCTGCATACAATTTAAATCACTTATTAGAACCAAAACAAGCTAATAATTTGTAAAGTCCTTTCAAATAAGATGAAGAAAACATGATACTTGAACATCGTTTTATAAGTTTTATTAACCAACCTCTGGGAGGGTGCTTGAGCTTGGAAGCTTGTAATGCTGGGCCACCATACCAATCTGAAAAATAAGGTTAAATTGGAATGAGATACTATTTGTGACATCAACATTGAAAATGAAACAATAACATCCAATAAAAGAAACACATGTTATGAGATTAGTTATACTTGATTGAATTCATCAATCAATAGAGCACATATTTCATTATATTCTTTACTTGTTTTTTTTTTACTGAGGTTATTGATAACATTGTGTATGAAGTATTTGTGTTATTCTGATGCATTTTGCACTAAATTGTCTGACTGTCTGTGTGCTTACACAACAGAATCATTGTTGCATTCAGAGTACCAGACAGAAACACATTTTCTCTTCTCCCTCCTACCTTACAAATGAAACCCAATGAAAATCAAACAACAATGAGCTGTCTCACAAATAGGAGGCCGCCATCCATCTCCAGCCTAACCGCTCACGATGGTGGTCTCCTGCATTCCAAATTACCTCTCTAATTTATTGAAAATATTTCATATTTCTTATGTTATTGTATGCTTCGTACATGTTTATCGAATGATATAATTGTACATGATTTTCATTTAATTACTTTTGTAAACATTGTATTCATTATATTTGTTATTGTTCGAAATTTTGTACTTTGACTTTGAATTTGTATATTTTTTAACGCAGAAATAAAATCAATCAAACAAACAAACAAACAAACAAAACTGGATTGGGATAATTCATTTCATACTATCATCCATGATATTGTTGATATAGCAAACACACTAAAAGCTGTGTGAATCTACCTACCTCAGCAGCTGCAGCAAGCTTGAATTTGATGTAGCGATTAGAATCACATCTATCTCCAACCTGACAACACAAGAAAAGTAAATGTCAGCTCATTACTACAGACTTGGAAGTTAATAATTAAACATTTGACTGAAGTAGAGTAAAGTGCAGAAAACATTCTACTACACATGGAAAAAACACAATGCATTAGGAATTAAAGATAGAAAAAGTAAAACCCTTTTTGTTTAAAAGTCAAAAGTAACAACACAGTGGAGCAGTTGTTTAAATCCAAAAATATGGTTATTCCTATTAAAGCCCCACTGCACTACTTATTGCTACTCGTGCCCTCTATATAGCAAACACTGCCTAAGCAGTGAACGTTGGTCCCCCATGGTCCCCTTTTTCTTATGTAAATTGAGAGCTGATTTGATGAGATCTGTCAGTGACCAAGCAGGTAGGTCCAATCCCTCCTGGCTAAACTAGTGCAGATAGGCTTTAAAGTAACTAGATTTTTTAAGTAAACATCCCGCAATTACTTTAAAGGCAGGCTTTACTACTTCAGCCAGAAGGGATTAGACCGCCCAGCGAGCCATCGAGGTCACTGTGACAGGTGGCTATCTCATTAACTCAGCTCTCATTTAACATAAGAAAAAGAGGATCATGTGAGACCAACAGACACCGATTGGGGAAGTTTTCTATATAGAGGGAGCAAGAAGCTACAAGTAGGACAGTGTGCCTTTAAAGAAGCACATAATGTTGATATGTCATGTTAAATATCATGTTTTAAAAAAAAGAAAACAGAGGATGTTGATATGTCATGTTAAATATCATGTTTTAAAAAAAAGAAAACAGAGGAGGATATGACCCAAGATACAAAAGAAATTAGTGCTGACCTGAATAATGGCAAGACCAGGCATGAAGCCAGGATGTCTCTCTTTCAACATGGCCACCTCTTCCTGGAGCTCCTGTCGAATCTCCCTACGTCATGATAAACAGAGAGAGAGAGAGAGAGAGAGAGAGAGAGAGGGTGGGAGAGGGGAAGAGAGGGGAAGAGAGGGAGGGAGAGAGGGAGAGGGGAGGGAGAGGGGAGGGAGAGAGAGAGAGAGAGAAATAGAGAAGAGAGAGAGAGCGGCAGAGGGTAGAGAGAGAGAGAGCGGCAGAGGGTAGAGAGAGAGGGACAAAAGGGAAGAGAGGGAGAGAACATAAACATCAATAAATGTTTAGGCAAATCATGTCTAGCTATAAAGTTCAAGAAATAGACAATCATAATTTGTGGAACTGAATTACATCTCTACCGGTAATTCTTTCCTTGAACAAAAACAAACTAGAATAGCTGACCTTAAGACAACAAGATTTACAAGAATATAACCTCAGTATTTCCTCCATGACCTGTGGACCAAAAAATGAGAGACTCATTTCAAGTACATAAGTAAGCTGAGTATTTCATGCCGACAGAGCATGCATCCAGAAGAAAAAATTGCAATTTGGGGGACTAAATTTAGAAAGGATGGATATAATAATTTACCAAATAACGGTATATTGGTTTCCCGGCAAAATTTGTATCATCACGTATTAGTCAAAACATATTCTTTCACAGGATTGGTAATAAGAGCTTCCATTTCATTTTTTGAGAGGGGGGCGTTTCCAAAATTCATTTGGCTATGTATTAAAGGCGGCCCTAAAAGTAAAAAGTTACAAAAGAAAATATCCAATTAAATTGTGAAATTGGGGGCAAAATTTCTTGTCATAATATTATCATTAGACTAATTAGAAATCAGAATGAAATTCACTTCAGTCAGTCACTGGAAGAAGGAGCAGTATAATTCACCCTTCTCCTGGTAGACACTCCAATTAAGACATCCTGATATGACCCAGCAAGCAAGATACAGATGTAAAATGACTATGGTGCAAACTGCAAGACCAGGGTCAAGGAAGCTAGGACATCCCCCCCCCTTGAAGTTAGACCTGGAAGCTTGGCAGCTGGAGATGGCTTTCTTCCAGAGGCTTTGGTATTCAAGGTATTCAAAAATTAAGACTCTTATTCAATTTTGAAGTGTGTACCTATGTAAAGGACCAGTTGATATGGGCATCAATGAAAATGATGGCTTTGAAAATATACCATATGTTAATGTTATTGAATTTTGTCAGGTGGATTTTTTTTCAATAATTCAACTTCAGAAAATAAATCACGGTAATGTACAGAAATTCACACAAACCACTGAACAATTACATTATACTTTTTAACTTTGACTTATGAAAACAAAATGTAGACTAGTTTCATTTGATTGTTATCGTCTATAGTATAAAAAGTACAGAGTAGGCCTACGTTCGTTAGATCCCACTTGTCACAACTCGGTCAAATCATGTAAATGTAGACTAGCTATAGGCCTACTAGTAATCTAAGAAGATTTATAGTAATAGTATTAATCCAAGAATAATAAGAAACCCCATTCCCCATGCCATTTTGCCTTAGACTACTCATTCTTCGTTCGTTCTGCTTTATTATCATAATCATGATCTTCTTCTTCTTCTTCTTCTTCTTCTTCCTCCGCTCTATCGGAGATCAGCAGCTACCAGGGTACTGCAGTTTGTCATAGCAGGCAGGATTGTCAAGTCAGGTAGAAAATGTATTAGCGATTGCATTAGCACGAGCAGAGTGGATATTGTATAAAAATGACAGTGATGCATTAATAAGAAGGTTCTTTTGGTTAGGGCAGACAGTTAGAACATTCGGAAGTAGGACTGCCCGCGTGAAGGTCTCAGGGTCATCTGGACTGAATAGAGCGAGTGTCGACTGCTGTACACCCCTGTGGTGGAGATTGTCGACCAGCTTCTGGCGAAGATTCCTAAGTGGTTTACACTTGGCTATGAAGTGTGTGATGTCCTCCTCTTCCGCTTTGCACACTTGGCAGAATCGTATCGTACCCTTCTTGATTTTACACAGCCGGGATTGAGTTAGGTACGTCTGAGAGAGAAGTTGTGAGCGTACAATGATGGCTTGACGTAGAAAACTTGAGGAGATGGACTTCGGGTAAAGGTCATGGGGGGAGCTAGTGTTATTCTTGAAGAAGGCGAGAGATGATTTTGCATTGATGGCCTCACAGACTTTCTTCTGCATAGCCGAGTCAATTGCAGACCTAGTGACTGACTTCCATGTAACGTAGGGAACGGGCTTGGAGAGGAGGGAGTGAAGGTTGGGGAGCTCATAACTTCTCAAAGTTCTTTCCCAGGTCCCCGCCAAGGGAGTGAAGTTGGTGATAGCATGATGTAGTGTGCGTACCTCATATCTTGAGTGTGGCAGATTGATAAGTTGACCTATGACGAGGAGAATTTCTTGGTCAACTCGCATGCTCAGAGGAAAGAGGCCTGTGTGAGAAGATAGACAGCATCATCGGCAGCACTGTTGGGGAGCCCAAGGATCTTCTTGAAGAGCTGGTATTGGGATCTGTCCAGTTTATTTAGCCTTGTCTGGTTGAGCTTCATGATGGCCACTCCATACAGCATACGTGGGATGCAGTATGTTTTCCAGAGTCGTGCACAGTGGTGTGGTAGAAGACCTCCTGTGTATGCACCCGCTCCAGTGAGGGCATAGAAGGTTTTTGTGCCTCTGGAGATCATTAGGTCTGTTGGATCATGTTTGGAGGAGGACTATTATCATTCGTGATCCTAAAATAAATTAGAGTCACACCCAGAATGGACATATTACTTAAGTCAATGCAGTGAACAGAGGGGCGTGGAACACCATCAAACAAATCTCACATTTTCCATATCACAGTCACACGCATTAAACTGTTAAATTAAACACACACACAAACATGCGAATGATAAATCTGGCCTGAGCTCGCTTGTTTTTGAGCATTGGGGCCTGGGGTATGATCCAGAGAATGAATGAATGAATGAATGATCTTCTCTGGATCTGGATGTTACTCACTTTGCAATCCCCTTTCCATCGATTATGCTGGCCATATTTAGACACGGGCGCAGGTATGGATATGGAAGAACTTTCAGACGCTGACTGGCAGAAAGTGTCGTTCTCGACAGTTCTCTTGTCGTTGTATTTGAGACCCAACGTTTTATTTCAGCGAACCTTGGACTGACAACCTCCGATTTCGAGATAAGACATGCACATCGTATTCGAAACATGCTTTGAGCTGATCAGCTGCTGACTATCGAGGGCGCTGCTTCACAACGTGCTCGGCTTGCGCGATGAAAGACAAGGAAATATGATGCAGTGAAGGATAATATTCTCCAGAAATATCGATTTATCACTGTCTAGAGATGAAAAACATGATCACAATAAATTTCACGCACACAATGTCATGGATTTATAAAAGAATGTCAAACGGTATATAGAAACGTCTTTGCTGACATGGCAAGAAATTCGAAAATCGTCGAAAGATGATCATCGCAGACTGTGTACTTTCGATCAGAGCATAATACGCGGAGAGAGAATGAATGAAAATATACCACTGAGTATATACCGCCGGTTGACAAAATGCTTTTCTCATTTCCCGCCACGCTCTCGGAAACCGCGCGCCTGAATGAATAGCATTCTTTTATTCCAATCGACTGCGGAGTATACGTCATCGTCGTTGTGCTGGTGTGCCCAAGTGATCACGTGAAATGCTCATGGTCGATTATAATCATCCTGCATTTTCTACGAATCATATAGAGAGAGGCTGGTACAATCCATGGATAGAGAGAGAGTCTAAAGGGGGGTAAGAGAGAGAGAGAGAGAGAGAGAGAGAGAGAGAGAGAGAGAGAGAGAGAGAGAATAAAGATCGACGTCGTTCAATCATTCCATTTTCCCAAAAAGCATTGAAACGCAAATAAAATTACAAGTATATTATACATACAAAGAATGTTTAGTTTATACGATAACTTCAAATGAAATAGAAGAACTAAGGAAAAGCCCATGGTGGCCTAGTTTAAAAAAGTTCCCTCGAATATAGTATTTCTGAGTATATATTAGATAAGATATCACAAAAAACAGCGATGAACACAATATAAGGACAAAAAACTATAAAAAACATGTATGAAATAATTTGAAATTGGAGATGGCAAAAGGGTTTGGAAGGTAAATTCAATGGTACTCAGAATGCAAGGTCAGTTTAATTTGTTTTTAAACGTTGAACTGTTTTATATAAGCGTATGACTTGAGGTAGAGTGTTCCATTATGTTTGGGTCCTGTGTTTGGCAAAGTATTTCTTACAGATTTTTTAGAGAATGAACTTTTCACTTTCCATAATTGAAACGTGTTGCAAAGTCGAGTATTAATGTTGGTTAGTTGACCGAAATATGGATGATATTCTTTTTGGAAGTATATCAGCCATGCACAAAGGAGACGAAAGATTATTTTGATGCGTGGCTGATCGCCAACGAAACGGAGTTAAGTCTTTTGTCAACTAAAGTATTTGTTGCTACGGCAGGCAGCCAGTGAAAATGAACTCGTTCAATCAAATTGGCCGCATTAGGCCCTACTTTAAACAAACAGAACTTTGTTATTCCTGGCTCATTTTCCTGATTGAGGTGTCATATGAAAGGGCAGGAATTGAACTTTCTAAAAATATTATTTTCTCTTTGAAATTCAGATACCGCCCGCCAAATGACTTTTTGTTTTTCTCTCTTCAATTTTTTTAATCACTCATGCGTAAAATATGCATCATTATGATTTGCACCAAATGAAAGAGGAGGATCTAGGCTAAGATTAATATGTGTCATTTATTATAATTGTGATTAAGTTATGATAAAACATCGATAATTCCGTTTTTTCTGGGACGCACTGTATATAATAAGTTTGTGGACGAAAGTACAACAATACGAAAACAGAAGTTCTACACAAATTGTCTTTAAGAGAGAAACAGAGGTTATTTCTAAATTGAAATGAAAGGGGCTATGTGACTTTCAAGGAGGAAATTACAATTTCTATTGCTCGTGACGACTATTTTTTAACTTCTTATTTTTTGTTATTATATCAAGAACTTCCTGGGGCTCCACCCCAAGACTCTCGGCAAAGACTCTCCCCCTGCACCCCCATCCGCAAAGATAGTATTTCTCAAGACAACCTTTTCTTGTACAAAATTTATTGGAGAGAATGCGAGTTTTATGTACTATTATAGTAAAAGCTTCTAACAACCACTCCTGTGGACCTTTTTTTACACAATTTCTTGCTTTCTGCTGCCTCGAGATCAAAGGGACATAGTACCTTTAAAGTGACTCGGTATACATCGTTGCAGCTTGATTTAAAATTGCGTAATTTTGTATTAAATGTTACTTAATCTTCCTACTGTACTAACCCTCTTACATGCAAAAAATACCCTTCAAATTCTGAAACCACGAAGATATTAAAATAATGGTTTTCTAGGAAGGCGTCTCAGTGCATCACCCTCTAACATTGGCTAACAGTATATTCTCCCAACCATTTTTGAATTTTCCCAACCGTTTTTCCATGAAAATAAGACAAAAGATAGGCTTTTAAAAATCTTTCAACACTTAAAATAATGTCTGGAATGGTATATAAAGCCAATTCTCATTGCCTTGTGACGATTTACGTTCACCTAAAAAGTAATTGAATTATAATAATATATATAGTTGGGAGAATTAAGATATCAATCAGATCAGTTTTTTCCCAATTTTTATCGTCAATAATGGTCTTTTTTCACTCAAGCTTTCAGATTATCTTACATTTAGCATTGAAGTCACTACCTTCTCTCTCTCTCTCTCTCTCTCTCTCTCTCCGTCTCTCCCTCTCTCTCTCTCTCTGTCTCTTTATCTTTCTCCCAGTTTCTCCCTTCTCTAGCTTTTTATCTTTCTTTCTCCTTTCCCTCCTCCCCTCTCCCACTATTTCTCTATTTCTGTCTTGTATTTCCTTTTCTCAATTTTCTGACAATGTGATAATTACTCATTAATGATTTTCACCAATGTTAAACAGTATAATAAGGATTCCATAATGGCATTCGTATTAATGTATCATTTGACATTTTCGTATTAAGTGCATTTTAACTTTTACAATGCTTCATTAAGCTGAATCGACTCAATTCTCGTTCATTTGCTTAGGGGAGAGCGGGGCTAGTCCGCCCTGGGGGCAAGTCCGTCCACCCCTTGATTCTCAGCCTTGCGGTGATTGGATAAAACTTTCGCCGGTGATGTAATGACAAACTAGCCATGCACACCGCACAACATACAACAGCAAGAGGACAATGGCTTTTTGATAAATAAAATTACGCTAAAATTTCCACTTCAAGGCCACGTAAGTAAAAAAAAAAATTGTATTTACATTTCTTGTATTTACCTGTAGACATTGATGGAGATGGTGATGGTAGTTTTTGTTGTTAAAAAGGTATGGTATGTGTCTATTAAAAAATGTTGAAACAAGTCAACATCGGTTGTATATTTTGCTAGAACGAGATAAACGACAATAACAGCCCCATGGGGCTATATAGTTCGCCCGTTTTTCCGGGAGCGGACTTACCCCGCATTGAGGGGCGAACTTATACCCCATTCAATGTAGTTATTTCTACCTTTGGGGCTCTTCAAAATTATTAGATTTTTATTGAAAGTGAAAATACAGGCCCTTACCTGCCAACTTCAGTAAAGTTGAGTGACGACTGTGTTTATCCAACTTGATCTGATTCTTCATAATTTTATGACTTATAATATTTATTTATTTTGACATAAGTTTTGTTTTCCTTTTTCAGAGTCCGCCTATTGTTATCACCAGCTGTTCTACGCCAAGTACATCTTGGTTCAGCTTATTTGTTCCCATCCTTCGTCAGAGATTATTTTGTTTGCTCTAGTTCCTTTTAAATAAATGTTTTGAAGTTTTAAAACACTATTTTGTTTCGTGTATTTATTTTCCCTAACTGGGCGTACCTACCCCGCCAAACGGACGAACCAGCCCCAGGGTGGGGCAATTTCGCCCTTTTGTCGTAATTAACTTTATATTAATTCGTTTTTGTGAAAACTGTGTGACTGACTCCAGTGAGAGTGGGATATTAGCTAGACAATATACCTATGACTTGATACATGAAAAAGCATGGTCTTCCTGCGTATGAAATGACGGCTCTAGAAGAGTGATATCAAAAATAGGGCGAACACTCCCCGCTCTCCCCCTACATTGTTTTGTCATAAATTGAACTCTCTTAATGTGTCTATTTCTCTCTTTCTCTCATCCCTTATCTTTCTTTTGTCTCCCCCCTCTCTTTATCCTTTCCCTCTCCCCTCTATCTTTCTTCTTTCGTTCTCTATTCACTGACAAAGTGAATTAGTATTCTTTCAAATGCCGTTGGAATTTAACCTTTACATTTTTTGGTCTGCAAATGGGTTAATTTATTACTGAATTTTTAAATCTACTGTTTTTAATGTATTTGTATATGATACAATATGAACCAAGTATCGTTAGTCTTTGGACTTTTTATTTGGTATATTTTTAATAAAACAGAAATTGACATTTTACCTCAGCACTATTTTCTCTCATCTTTACACCGTTACCAAGTCCCTTTAAGTAAACAAAATAAGTACAATGATTTGCTAGAAAACCGGGTACGACTCAATCAAGGCTACTCCTTAAATAAATTTAAAATGTATACTGAAGAAAATGAGGCATGTTTTAGTTCTATATCTGACCTCAGGAAGATAACAAATTTGAAGCAGATTCCTCCAGGGTCAGTCCTTTCACTTGTCAAAAAAGGGTTTTTTCTTATAAAAAGAACACCAAATTTCCTGGAATTTGACGGAATTTTCTCAAAACTCTCAAAATGCCTTTTTTTTTTAGTACGTTGATTTTTTTTCTTTGATGAATTGTCGGGACACCAACGTCATCCAATTTTATAAAACAGAGGGTTGTTTGGGACCCATTTTTATCTTTACAGATAAAGGGTCCAGCGCATGTCTTGGGGTCCTCATGGTGGGTTAATAATATTGGAGGGACAGTGCCCCGTCTCAAGTGTTTCAGGAGTCGGAGCCCCGGAAGCTCTCGAGTTTTAGCCATTCAGAAAGCTTCAATATAGCCACCGTGAGCGATAAAAACACTTACCTATCCCTCGAAATTTAACTTGAATTGCCCGGATTGTGGCTTTTTTTAATTAAAGAGCAAACAAGAGCCCTAAGACTAAGCATTCCTCGTGCATAAGTGGCAGAACACGCCCTTAATTAATACTAGCCACATCATATTTTGATGGGATCATCTGGATAAATAGGGACTCTGGCTGTTAATTGTCACCTCTTTGCTCCAGCTTTGGGCCACCCCCAGACCTTTGCCCCTGGACCCCACGCCCTACCTGATTGTAAACACCGTAGCTCACCGTCCAATTTGAAAAGCCGTTCCGGGGAGCCTTTGTATAGTACAGTAACTGCAACTAATAAACATTCACGGTTGTATACGCTATTCTAACATTTTCTCTCTTTTTTAACATTTCGCATCAACTAATTTGTGTCACGATTAGGAAATAACGTTAACTTTAGACCAGGGACGTGATAGACAAGGACTGGAATCAAGCTGCTCTCCTTTGACCCCAGCATGCTCCAAGCCGCCGAAAAGTTATGCGCTAATCTGCAACTGCTGACCAGGTGGTGAGATAAAAGAGCGCATAAATTTCAGGATTTAGAATTCCTACATCAGAAAATGGTATCACAGCAACTGTTCGCTGTCCCTTACAATGGTTTCTCATCCATCGTTGAATGTGGAAAGAGTAGAACAAGCGAACAAAACTTGTAATTTCATCCTTTTTTTAACTTCAAAAATACAAAAAACACGCAAAAACACGCATTAGCAAACCTTATGTTATTGAAAATTGTATATCATGGATCAAATAACGGGACATTAAAACATGCACAAAATTAATTAGCGCATTATCCTAAACTATTGAGTTTTTGTCAGGATGTAATTTTTCATTTACCAACTCTGGCACACAAATTATAGGAAGGACGGAATTCTAAATTTGGAAATGTGTTAGATGCACTTTTCCCAATACAATCCCCATACAAAGTTTTTGATTTACACTAATAATTTTGCCGGTAATTTAATATTTTGTAATAAATGTAAAACTGGTGCCTGGCTTCCGAAAGTCCCCGCAGTCGAAGCGCGGTTCGGAGCGTGGAACTTCAAAGCCAAGTGGAATGTTACACATCCCATTGTTACGCGTTAGAACTTACGAATGCGTTGAATAAATTACAAGGGTTTCGCCGGCTTGATTCCAGTCCGTCTCTATCAAGTCCCTGCTTTAGACCTATACAGAAAACATAACAAGCAAGGATCTGACTTCATCTCCTTTTATGGTGATCCATTCAAGATGAGACGATGAGAAAAGTGATCTAGCGCCATCTCTTGTTAAAAACATTACACGGTGGATCATACGGTTGTTGTTTCAATGATTGAACAGGACTATCCGTTCTCATCCACGAGGGGGGGGGGGGGGGGGATGCCCCTTATATAGAGGAAGAGCATGACAAATTAGCAATTATTTATTCTAAAAAATGTATTTTGCTTCAAGTTTACAGACATTAGTCACTGTCTTGTGTACGGTTGTTTTGTTTCAATGATTCATTAATATCAATGAACAGGACTATCCGTTCTCATCCACGAGGGGGGGGGGGGGGGGGGGATGCCCCGTATAATAAGAGCATGACCAATTAGCAATTATTTATTCTAAAAATGTATTTTGCTTCAAGTTCACAGACATTAGTTACTGTCTTGTGTACGGTTGTTTTGTTTCAATGATTCATTAATATCAATGAACAGGACTATCCGTTCTCATCCACGAGGGGGGGGGGGGGGGATGCCCCTTATATAGAGGAAGAGCATGACAAATTAGCAAGTATTTATTCTAAAAATGTATTTTGCTTCAAGTTCACAGACATTAGTCTCTGTCTTGTGCCGTCCAGAGTAATTTCGTGTATGAGGGGATAATTTGGGCCCTCCTTTCGAGCAATCCTAGATTAACCCAAGACCCCTCCCCTCCCCCTCGTCTTAAAATGCGTCGAATTTAGGCCCGAATTTGAAAAGTCATAGTAAAATAATCTTTGCGCATTGCGCAGAAGACTCAATTCTTATTTAGACATTATTCAATTAAATGTATTGTTTTCACTCACAGGGATCTTGCGGGGGAGCTTGCAGGTACCCCATCCCCCCTTTTTTTGCACTAGACCCTCATGACTGCCTCCCCCGAAGCTCTTTCAGTAGATGTCATTCAGAGGATCCACCTCAACCCTATATGATCCAAACCTTGCATGCCTAGGAGGCTAGGACCCATCTAAAATTTCCCACCCGAGTTGATATGGCGCCTTTCCAAACTTCCCAGCCAGTATTGGTTTAGCCACAATGAAAAAGCCCCGCTATACTCCGACCCCTTCCATAATTATATCCCCTTTGAATTCTCATCGCGGAGCTACGATCTATATAAGAGAAAGAGATTTGAATTGAATTGATCTTTATTTCATTCTTCATAAAAACATCAAATAACAAACATATCAAATACAAAACATAGTTAAAGAGAAACATTTACAATAGAATACAACACTGACAAAAATACATATGAATGTGGAGACAGCCAGAAAAGCCAAGGCTTTGTTGGTGCTGCCACCAAAACAGTAAAGTATAATACAGTATATATTGTTGTTTGAGAAGGTGATTAAAAATATATCTCTTTTAAAACAGGGGAAAGAGAGAGAGAGAGAAAGAGAGAAAGAGAGAGAAATATAGGGACTGGGAAGAAAGGGAACATTATGAAGCGATAAACACAGTTCTCAAAATCATTTGTCAAATTAATGAGCTTCCCAAGTAGCCTATACACAGAAGCAGATTAGTTCCTAGCTTCCAACTCTAACTTTTTAAGAAGGATTCTGCTGTTTTTTGTAGAAAGAAATGTTTTATTATTTTCTCTTCAAATCAAGTTATACATATTAATTGTACAAATCATTCTTAACAAAACTGGATACATTGTACATTGAAATTGCATTAATAAAAAGAAAACAAAAGTACAATTTCATAAACTGTTTAGAACATATTTTTATATTATGATCAAGAATATTAAAGTAAACTTGAGAGAATTTGTTGGGGTCTATCCTCCCATTCCCTCAAAATAATAGCAATCTTCGGCTGGCGAGCTAGTGCTTATTGGTCGCTGAATAAGAGAAGCCCCCCCCCCCCCCCCCCCCCCCCAATCAAGCATGCAAAATAACCGTACACAATCAATCTGACGTTTGACTAGCCTTCATGCGACATTCGCAATCTACACATTGATGCAAGCCTCGGTGGATTTTGCTCTCAGCTAGCCGAGCTCAGGTGGTGCATACAAATAAGAATAATTCTACACAGATAAGTCACGAGGTGTCTCGGTGGTTCTAAAGGTAAAGGTGAGATAATGATAACACATGGTTAATCAAAAATTTCAGTTGTCAAAAAGCCGAGCTGCAGCTGTTTGCTGTTGGGTGAGTCGGGTGAGTCGCTAACGGGAACATAGCCGGGAGGGAATCGGTCCCAGCGACCCAGCCGAGCCCACTGGCCCAGTAACGTTACCGCAGCCGGTGAGGCTAGAAAGTGCAAGGAGTGCCATGGAGTGCAGAAATAGTGTGTGGACAAACATGATACAAGATACGAAGCACTTGACTTGACAGTTTAAATACAGAGTCAATAGTAAAATAAAGTCCAGTGCAAATAATACGTAGCATAAATGCAGTAGCCTGCCCGGTTTCCCCTCGCGCTTGCTTGAGCAGTTTTTTCAGAGATAACTTCTCTGAAAATTAATTAAGCAGGTGCTAAGTAATATAGACCGAATTTTCCGTCTCCTTCGTTCGTTAGCCTCTTATTGGGGTAGGGTCGGCTCTCTCTTTAGAGACGGAAACCGTCTATACACATTCCCTTGATAACGCCACGGCCATTTCAGGTCGTAGCGTTTTGCCCCCAAAATCCCCCAAAATGTCATTTTACCTCGTGCATATCCACATGTAAATTAGGCCTAGGCTATAATAAATCAGTTCCACTTACCAACTTGACTGAAATAATCAGTTTAATAGTCCCTTTTTAGGAAATTATGGGTCAAAATCGAAATCCATTTTGAAAATCTTTTTCAACATGGATTTCGATTTTGACCCATAAATTCCTAAAAAGGGACTATTAAACTGATTATTTCAGTCAAGTTGGTAAGTGGAACTGATTTATTATAGCCTAGGCCTAATTTACAATTTAAAATGCACGAGGTAAAATGACATTTTGGGGGATTTTGGGGGCAAAACGCTACGACCTGAAATGGCCGTGGCGTTATCAAGGGAAAGTGTATAGACGGTTTCCGTCTCTAAAGAGAGAGCCGGCGACCCTACCCCAATAAGAGGCTAACGAACGAAAGAGACGGAAAATTCGGTCTAGTGCTAATATAGACTGAAAGCTTCAGTCTCTATACCGTCGGTTGTTCCACTGAGACTACGTCTGGCTCCACTAGACCTCCGGTTATAGAGACAGAACGATCGCCTATGCCAGCCTATGTTGAAGATATCACGGCTAGATTTTAGCCGTTAGGCCCCTCCCACAAACATGAACAAACTTGCCACGGCCGTATTGTTATGCCCCCAAAATCCCCCAGAATGTCATTTTACCTGGTGCATATCCAATTTTACATTAGGCCTAGGCTATAATACATCGGTTCCACTTGATTTGATTTGATTTGATTTGATAAGGTTTTATTCGAATATTCAACAATACAGCTGGAGGCTGATACAAGTGAATTTACAAGGTAAAAATAATTCCATAGACATAAAAAATATAATTATATGCTTAAACACTTTTAAATGAATCCAGATATAAACAGTACATAGTAAATAAATCATAGATAATGAAAACAATAATAATATTGAGTTCGGTTTGCATACTTGGATATGAAATAAATAAAAATTCAAAGGGTGTAAGATCAGGTATACAGTTTGAGAGTCGGAGCAGGACATTTTGATAATGTATTAAGAGAAAAATTATTATTGATCATTAAAAAATTGAAATTAAATGATTAAACTATAACATTTACATGAAGTATATATACAAAATAATTCGATAAAATACAATTATTAAATATTGTTATGTATGATCTTCATGAATACGTGATGTAAAACCCGGCTTGAAAACATAAAATTACATTTATTAAATTAAATTTATTGAAATAACATTAATAATTATTGCATTGATCAACTTGCATTTATCAAAGTTGAATTTAAAAAGTCAGATAATATACATGGTTCTTTTGAGTTGCATAGATTGGCAATGAAAATATCTTTTATAATAATTTATCGGATAAAAATTGCATTTAACTAAATTATATTTCTAAAAATTACATTTCTTTTCACAAAATCAAATTCTTAAAAAATGCATTTTATCAAAGTTCTATTTATTAAAATCATATTTATCACAACTATATTCATAAAACTAGATACAAATTCAGATAGAGGTTCAGGATTAAATAGCTAGACCTATATGAGGAGGTCGGGATTCTTATTTAGTAAACGAACAATTGATGGGATACTAGAATTGTAATATCTTGTGGTCCTGCATTTTGGTTCATGGAGAAGATGAGAGTTCCGTAACTGCCTTCCAGACAGGTATCGTCGGGATTTTGGAAGAAAGTCACGATGGCGAGCTGACGTGAGAAGGTCACGTGCAAAAGAGAGGAGAAGACCTTCTCGTCGTGAGTGGAGAGAATCAAGACGGAGGTGATCCAAAGCACCGCGGTAGGAGTCATACCCACCAAGGATGATTCGACAGACCCTTTTCTACTTACTAACTTGATTGAAATAATCCGTTTAATGGTCCCTTTTAAGGAAATTATGGGTCAAAATCAACATCAACGCCATCTACACGTTCGTAATGGCGTTATCACAGTTTTTCCTTCATAATCATTTTTGCCTTCGGCGTAGACTAGAAGATATGAGATTGACGGCATGGCAGCGAGAGTTTAACACGGCTTGCAAGATTTTCAACATGGATGTCGATTTTGACCCATAATTTCCTTAAAAGGGACCATTAAACGGATTATTTCAATCAAGTTAGTAAGTGGAACCGATGTATTATAGCCTAGGCCTAATGTAAAATTGGATATGCACGAGGTAAAATGACATTTTGGGGGATTTTGGGGGCATAACAATACGGCCGTGGCAAGTTTGTTCATGTTTGTGGGAGGGGCCTAACGGCTAAAATCTAGCCGTGATATCTTCAACATAGGCTGGCATAGGCGATCGTTCAGTCTCTATAACCGGAGGTCTAGTGGAGCCAGACGTAGTCTCAGTGGAACAACCGACGGTATAGAGACTGAAGCTTTCGGTCTAGTGATAATAATGAATGTAGGCCTAGAATCTAGTAGGCCTACATCATTTTGTCGCGAAAAGTCTATTTCTAACGAATCATACCATGCCATCCTAAGTTTGCCATCTGCGTGAAGAATTGTTCCATTCTGACCTGTCCAAACTTCGCTGGCGCACTGTTATCACGATAATGGACCTTTAAAAAGAAGAGTCTGCCCACACAACTCGAGAAAAATCTTGATAAGACTTTCTTAAAGGTAATAGACCTAGACTACTAATAGGTCTAGGCCTAAAAAGTTTTGGAAAAATTTTGAAAATTGGGTGGATAGTGATTCTTTACAATTTTGATATATTTGGATGGCCCTATAGATGTATTATAAGCACTAGAAAATTTAGCCCCTAAAACACTAGATCTACTGCTTTCAAGAAAAATTGAATATAAAGATTTACCGGTACTCCTGGTAAATTTTGATAAATTTCAAATAGGATCTAGCGACTACGGCCGTACAATGGTAGCTGCAACCATGAAAATGTCAGAATATGTAGTTGTGATATATAATTTCCAAACAGGAATAGCTAATCGGTTGATTTTAGTCAAGAAACATTGTTTTATACATGTAGCTTAATTAATTTCTTGACCTTGAAAGGGAGCTATACAACATAGGCCTAAAGATTTTATTATTTACAATTTCATAACTTTAGACTCAATTTCAACCGCGACAACGATCAATGAATATTGTAGGATCGCATATATGCTTCCAATACATTCGTTTGATTTTTTGAACTAAATTCCTGACCCCATACCAAAACTTTGTATTACCTTTAATGTAAAGGAAAAAGCCTTTGACAAATCATGCAACTTGCCTTTTATTGTAATGGTAATCGGTCAAACCTGAGTCAGTGAGTGTTCTAATTTGGATAGGAAATTGGGATATTAGATCTAGAATCTACATTTAATTTGAAAAAAAAAACTTTTGAATTTGATTGTCATTTTAAATTATCAAAGTTAATTTCAATTTTAATTTTATTTAGGGTCTTTGTTGAATACTTGATGTACTAAGCTTTATTCACATTCTCAAGAAACATAAATCGGGACAATTCAATTTTTGTACATAGGCCTAACCTACCCCAAAAATTACAAAACTTACAAAACTTGGTGGTTTAATTTCTGCTATGAGGAGCAATGAGATGTGACAAATCGACATGCCTGATCATTGTAACTCACCAAAGACATTTATTTATTTATTGATTCAGTTTTATTTAAAAAACAGGGTAGTCTTTTCAGTGCCAGAGGCCTGCTTTACAAAAGAGCCCTGTACATACAAAGATTTACAAAAAATAGAATACATTGTAGAAAACAAAGACATTATATATACCGTAAGAGAACTAAAACAACTTAAAAACTAGATCAAAATGAACATAAGGCCTGAAATATTAAACATTTAAGATATTATTGATACAATACAAAATACAAATACAAATACACATGCCATAAAGAACAGACATAAAATCAAAAGGGTAAAAGGTAAGAAATAAAACTACTACAGACTACACAACTACAAACAAACAAAACAAACAAAACTAACTGTAATAAGTCATGATTATAACATTAGGTACCAGTGCATGGATTAAAGTAGAGGGAGTGATTTAATTTGTTTTTTGAACATTTGGAGTAAAGTTGCCATGCGAATATCAGTCGGTAGATTGTTATAGATGCTTGGAGCGATGAACGAAAAAGATAGTTTTTTAAATTCAGTCTTGGGTTTCGGGATAAATAAGGGATTTAAGGTCGAATGACGAGTAACATAGTAAACTGGACGTACAAGCAAAACGTTCTAAATAATAAGGGGCTAGATTATTGAGTATTTTGTAGACGAAAATGCAGTAGTGGTAGATGATTCTATTTTCAACACTTTGCCATTCAAGAGTGCTTAAAAGGATGTCTTTTTGGGTTAGATAGTCTGCATTAAGGACTAATCTTGCATATCTGTTTTGCGTCCTCTGTAATTTGAGTAAATCTTTCTTTTTGCACTTGCCCAAAACAACTGAACAGTAATCTATATGTGGAAGAATGAGGGAGTAATAAAGATGTTTCAGTAGGCTTTGGTTCAAATAACTCTTAATCCTTCTAGTGCAATAGCCCGATTAATCTTATTAGTCACATTCAATATGTGTGGTGTCCAACTTAGACTTTGGACAAGGGTTACGCCTAAATATTTGATCTCGGTAACATTCTCAAGATGGTCTCGTCTATGACAGATTTTCAAAATTTGGTTCTTAGTTTTATTTTTCGTTCCAAAGACCATCACTTTGGTTTTCTTTGCATTTATTTCCATATTATTTATTTCAAACCATTTACGCAGTAAATCATAATATTTTTGTAGTTTCTTCTGACTGCTTTTTAAATTGTTACCTTTACAAAACAATGCCGTGTCATCAGCATACAGAGCAATTTTGGTTTGTTTACTAAATTTCAAGTTACACTTATCATTAAGAAATAAGCAAAAAATGAGTGGGCCCAAGATAGACCCTTGGGGCACACCAGAGTATATCTGTTCACGTTTCGAAGTCGATGACATCTATCAATGTCACCTTTCTCGACGGTCACATCAAGGTCGTTGATTCCAGCAAAGACTAGACAGTTTCTTCGCGAATTTTGCTCAGCCTCATCCATGGCTTCCTCAACAAGATCTACTTGCTTTTCCAACAACGCCATGTTGTCTTTGGCGTTGTCAAATTTCAACGAGGCTTTCACTTCCGATCGCAAAGATTCACATATTTCATCCAGCAGCTTGGTTTTGATAGCTGAAACCAATTTCGAAATGAATTTCTCATCTGTGAGCAGTTTATCAATGGCTGTCTGGATAGCATTAGACAGTGTAGAGTCATCATCCTTATCATTAGATTGAGCAGCAGATTTATTGACGGTAGAGGAAGACTTGGGCCTCGGGGAGTTGTCGGCCAACGATCCTCCCTTTCCCCGTCTCGGTCTGTCAGGTCCAACCATATTGGTCAAGAGTAACTGGACTATTGTAATTTCTATGCTTGGCGAAGCTTCTCTCTCACATACGTCTGTTACTAGTGCTCATTGATTAGGTGTTTTGCCTCGACATGTAGTAGTGTACTCGACTCTCTGAATAAGTCAGAATATTCCAGCCGTCAAGATGTACATGTAATTCATAGCCGTTTGAAAATTGTTCAAACAACTTTTTGATTTACATTTTTTATTGCAAAATTGTCCATTCAATGTTTATGATTAATTTTCCTCACAGGCTCTCTAGCTCAATGGGCCATGGCTTGGGCAAGGAAGTGTATTGCTAGGAGTTCACTGCTTACGAAGCATATATGTAGACTGCCTGGAAGGCAAGTCCAACAATGTATTTGGGCTAGAGAATGGCATGGATTTGGTATAAGACATCATGATGAAATGAGACGGTGGCTGCCAAGCTTCACTAACACAAGATGGAATCATGCTTCGGTAATTATGAATTTGGTTATCTACTTTTGTGTACTTTTTTTTGGAGCAAAAGTTGGCATGTACTCTATGCAGAATTCAAAATTTTACATTCACTTTCCATTCATCTTTTAATTCATCCCATCTTTCTCATAGTCTCTTTCCTCTATATTTACACTCCTTCTCTTAAGTTTTCTACCCCCCTCCATCTTTTCCTTTCTCCCTATCTGTAGGTCTCCAACTATCTTCTCTCCTATCCCTCTCCTGTCCATCTCTCTCCATCACAGTGTGGGTATCCTCCATATCCCTATGCATGTCTGCCTGTATTACTTTCTCTAGTCTTTTCTGTTTCTTTTAATTTTTGTTGTTTACAGTTGTGATTGTTTTAACTTTACTATTGTTTTTTAGTGCCAGCCACACTGGACATCCAAACTATTGTAGGTATAATTCAAAGATGTAAATCTCATATGGGTAAACCTTTTCATTTAGACAATTAAAGAATATATGTATAAGATATACCCAACATGGATTTCAATGAGTTAAGTCATTAACCAAAGTTACACTGTTCCTTTACTTGTAGGGTGTGGAGCCAGCAGAAAAATTGAACCCCAGCTTCATCATTGAGCAACTGAGTTCTGACAATGATAACAAGGTTCTAAAAGTCACATGGTCTGATGGTTCAGTGAGTAGGTAAGTTGAAGGTCAAGTCAATGATGAAATGATGTTTGATGAAGGTCACATGGTCTGACAGTGCAGTTAGTAGGTAAGTTGAAGGTCAAGTCAATGATACTTGGTACTTGGTACTTGGTACTTGGTTGGGTAATCCCTTTGGCAGATCACTCAGGAAGCTATACTGGGATGATAGGTGAGGCAAGTAACTACAAGGAGTGTCATGAATTGCTGGAATAGTGTGTGGACACAGCATTTGTTAATTTACAGTAAAATATGCTAAGTCCTGTGCAAGTAAAAACCAAGCTAGTAAGCTTATATGATGTAAGTACCAACAGGGGACTGTATCATTCTGATGGAGGGTAGAGCAGCCTCCTTGAAGTTGGTTATTCCTTTTGCATTGACTGCTGAGCCTGGCAGATGGTTCCAGATCCTTATTGCTCTTGGGTAGTATGAGAACTTGAAGGAGTCGATAGTTGCAACATACTTAAGGTTGTGGTCGTGTCTTCCGAATTATGTAGCAGGGATGACAATAGTTGGTTTGGGTATGGAGACAAGACGGTGATGAATCTTGTAGAGAAGGGTGCATTGGTCGAGGATTTGACGTGTGTGAAGCGTGTCCCACCCTAGTGCTGCCACAAGAGCCGTGGGATAGTGATGTGGTGTATCTGTAGTCACGGTACACAAAGTGAGCCGCTGTTCTTGATGAAATGATAAGGAAGGTAACATGTTCTATTAGTTGAAGGTCAGGTCAATGACAATATGATATCTGCTAAAGTAAAGTTACTAATTTGATGAATCAATTACCTACAGCTTTCTTGCACTTTGTGTGAAATGATAAGACTGATAAGATATGAAATATGCAATCTAAAGGTTATATCTGGTAGCATGACACTGGCTGTACTCATTTTTATTGACAAAGTAAATCTTTAATGATATAACATAGTGGGATATGACACCTGGGATTATCAAATGACTGAAAAATTCATGCAATGTATAGCTTTGCCTGTGAGTTTGCAATTTTTATCTGGAATACCAATTTTCGTTTGAAACTTTATAGTAATCAGTATAGTTACGAAAACATATGTTTGTCAATCATAAGAGCATTTTGAGTCAATCTCTATCACCTTCCCCATCCAAAGTCACCCTACAGTACATTTCATGAGAATTGGGATGTCATTTTAATGACAGACACCATCTTATTGCATCATATATTCTGTTAGAATGTGGATAACAGGGGGATCATGTTACAGAATACTTTTATTTGTTTTGATGATCTTAACATGTAATTTAAGCTTATACTGTGCTGAACCTCTTGCATACAGGAACAGGGTGGTCCCTACGCTTAGCCTATGGGAATAAGAGAATTCAGTAGTCAAAGGGTTAAGATTCAGCAAGCAAACTTTCTCTTACTCCTATGAACTTTCTCAAAGTCAAGTAATTCTCAAAGGGATCCGGTAACTTTGTTTCGGATTCGGAAAACATATTCTGGATTTAGCTCATGATGCAATGATAATTATAAACCTTTAGGTCAGTCAGGAATCCCGTGACTTTTACAAGCCGATCGCCTGTCTGATTATCAAGATATTTATGATTGGAATTACAAATGCAAACGCCTGACGGTTTTCATAAAACTACAGTCTATTGGGGAAATATTGGGGGAAACGAGTATGGTAAAACCGGTCACTCAAAGATTTTTAATTTTTTTGAGGCACTTCTTGCTAATTTTGAAGCGCAATTTTTTTAGGGCTTCAATATTACATCATATCACAGACACTGATAACACGTAGGGCCGTGTATCTCAGATTTAACATTGTTAAACGATCCCTTTAAGAGCTGTCTTGAGATGTCATGATTTGGTAGAGGCTCAAAATGTGTTGATCAATGTAGCTTTCAGTATGGATTTAGTAGACAGGTATGTTACTCGTGCATTCTCAATTTTGTCTTTTATCCTGAAAGTATTTCACTCATACTCTGCATTGAGCTTCCTCTATGGTTTCATTATTGCTAGCTAAGACAGCATACAGTTTCATGTATGCCTGTCGTATCATTTTTTCTTCTTCAATATTTAACTTAATTTCTCTCTTCATCTCATTCAGATATAATACATCATGGTTGAGGATGAATTGTCAATGCAGTGCATGTAAACAGCCCGATTCAGGTCAAACGTTAGTCACAGTCACAGACTTTCCTGCTCAACTCACAATACACTCATCTTCTCACCAACATAGTAAGCTGATTTGATAATTCACTCATTTTCTTCTCATCCATATATACATTGAAACTAGGGCTGCGACGTGTAGTCAAATGCTCGAGTACCCGCACGGTTGACAACTACTCGGGTACCCGAATATTCGGCCGCAAAAAAAAAAATCTGTCCAGGCCGACGCTTACCCGTGCCTGGGTGAGCGGCGACCGCTGGCATGGTGCCGTCGGTAAAAATGTTTCCAAACTCAAGCACTGTCAAACTCACCACTCAGAAACTGGGACCAAATGTCTGGATTTCTGTTTGGGCTTGGAGGAAAATGGATTATTCTGCCATCTTTGGTTATTAAAGCAGCATTGTTTACTGTTATTATTATTATTAAATCGGCGCCTTCAACTGCAACTCAAAGTAAAATTGCATGCGTTTTTTCGGCGACAGAACTGGGATACTGTTCCAGAGGTATGGTGGTGGCAAAAAAAAAAAAAAAATTATAAAAAAACATGGTGTCCGAATATTCGAGTATTCGCTTGTAAGCCTGGGAGTGTACTCGGGTACCTCATTACACTGTTGTGCACAGCCTTAATTTAAACCTGTATGTACATGTAAAGACCACTCGAGGGAGACAAGAAAAGTGGTCTTTAAAAGCAGGTTCTATTCATATGGGTTTCAATGAGAAATCATTGTAAGGGGAACAAAATATGATCATTATAGACATGTGGTAACTGTATTATGTTAATGTGGTGATTGACTAAGATCTCGAAATGTTAAAGTGGAAAGGGTTTTCAAAAAGCTTTAAATTTTAAAGATCTGAGTATCTTTATAATGTTTGGGATGTTTTGGTTACAGGTCTCAAATGAGTGGTGTATAATTGAGAACTTTCATTAGTTACTTGCAATTGAAAAGGGTTATTGCATTTCTTTAAAATATATTGTTATCATCCGTTTACAATAGTAATCTGACAGTGAAACATCCATTTTGCTGTGTAAAATTGAATATGAATATAGAAATAGAAACATAGGACAATGATGGTAACCTATCACAAGTAAACAAATGATGAATAGATTTCAGGATGGACTGACAACATACTACATAGAGAGTTAAGGATTTTAAAATGTTTGTATTATCTGCATAACAAAAAAATCTTTTGAAATCCAATTACATGCAGCTTCTGCAGACATTGTTCATCAACATTATTGACTGTTTACTTCTCAGATACTATGAAAATAATATCAAGTTGTTGGTATATTGTATGCAGCGCTCAAAATACACGGGGGCGGTGGGCAATTCGCCCCCGTGAGCTCCATAATCGCCCCCGTCAGGTTGCTCACGGGGGCGATTGCAAAATTAAAAATCGCTCCCGTGGAATTATAAAATTAAGATTATCTTTTCTGATATAACTTTAACACAATATTGAGTATTAATTTTTAAACCTTAAACCAATGAAATGGAACTTAGATGGCGCTTTCTCTACCATCTCTACGAGTATTCCCGATACAAACAACGGAAGCTCGCGGTGGGGCCGTCAGCACAGTGGCTATACTGCACTGGTAGTACCGGTGTGCACGCTGACGCCCAATATCTGCTGGAGCTGGAGATCGACAATCGCGCAAGGACTGAAACATGGAGAAGTTTTTCGTTGTGAAAGTTTGAATCCTCTGAAAACTGGTGATTCTTAAAGACCAGCAAATAATGTAACCCGACCAGTAAATCAATATTGAGAAGAAGAAGAAGGCATAAGATGTTGCAGGGGCGGATCTATGCGGTTTAGGGGGTTTAACCCCCCCCCCCTCCCCCTTGTGCTGCCAAGGAAAAATGTGATGTGCACAGAAAAATGCTATCATGTGTCCAGACCTACACAGTATTAATAGATGTCAGTAGATGCCAGGAAAATATCACTAACGGATGTTCAAAAAAGCACCAAAAAATCGCCTCGCCGCTTTGCGGCTCGTGGACGATGATCCGCATGTTAGTAGATGCCAGGAAAACACCACTTACAGGGGTTCAAAATAGCAACAACAAAAATCGCCTCGCCGATACGCGGCTCGTGGACGATGCTCCACATCGTATTTGGGGTACCCCCCCCCCCACCCTTAGCAAAAAGCTTGATCCGCCCCTGTGTTTTGGAAGGATATGGTAAAGACTAAAAGTAAAGAAAGAATGTAAATAAGGTTGCTCCGAATAATGAGGAGGAAATTATGTGCAAAACGGGAAGAAATGGAGAAAATGTCCTCACGGGGATAAAGTCAATAACAGCTATATAACAAGTAAATTTCTAAGAGGAAAAATACCGACTTAGATAAATGATAATGATAAAATACCAAGGAGTTTCACGGGTACCAATTCAATGGAAATTTGTATTAAAATAAGAGCCCCTGTCAGCAATAAAAGCGCCCCCGTGAGAAGGCTCACGGGGGCTCTTTTTTTTATGGAAGAGCCCCACATGGGCAAAAAATTAATTTGAGCCCTGATTGTATGTCACTAAATTGGTTAAAATTGTTTTCCCCCTCAATCAGCACGTATGCTGGCATTCATAATCATGTCTACTTCAACTACTTTGCACAAGTCTCTTTAGTTGACAAAAAAGTACATCATTGCTAACTTGTTAATCATATTCATCTTGTTTTCCTAATTGCAGATTCAAGTTCTATAGCAATAAACTTCAATGAAGAATCTAATCACCAGTGCACCCTCCCTGTCTCATGGTTAAAGCAGCACAGTTACTCCCCGGCTGACCTAGAGGTCAAAGCAAGGTTACGAGATGTCAAATATCTAGATGTGAGTCAAAACATTTTGATTCATGAAGGGCATATTTTTGGTCATCAGTATATTTTTTTTTAATTTGGCCTCATCTGTGATAGTATAAACTAAAAATCAGTAATTTAGAGATATCGACTGCTACGAGAGGACTGTCTGTTTTTATACGCTCAAGGGATATTTGCCTCCGCTGCTATCACCCCGAGGCGCGCCTGGGTGGGTGGCGCGCCGAGGGGGTGATAGCAGCGGAGGCAAATTTCCCGAGAGCAGTATAGAAACAGCCAGTCCTCGAGTATTAATGCAAGGGTCACTCTGTGGCCTGGACCCACCCTCCTCAGAGGTCGCCAAATATCGACGTCGACTCGACGCCTAAGCCTGACCCTGACCTATTTGTTGTTGTAGTGAAGTCCTAACGTTCGTTTTTCTTCATTGGGTGAAGCTTTACTATACAAATTGATGAAATGTGTGAAGCTTTGACGAGTAATTTGTTTTTTCTGGTGATGTGACATCGAATCCAATCGGTCGCCTTGTTTGTTCAGGTGATGTGACATCGAAGCCACTACCGGTCGCGTCGAAAATATGTCGGAATCATGTCGAAATCGTGCGTTTCAAAACAACTATTTAATTTTTATTCCGGTCACTAGCTCATGCACTCGCAGAGTGATCGTCCTGAGGTCACCGAACTTTTCTCCAGCGAAACTGATTTCGAGATTTCACGAGATCGTTTTCGAGTAGTCTACTAGTCTCCTACACATAACTAGTTGCGTGAGTATTCGCAGTATACGTGCCTGAAAGGCCAGCCTCAAGTCTGGAAACGAGACTAGTAGCCTACGAGCTGTCGGTATTGTACCCAGCATGCGCAGCGCAGATCGTGCCAAGTTTTGGCCCCAAGTTTTTGCGAGGTGAGTTGAAAAAAAATAGAAAGTTCAGAGTTTTCCGATCATTTTGAGACGGTACTACTCCGACCCTGTTTTACGATTGATTATTAACGAAATCTGTGCATAAAACTTAGCCTATATTTTCGCGAGATTTCAATGTTGACGTATTCCACAAAGGTATTACGCCACAGCAGTGCCGTGCGCTCGAGTCGAAGCCTTACGAATTCTGCGGATATGCACTGTATACTGTGTACGTTTGTGATGGTTTGTGTTAGTCGTGTATTGTTTGTTGTAAACATCTTCATCAATCCATCATGGTAAAATAATAATAAACATTGGATGATGTATTATTTTAATTGTACACAACAATATCGCAAGCTTTTTTGTGTGTATATTGTTGATGTTTTGTTTACCTGTAGGCTTTAGTGTAGTTTAGTACAGTAGTATAGAGTATGTATCAAACCAGAGAAGCATCTTCTCTGATCAAACCAATTAAATTGACATTGTTGACTGAAGTAATATTGATTATTATTCATTCATAATAATAATCCAGTGGAATTACTATACTGTGTTCTAATTCACAACAACAACAAGTCAACAGTAACAACAGGGCTATTTTACTAGGTTCATTGACATTACAACAATGTTCTGTTGTAATTGTCCTCATCAGCTGGGCATATTTTTCTTTTTTTTTACTCAGGTAGGTCAATTTTATTTTTTACCCATCAGGTAGGTCATTTCTTTTTTTTATAGTAAAACTTCCATCCCCCCCCAATTAATATAATTGGTGTTCATATTTATTTCTAGTAGGCCGTATCTGCGTAGGCCGTAGCGGCGTAGGCCTCCACAAATTTAAACATCTTTGGAACTTGCGTGGAGGGTACAATTTTTATTTTATTAAATCGTCTTTTAGACTTTCATAATTATTAAAAATAAAATTGTGATATTTTTTTTTTTTTTTTACATCTCGACCAAACTTGGTCAGAGTCATACCTGGTCCTACCAGTACTAGCTAGATGATGTATGTACTGCACTACAAAAGTAAAAGTTCAACCTTGTGGTCAGTTCCTGATATCATTTTTAATTGTGGTTCTCAGTGTTTTTGGCTCCTTTACAACAATTTATGCTAGTGCCACATCGGAGGGGTCAGCGTAAGGCCAAAAATAAAATGGTTTGTTTGCCCAAACCCGACCGACCCATAAATTCTCAAAACCCCTTGCACTTTTTTTTTTTTTTTTCAAGATTTTTTTTTTTTTAATAAGTGGAAATATGTGTTCTAATTGCAAAATTAATATAAAAAAACTGTCCTAGACTTTATTTCCACCAATATCCTTTCTTTTAAACATCATAAAGGTGTACATTTAAGATCCTAGCAAGACAACTTGTATTTAAATTTTATTTTATTAAATCTCAGATTTAAGAACTTTATGTAAACAGTTTATTGTGCTTTCAATGAGATTTCAACCTTCACATTGTGTGTTTTTATAATAAAGATAATGTGTTTACAGATGTACAGAAGAGAAATTCTATCATGTTTTCTTGTCTTACAAATGCATACAATGTGTTTGATAGCTGGAAAGTTCTATACTTTGTATTATGTTGGTATGTTGACTTATTGACTGTTTCTGGACAATTTCCCCATCAAGTTTTATTCATAGTAGTGACCACGACTAAGTAAGCAAAGCATTGAGTACACTTTGATCATGCATATTACTCTCTATAATTAATGCTCTCATTTCATAAATTCTCAGGTAATGAAGAGTTAACTTCTTTTTTGGTTTGCTTTGCTTGAATAGTTTCGGACCAATTATAATTAGTGTGTTATGGGCAAGGCTGAATTGTGTGGTCCATCATCAGGTGGTCGTACAATACCCGGCCAAAAGTTTCTTGAATTCAACTACAACAAATGAGGTGTAACCAAGCTATTGTGAATAGGAAATTTGATAAGCTAACATTTTATAAACCAGACCAAAAATGAGTTTTAGCTTGGTTTATCTACACTACAAAAATAATGTGACAGTACTGCCTGTATAAAAAGAAATGTGCACTTGTGCAACTTCATTATTTTTATAGTGTAGTTTTAATGAACACAATGTCAAAATCTAACAACGCAAACCTGAAATTGATCTGGAATGAACATTTTCTTTCATTTCCAAGTAACAGAGTTTAATAGGTAACAGGAGTTAGTGTTTATAGTTAACAAGAGTTAGTATTAGAAAACAAGAGTTAGTATTAGAAAACAAGACTTGTAGTTAAAACAACTTTTGTATAAACGTTTTAAGTTTCATAACAACATATCTGTAGAAACATTGGATTGACAAAATAAACATGTTACTGTATCTTTGAATTGAAACCTGGTTGACTTGGTACTTATTGAGCAGTATGGAATTACTATCATGACTATAGACCATTGCAGTCATGGTCTACTATTATAAGTAAACATTGGTGGAGCTTGATTTCAAAACGTGAAGCTTGAAATATGTAATGGCCAATATGGTGAAACAGTGGTGAAGCTTGAACTATGCAAATGGCCAGTATGGTGAAACAGTGGTGAAGCTTCAGACCGGCCGAAAACTTACAAAAGTGAAGCCTCACCTATGGAAAACTGACACAAGTGAAGCCTCACCTATGTAAAACTGACAAAAGTGAAGCATCACCTATGCAAATAATTCAAAGGGTGAAGCCTGGACTAACACATTTGCTGATAAGAGTGATGCTTTGCCTTTGTTTTTTGTAAAGCACATGAAGTGATGGTGAAACCCTGAGGTTACAAATAATTGGCTCAGGTGAAGAAAGGTGATGACCTGAGGAGGGTGGGTCCAGGCCACAGAGTGACCCTTGCATAAAGCAGTTGATATCCCTTTTATATGCTGAATTCAAACAAAAATCTACCAAGAATTCTTACCTTATCCTTTTATCGAGTAAAGATTGGTTAAAACATCACAGAAAATCTGAGACACTGTCTGTTTATCTTTGCCAGAAAGGACTGAAATTTTCAATTGCAGACAAAAAGCACTGTATGGTGTCCGCGCTCGCTCAAAGAACATTTTATCACGTAAACAGATGGGTATCGCAGCAAAATTTTATTATTTTCCCGGTAACCAGAATTTTGAGGGATCTCACTCTTGGACTATTTTGGTTTTGGCATTAAATACAGGAATGGCTAAAATCACGACTGCAATTTTGACAAATTTCTTAAGTGAGGTATATGACAAAAGATGATTTATTTTTTCATTCTTATTGGAGTTTTAAAAACCTGCATTAAAACAAATTTGATTTCCCCTCTGTTTCTCTCATATTATGTAATGTAATAAAATCATGTATTTAAGTACAAAATGGCTATTAAAAAGATGAATTTTTCTGTAATTCTGATTTATTTTCATTAATTGCTTTCCATGATTGCTGATAGTATTTGTAGGATTCATTGATTACTCTCTTACTGACAGTATTTGCTGTGTTCAAACAACCATTCCTTGTCAAAAAGTGCAGTTTTGAATGATTTTTCAAATAGATGTTATTATATTCCTCATGGAAAATGCTTATTCAAGGATTTGTTAAGAGCTCTTCATGTAATCATTCATAATTACTCTAGAAGAGGATTCATTTTGGAGAGGGAAAAAAGCCTATTTCTCTTGGGGCAACTGCCTCTGGAGGAAATAGGCAGCTGCAATCTATGGGGTCAGTCCATTGATTCAACTAAATTTTCTCAGGCCCTGTATATTTGTATACCATGTGGTTCAAGGAATTTTCAAAATCTACAATGAAAAAAGAAAATTTGGAGTACACAAATGAGCAAGAAATCAAGGTTTGTGAAAATAAGTATTCAACAGGCAGATTCATTTTCAGCCTTCCACCTGTCAAAGAGTAAAATCTACTTTCAAACATGATGAAATTTACAAGAAAAGCTCTTCAGCCATCCTTTGAATTGTTCATCAAACTGGTGAAAAAGTAGGATTTCAGGTCACAGTTAGCCCTGCAATGTGGCTGAACTCTTGAAACTGCATTTTTAACAATCTGACTGAGTGCATCTTAGAGTACATTTAGACTTATATGAATGACTATTTTGTCATCATTTAGCCTAATTGAGGGAAGTGTTAAAGAACAGGTATTATGTCTAGATCCCAATATTAGGCTTTGCATCGATACAATGAAACCATGATTTTAAACAGTTACGACAGTTGCATCTAACTTACAATTAGTTTACACTCTCTGTCACACTTTCTTTCTCTCTTCTCATTCTTGAAATTCACATGTTGTAGAGTGCCATTGGATCTTTCAGATGCGAAGATGTCAGGAATTCCGAAGGTGACTTATTTGAGTAAGTATATCTGTCATGATCTACACATGAAAAACCTTGTACAATTCCCCCCCCCCCCCCCAAAAAAAAAGGGAAGGCTGGTGTTGCCACTTTTCCCAAAACATGTTATATTCCCTTCGAAAGCTTGCTTTTTCAGACTGTAGAACTCCTTCTCAGATTTGTTATATTCTACAGTAATCTGGAGAGATTGGGAATTTGGTTAACATGTGAAGGCCATTATAGCTCAGTAAGAATGGCATCCCATTTACAATTTTTTCCAGTAGCCCTATAAAAGAACAGTGTTTTAAATGAGATAACATTCTAGGGCTTAGCACTGTCACAAAGTGATAGATAAATAATTTATTGTAATGACCAGACAAAACTGATCATTTTCATTTCAATATCACTTGTATTTTTTGGAATCTTTTGCTTGGTGTGGATTTCTAAAGATATTTTTAGCATTTTATACTGTTGTTCAGAGCTGGTTTTGTTCATTGTTGATACATCATAGGTGGCTTGATCATCTGAATACATTTGGGATCACCATTTTAAAGAACGTCCCTGTGTGTCCTGAATCGGTGACAAAGGTACGAGTATTTATTCAATCTAGTCTACTCAAATCAAGTAGATTAGAGGCTCTGTCAGACATGGCATGCTATTGCTTTGATTTCACTAATTTGCTGACATAAACAAACAGAGAAAGAAATTCCTCACACATTTGAAAATCTTAAACATGATATATAAAACACATCGATATGATCCATTTTTTGTATAGATTTATGTCATGAAGAAAATGGATTTACAAATTCAGTATATTCTATCAAATAGATGTTAATGTTTTGGAAAGGAAATCAGACATGCTCATGAAATATAAGATTAATCAAATAAAGTCATGTGAAACTTTTCATCAGCTGTAAGTAAGAATGTTCAAAAACCCATGTCAGGAAAGTGAGCAAAGTAAGTATGAGTATTGATTTATATTCACTCTGATGATTTTTCTTTCGTGTGCAGGTTGCCAATATGATCGGACCAGTGACAGAGACTTTATATGGACATGTGAGTAAATTGCTAACTTGCTTCATAGAAATGTTGCAACTGTAACGTTTCATTATCCTGCCATCTTTATGTACAAGTCGTCTACTTTAAGTCGTTAACTCCTTAAAGTAAAACTTGAGTAATGAAGCTATGCCTTGTAGCGGATCCGTAACTGAACTGGCAACCAGTGTAGATCTCTCAAAGATGTTACAAAGGCGTGGACCAATATCTCAGTTGTCCTGCTATTGAGATAATGATGGACACGACCTATTCTTCTGAGGGCCAAAGATGCTTTATTGCAAGTATTGTGGACATGCTGCTTCATAGTCAAGTAAAAGTGTATGGTTTGTTTCTTACGACCAGACTGAAGAAGAGTCTGTGGAGGTTTCACAGCTGTTTTAAGTTTACTTACTCAACAATGTCTGTTCAAGTCCAAGTTCAAGTTTTATTTCCACATCTGATTAAAAAAAAAAAAGTACAATTTATATGCAAATATACATAAAAAGTTTCTTAAATATACTAAAAACAAGATAGAAATACAAAGATTAAAATGACACAAAACATCAACAAATCCATTACAAAAAAACAGAAAAGGGACTTATGTACAAATAATCCTATTTATACATATTCATTTACAAGATGTTTCTTACACTTTCTTTTGAAATCGACCCTGTTGGGCTTATTTGAAGTTCTTGAGGCAATTTATTCCATAATTTTGGTCCGGCATGAATAATTGTTGTTCTTGAGAAGTCATAAGTAAACATCAGTAGGTGGAAAAGATCTGATTGACGAGTTTCATAAACTGGACAACTTCGTGATGTCATGAAAGTCATTAACATAGCTTAAGTGACCACTTGTCCTCTTCACCATCGTAAAGTGAAGTGCTTGTGATGTCCATCACGAAACAAGTGGTTCCTTCATGAGTCCGAGGCTTGACCAATAGGATGGTGTTGATTGGATCATGTGAAACGTAGCAAGCTCACTGCAGCCAAGGAAATATAATCATGTTTCATAAAGCAAATGCATATGCATGGTGTGTTTATTTTACCTCGGTGTCTTGTGCTTTTAAAATAATTTAATCCCAAACACATCTTGGTCAATGCTAGTGTCAACCATCCAGTTAAATTGCTCAAGAGGATTTGTCCAATGTTGCCTTTTGTAGACTTTCTTTATGCCATCTTCTCTAGAGTACCATACAACGTATCTATCACTCATAGTGATATGAACCACTCCTGACACTACTACCACTGGCTTGTCCATTGTTTATTTCATGTTCACTAGATGATCTTGTGCGATCTTCTCTTAGGCACCACACCATGTGACTATCACTCATGGTGATGTGAACCACTCCTGACACTACTACACTGGCTTGGCCATTGTTTATTTCATGTTCACTAGATGATCTTGTGCAATCTTCTCTTGGGCACCACACCATGTGACTATCACTCATGGTGATGTGAACCACTCCTGACGCTACTACACTGGCTTGTCCATTGTTTATTTCATGTTCACTAGATGATCTTGTGCAATCTTCTCTAGGGCACCACACCATGTGACTATCACTCATGGTGATGTGAACCACTCCTGACACTACAACACTGGCTTGTCCATTGTTTTGTTCATGTTCACTAGATGATCTTGTGCCATCTTCTCTTTTGCACCACACAGTGTGACTATCACTCATGGTGATGTGAACCACTCCTGACACTACTACACTGGCTTGTCCATTGTTTATTTCATGTTCACTAGATGATCTTGTGCAATCAAGTGCAATCTTCTCTTGGACACCACACCTTGTGACCGTCACTCATGGTGATGTGAACCACTCCTGACACTACAACACTGGCTTGTCCATTGTTTTGTTCATGTTCACTAGATGATCTTATCCAATCTTCTCTAGAGCACCACACCATGTGACTATCACTCATGGTAGTGTGAACCACTCCTGACACTACTACACTGGCTTGTCCATTGTTTATTTCATGTTCACTAGATGATCTTGTGCAATCAAGTGCAATCTTCTCTAGAGCACCACACCATGTGACCGTCACTCATGGTGATGTGAACCACTCCTGACACTACTACACTGGCTTGCCCTTTGTTATTTTAGTGTTCCTGTTTCATGTTCACTGGATGATCTTGAATTTAGAGGGCATGTATTTCAGTGAATTTTGATATTTTTTATTCAACAATATAATACATACCAGTATTCTCTTTTGTAATGAAGAGTAGCCCTATTAATAGTTTGAAACCATTTTCCTCACAAGCCCTGAATGTAATACATTGCATTACAAGGAGTTAATACAATTTTAACACAGGTACATGAATACAATCGTAAGAATATGTAAGATTTGTTTACAAAACATATCATGACACAAGTGGCCAGTTTGTTATTTTGAAAGCTTCATGTAATTTTCCTACAAGGTTTTCACTTGTTTTTAGAACTTCTCTTGGCAATTGAAAACTCCTAGTATCACATAATTAGTTTTACAACTGCAACTTCTCTTTGAATTCACAGCCCTTCTCTTTCTAACAAGGTATCAGCCATTTATTAGCTGTATTGGATGTGACTTTCATGCGTAAGCACTCCAATTACACTTGTTTTAGAGGCTTTCTTTTTCAAGTTCAAGTTCAAGTTTTATTTCAATTCAAATCCATAAAAAACATGATACAGATTATATACAATATAGAAAACACAGAACACACACAACTTGGTGTGAGTACGTCATATTCAGTGTATTCTGGTTGCAATTGAAATCTCCTAGTATCACATAATTTGTTTTACAACTGCAACTTCTCTTTGAATTCACAGGCCTTTTCTTTCTAACAAGGTAACAGCCATTTATTAGCTGTATTGGATGTGACTTTCATGTGTAAGCACTCCAATTACACTTGTTCTTAGAGCCTTTCTTGGTGTGAGTACGTCATATTCAGAGTATTCTGGTTGCAATTGAAATCTCCTAGTATCACATAATTTGTTTTACAACTGCAACTTCTCTTTGAATTCACAGCCCTTCTCTTTCTAACAAGGTAACAGCCATTTATTAGCTGTATTTTTATGAAGCCAAAGTGTCAAAATAAAAAATTTGCTTTATTGCATCTTTAATGACGTTTCCATCTTTGATTTGATATCATACTCTGTCTTGCTCGTCTATGGTGTAGTACCTAAAGAACAGGTGAACCTCAATGTAACTTGACAGGTCATAGATGCAGGATTTATCATCACTGTCATATATTTCCATATACGTCACTCTCGAGCAGAAACAAACTACACAAAATTATCAAACCAGACAATCTTGAAAAAAAAGCATCATGAGTTGAGTGTGAGTTTATTTAATTTATACACGGTAAAAGCCCAAAACAGTTCACAGACAGGTTTTAATCAGGGCTGTGTTGATAAAAAGCAACATAATCATGACATATAAACAAAAGTAATACAGCACTGAAAAATTTACAACCTGAACCATAATACCACAATATATATAAAATAAGCTAAAAACACTTTAGTAATTAAAATTATATTGATAGGCCTAAAAGATCATACAGTATATATTACAGCGTCTTTGTAATTTCATATCATGCACTCAAAATGGGAATGTGTATGTATCATCTTTTAAGTAGTTTTACTTATAGAGGAAGTAGTTGTGTATGAAGTTTACTGTGTTCCTTACATTATTTCAAGATATCTAAAAATCTTGTTACACTCTCTTTACCTTTGTTTTGTGGGTATTCAAACTTCCAGACGTTTGATGTGCAGACGGAGGACAAACCTATCAACGTAGCGTACAGCTCGGTAGGCCTGGGCTTTCATGTAGACTTGGCCTATTACGAGTCTCCACCCGGTCTCCAGCTTCTTCACTGCTTGCAGTAAGTTTCTCTAGTTGGTCAAAGTGTATGGTTACAAGCTGTCACAGGTGTCGCACTGATGTGCTGGCTTGCCAAAGGATGCTTGCTAGAAATCCACTCTATTTGAATTGGTGAAGGTTTACAAAATAATGTCAAGGAATAGGTACTTCAAATGACAACGGTTGATCTTAATATTGTTTATGTATACTGTACCACTAGTTCATTGGTGTATCTGTCATAGGGCAGAGATGGCATATAATAATAATAAAAATACTACAGCATTTGTTATGCACCATCGTTCCATAAACTATTCTGAGGCGCAGAGGGAGATTATTACCCTGGCTTTAGCACAGCTGCCATTACAGCGCTCGAGCATTTCAAGGAATGAATTCCTGCCAGGTATACCCTTGCAGATCGGAAATAAATGGATACAATGTTCCTTTTGGTAGAGTAATTCAAGTGTCAACTGATTGTGTTAAGTTTGTATATATATATATATATATACCGTATTTGCCGGTGTAAAGGCCGCAGTATTTTCGGGTGAGAAAAAATCAAAAAGTCGGGGTGCGGCGTATACGCAAAAACAACAAAATTCAGCAGTCAAAACATCACGTCCATTTGCACGTATGGGACTATATGAACGGTAGCATGACTAGACAATGGTACAGGACAATTCTAGAATAACTCCACACAACTTACCAACAATTTTATGTTGCATAGTTGACATGAAGACGAAAAAACTTATTTTTCTAATAAAATCTGCCGATAGATCTAGATCTAAGCCCGTACCATTGCATCGCCAAAAAGTAAAAAAAGGGACAGGCCATTACTTACGGAGCTAGCTGCCGCGCAACGCAACTGCGCAGGTCGAAAAACGCTATTCCGGATTACACCGCACATCGAGGTAGGGGTATTGTTGGATACCAAATCTGCGTGCGATACAGTACTAGCTTAAAAGTCAATGAAGATCTGCTAAATAACGATCATTTTTGAGGTTAACTTCTTGAAAATTGCTCTACGAAATGTCAAAGTTGGGGGTGCGGCCTATACGGCACTGCGGCCTTTACGCCGGCAAATACGGTACTTTATATTATATACGGACAGATACAGCTCATGCCTTCCCTAATAGACCTGAGAGAAGGAAGTCTTCTTCGATGAGTCACATTGCAAGGAAACCACAAGAATATTTCAATATCTTTCTTTAGTGCTTTTGAAATCTATCAAACACATGTATAGTTAATACCCCATATTGATCAATTCTCTTGTAGCTAGTAAAAAGTAACATTGAACGTCCTCTGACCATAATCCATATCATTACCTTTTAATAGTGCTATACCACTTGACCCCTACAGCCAGCAATAACCCTTTTACATTCGGTTGTTATTCATGTCATAGGTTTGATGACATGGTGTTAGGTGGAGAGAGTATTTTCCTAGATGGCTTCTGTATTGCTGAGGAATTCAGAGAGAAATTCCCCCATCATTTTGAGACTCTAACGAGGGTACCAGCCACTTTCCAAAAATTTCACTTTGAAAGGTATGTTATCAAGGGCATATCTAAATACTGCATTTATACTGAAAGTAGTAAACTGTAGTAGAATGTTCAGTGTTAGTAGGAACAACACTGATCAAATCTGATGTCATGGGATACTGATTTAAAGGTATAGACCAGTTCTGGTCGTGCGATTGCATTGTAAAAGAAAAGGTGTGGAATGGATCAGAAAAAGTTGATCATGTAGCATGAAAGTATTGATGTGTACTGCAAGATGCTGGAGTCATCAAAATCACTATAAATTTGGCCCAGTCTTGGTAAAGTAACAAGCACTGTACACAGGAAGATGTATATAGGACTACACAAATCGTGTCGGCCTACTTACCTTGATTTCCTTATCTTTATATGCTCATTACGCAGCCAGTATTGGGATTATCATCTGCGGGTATGTAACTTAGCAGTGTTTGTGGCATCTTTCAGCCGATGTATGGGTTTTTTCTGTGAAATCACTTCTTGTATCATTACATTTCTATTTTGTTTGCTACCATACACAGAGCTAATCCAGCAGCATACATCTACCAGAGACCACATATCAATGTAAACAGAACAGGCCAGGTATGTAAATATCCATCCTTGAACAGGATTCCCAGCTGTCCCCGGAATCAGGCAAAACCTGGGAAACGATTTCCAATTTTTCCCCACAAAGGGAATATGCAGGGAATTTGAGAAAGTCACTCAAAGAAGGGAAAAATCAGGACATGCTTTGATCCTAAAGAAAAAATAATTAGTCTCTTATTATGTTTTGTTTCCTGTCAAAATATACACTAGATAATTTTTAGATATGATGGTGTTTCAAACTAAAAATAGATGGAGAGAATGATTGTGAAAGGAAAAATTCAGGAAAAGAAGAAATTTCGACAAGAAATTGTTGACACATACCTTAGAATCTTGATGTTTTAAAATGCTGGGAAGCCTGTTGTAATTATTCATATGTTTTTTTTGATAACTTTTCATACCTCTGTCTTTTTATATTTTATCTTGGACTGTAATCAATATCTATATGAAGATTTCAAATAGATATTGAATAATGCGTTGTTGTGGTTTAAACCCATAAAAGTGCAGAGGTGCCATATGGTTTTTACCTGTAAGAGAATTTTATTGAATGATAAAATGCAAGTATTCATAAGCATTGGAAAAGAGGTTTTTATCAACCAGAGGAATAGAACTAAGTTATCAATGAGCTTTAGTGAAATATTACACTGAAAGTACCCCACTCTTCTTTTATTTGTAAATTGTCTGCACGACTTCCTCTTTGCCTGTCTCTCTTCACCGCTTGTTCTGTTGCTCTCTATCTCTCTCTCTCTTTCTTTCTCTCTTTCTTTTTCTCTCTCCCCCTCTCTCTGTCTGTCTCTCTCTTTCCCTATCTCTATCCCTCTCCTTCCCTCTCTCCCTCTCCCTCCCTCTCTCCCTCCCTCCCTCCCTCCCTCCCTCCCTCTCTCTCTTTCTCCCTTCCTCCCTCCCTCTCTCTCCCCTGTTTCTCTCTCTTATACTCCCTCTCTATACCTATCGCAGTATTGAGTCGATATACTTCATATGCCTACTCTTAAATCTCATGATCAATATACAGTGTATCCCAGAAACAACGAAGCCCCAAAATAAACTAATCGTGAGAAAACTACGAGCTGTTCAAAAATAATTTCTTGATTTTCATAAAGTAGAAGTATTTTGCTTTCAAAGGATACTGTGATTGTGTGAAAAGCAAGGCATCATATATACACTATTTATAGTTTGTTTTTCGGGTTTCGTTTTGTCTAGGACACTCTGTATAGTCAGGTTATACTGAACCTTCAATGTAATTCAATATCACATTGGAATTTTTTTGTAAGTACATCATACTATTTAGTCAGTCCTTAGCAACATGATATACAAAATATGCAGTGATGCAAGAGCACTTGAGGTACTTTTAATTGCCTATTCACTGGAGGTCTCAGGTTACATGTATCTGCAGATTATTAAGAGCATCTAAACTAAAGCACATAAAGTAGTTTGCCTGAAAATGGCAATGACTCAGTGAATGTAATCATAGACTATTTCACAACTACACACTGGTTCCAACAGTCCTCCAAATTTTAATTCCAGACTGGCCCTCCAACTGAAATTTTTATTGTATTTAATAGGGGCCTTTTGCTCACATGCAGACCCCAATATTTTCAGTCTGGACCACCCCCCCCCCCCCTCCCAGTATAATATGTTTGTGCGGAGGCCCGACTATTGACTAGGACCTTCTCCTGTGTCTCTCACTGTTTCATTCAAAAAGTATACTATGATTGGATTACTATTGTCCTGTATTTAGTTGTAAGGATGTTTTAATCTTTCTTTCTTTTTTGTCTGTGGGAGGAATATTCTTTTACTTTTGGGATGTATGCATGATATGACAGTATATGTATGCTGTTGTGTGTTTTTCAACCATCATACATCCTGTCTAGACTCTTCTCCCTGTGTTGTATTTCCATCTTTCTCTTTCCTTCTTTGTCTGTTTCTGTTTCTCCATCACTATGTTTTCTTTTTCTGTATCCCTGTCAGTTTCTCTTTCTGTCACCCTCTTCTCTTTCTCTTTCTCTTTCTCATGTTTTTTGTTGTTTTTCTTCTTGTCTAAAGATGTATTCTCTTTCTTCATACCCACTTTCTTCTATCTCTCTCTTTTTGTTTGTATTTCCTATCACATTATCAAGTTTATTCTGACATATGCTGCAGCTCAATGGATGACTTTTCAAAATTCCACATCCTGTTTAAAGAATGGTTTCAGCTCTTTGTTTTGGTAAATGGATGATTATCATAGGGCTTGGTAACGGGGAATTCTTAACATCCTGTTTCGATGAAAGAGTGATTAAGATGGTTAGTGTGGAATGTATGTTTCCGTTCCAAATACACAATATAAAGCCACAGGACATTAACCCATTGTTAGGACATAACTTTTATTCTTTTAAATTCTACTTTTGAATAGACATGTAGAGAAACTGTTCAAAAGTTATTAAATTGTTGATGTGTATTGAAAACAGTGATTTTTAAAACTTTTCAGCATGGTGCCATTTGTAATGTTTTTGGATACCTTTTTCTTTTTCTGTAAGCTTACATGTTTTTTCTTTCTTGTTTTTTATTCTAAGATTTGATGGCCTAGATAATATGCACATCGTTGCTCAAGGGGCATTTGCACTGTGATAATGATGGTCTCAATTTTTGTATAGTGCTTATACATTTCTTACATGCTATACAAACTTATGACCTTTGCATTGGTTACATTGTGTACACAATGTGTGCACAATCTCCACTCTGTGAGATGTGTTCCCGTCCATATGGCCACCCTGAGGGTGTGTGGCAGAATCAATCACAATGGCCATCACCATCATCCTGCCTTGTCATCATTTCTCTCCTGGGTATGAGGTGGCAAATGTAAATTGATTTTTGCCAAAGGACGTACCTACATGTAATGCTTCATGTATGTGTATTTCCATGCTACGGATTGAACTCATGACCTTTAAGCATCTCCAGTAAGTGGTCAGACCACTCAACAAGGACAAAAGCATCTGGTATATATCTGGTTGAGTACATGCATAACCATTAATCATGTAGCAAACAGCAGTTCACCTTGTTATCAATGTGTTTAATCAGTGGCGGATCCAGGGGGGGGCCCGGGGGGCCCGGGCCCCCCCCCTTGAGAAAAAAATCATGTAAAATCACGTGATTTTTACCTTTTTTGGGGTTGGGCCCCCCCCCCTGGCGCTCAAGGGGGGGGTGCAAATTGAATTTTTTTTGAGGATCAAAAAAAAAAAAATGTGCTCACTATCCCCCCCCCCCCACTGAGCGAGTTTTTGGCCGGCGCGTTTTTCAAATTTTCGGGAGCAAAAAAAAAAAAAAAAAAAAAAAAAAAAAAATTGAGGATCAAAAAATAAAAAATGTCCTCACTACCCCCCCCCCCCCCCCCCCCCACTGAGCGACTTTTCGGCCAGCGCGATTTTCAAATTTTCGGGAGCAAAAAAAAAAAAAAGTTGGGCCCCCTCCCCTAAGAAATCCTGGATCCGCGCCTGTGTTTAATCATACCTGTGTTTAATTTTACCTGATGTTTCCTGAAGGTAATTAAAATCTGGGTAAAATGAGATACTTTCATATTCTGGCGGGTTTCAGTTTCCAATGGCTCCAAAATTAGACACTTTCACAATCCTTAGCATTGTGCCCCCTTTGGTAATTTTTGTTTAATTGCTCAAGATGCTCATTATCATAACAATCTTTTGGTATGATAATCATATTGTTTATTGTTATAGTATTTATATCTGTAGAATCTTGTGGGGTTTTACATCAGCAAAAATAATCCTCACCATTTATAGCACAAATCTAAACAAGTGCTTTGAGGGTGAAATGGATATTTTAATGGGAGTCACGTAAATGTGGACTGTTGCTCGGTGTGAATTCTTTTAAAATAAGATTTCCTTTCTAGGGCTATTGTGTATGAGACAATTTGTCAATTTTGACAAAAGTCTTGATCAAGATTTGTTTTGGGGGTAATCATAAAGGACTATCAGGTTTGGATATAAGTGCTATGAAATATATAATATTATTGTTGTCCGTGTTGTTTCTAAATAAATCTCTAGTCACTTAAAACGTTTTTTGAAGTAATAATAGTAATACTGGTTTCTTATATAGTGCATACATACAGTAACATAAATGGAACTTTACCACATGTGGCATGGGCCAGAGAGATGTTCAATGTGGTAGGCCTATATGAAAATAGGCAATTCATATCACCAACAATCAACAACAAAATCTTTCTGCTACCACTGTGCAATCAATTTATTTGTTCAGTCAGTAAGGTACAGTGTGTATAAATTCTTGCCAAAATGCCCCCCCCCCCCCCACCTCCAATATGGTATTACCCCTTAGCTCTCTACGTGATACAAACCAGTGTCATCACCTCAATCAACCCATATTAACAGATCAGGGTGCAGGTGTTTAGGGGTAAATTTTACCGCTATTTCCAAGAACAAGCGTGTTGCAAAACCTGATACGAATGATGATGGATGTTACGAAAAGTTGGGTCTTCCCCAAACAAAATGATCTTTGGAGGTTTAATCTTCTCCACTTTGTCGTGCATGATGGCTATAGTGAATCCTGCTTTTACCTATGAAGGAGGCTTTGATGCAATTCTCGATAATCAAAAATTATTTAAAGGGTAAACACTCTATCTATATCTTTTGGGCAGTTTTTTGTAATGATTTAAAGTTTGACTCCAAAGTTCAAGTCTGTGTGTATGTTAAGGGCAGGGAGTTATAATCCCCCTTCCTACCCTAACTGGAAATGTTTTGTATTGTTTTGTTGTTGTTTCATTTTGAGGGAGCATGGTTCCTGCAAGTTTTCAGTAATATTGATAAATGAATAAGAGAGATGGAAAACATTTGATGTTGACTTGTCATGATCATATCCCTCCTGACCTTCTTTACATGCATGATTGAATATGAAAATAAACATTCAGCTACATGGGAACTACAAAATTGTATTCCAGAGTAAAGTTTAATGAACTGCTTTTAGATATGTTATCGTGTTTACGAGCTGTGGTGGCCGAT